AGCTTAATATCATTCGCTAATGTTCGTTTAATATTAATCTAAACGTAAAGAATCCGTTTCATACGACTAATATATATTATGAACTAAATATAGATGTGTATATTGAACTCGAACAAAGGATTTCAAACCGCACAACGTCATGTATAAAAACACTATTGAATAACCACAAGATAAATATTTACTCTGAATTATATAAATAATAAACTAATTTGCTATTTACATCATATTTTCTATCACATTAAATCTGACATATTACACGTCATTATTTGATTGATTTTGTGTCCTCTTTTTTTGGGCGTTGGATGTAAAGACAAAACTGTTGACGTCCTACGGCCATGAGCGACATGTAAATGTTATTGCCATAATAAAAAAAGTTAAAATACAATACTTCTATCAATATTATTTATTTAATTTAGTTATGAATCAACATCAATAACAATTGAATAAAAATGTTTGTAATCATTTTTAACACAATTGTTGGCTGAATGTCAAAGTTTTTAAAAAATAAACAAAAAGTTCGAGCATGATTCCGTTATTCATGAATCGAATTTGTTAATTATTTTGAATTTAATAGTTTGTTGAGAAAAAAATCCATATAAATTTTCTTAAATAATGAAGAAATTATACATGAAATTACGGTATATTTCTTGCAAGTCTTTAAATCGATTCTTTTGTCATTCAATACTTTTCGTGTTTTAGTGATGAGAATTTTATTTTACAATGAAGTTCTTTGTTTCTTTTAATCACATTCGTTTGTTTTTCATCTTTCATCATAATATTATTATTTATTAATAAAATAATTGAATATTTATAGAATATACAGGATAATAATTATTTATATAGGAATTTTACTAACACTTTTTAAAATAAGATATCAGAAAGAAAGAACTTCACGCCTCGACAATTTAGTTGTAAGTATTTAGGAAAGATAATATATACATATAAAATGCATTAAAAGTTATATAATCTATATATATAAAAATGGATTGCTGTTCCTTAGTCTCGCTAAAACTCGAGAACAGCTGAACGGATTTATCGTATCTTAGTCTTGAAATGTTCGTGGAGGTTCAGGGAAGGTATAAAAGGTGAGAAAAATTGGAATAATTGCCGGGAAAACCCTAAAAACAGCCCTTTTCTATTTCCCATACAAACGCTTTTTTTGACATTAGATTTGACAACTAACTAATATGTCAATCATTCTGTTTGATTGAAACAGGAAAAACCTGATTATTTATGGCCTCTAAGACGGAATAGAGTTCGCCTGGTCAGCTATACATATATTACTAATGACGAAACTAACGCGGACGAAGTCGCGGGCAAAAACTAGTAATACATATATAATTTTAAAAACGACTTTATAATAACATGCATCATTTTGTTTAAGCAAATTATTTCATATTATGTTACATATTATGTCGTAAGGTCAATTGTAATATTGGATTTTGAACAACAAGACTCAAATAAATTCGTATAAAATTTTATATAATCAAATTAATTTCGATCAGTTGACTGTAACTGTTAGCTTATTAACCAGAAATTACCTCTTACCGACTTAATTCTTGTAATAAAATTATACATAAAAAAGTTTAAAAAAAATCCTTTTTTACATCTCCGTAGCTGTAAGATGTAGACAGACCTTGTAAGCCTGTGGTCCCACATCCTGAAATGAAGCACCTACTATTCCCAAAGTTAATATTTTGACCTTTTTTCTTTTTTTTATAAGTAGAGTGATGTTATGAACTCTATCCTGATGAGATAGAAATCTAAGAACAATGAAAATTAAACCATATGTGTTTAAACGAATCAAGGAGTTTTTGAGCTGACTTCGATCATTCGTGTGCACAGATAAAAATCTCATAGAATAAATGCATACAACCTTTAAATTAATTAATTACGTTTTACTTAAGAAAAAATCTCAATATTAAAACGGATTATAAATAAAATATTTCTTTATGCCATGATCTACTAAATACATTAAATATTTTTAAATTGTCTTTATTTTATTGTCATTATATAACTTCAAACGAATTCGTATAGTTTGTTCTAAAACAATATAGAACTCCGATACATCACTCTTACAAAAATCCGCTGTAAAAGAACAGGAAATTCAAATAATCGAAATATCTTTGACCAAACACCTTGGATTAAAATGCTATTCTCAGAAGGCGTATTCATTTATTTATACTGGTAATTTGATATTTATTTTTAAGCTTAATTCAAGAATTTGCCGGAAATTACTGATAGCGTTTATAATTATAACATGTTTAAAAATATGATTTCTACACCTAATGTAATTATCATGTCATCTTGCACTTGAGTTATAAGCCTTACTTAATTAAATTGTAGTCTCATTGAAAATTTTATATGGAATATTTAATTGTATTTTTAATTTATAATGTTGTATGTACTTTACCTTTATTATACATATTTATAATATCACTTTTAGAGTATTAGACTGTACTTAACGAGTTTTAAAATATATTTTAAATATGTCAAGAATTTCATTAATACATAAGTAACCTCAATGTTCTATTTTCAAAAGTGCAAAGCTGCGATCACTATTAATTTTTTTTATACTAAAATAATGTTAGCATGGCTAAAACTAACAACTTAAAAGAACTAACAAAAACAAAATAATCCTGTTAGCATAATGAGCTTAAGACTTTCGGGAATATTCATTAAAATAAGACTAATATCTTTCGGATTTACTACTCGTTGATAATTATTTTTAACCACGTACTCCCAACGTTGAATGGTCCTTCCCATCTCGTATGTAAATGCGAAAAATATTAGTTTTATTTCAATTTCCTGTTAGCATTGCCTAGAATATTACAAAAAATTTCCGGTAGCTTACCTAATTGTAAAAAGTTATTTAAAATGACAATATCAGAATTTTATTAAAACCGTATCCACAATAAATTACTGACAGTATTTTCTCATCATATACACATCAATCAATCGAGCATATTACTTAACATTGTGTTGTAAGAAAGTATTGTAATACGTAAAGGAGGTATTCAGATATATCAATATGCTTGTGGCTTAGAAGGGCCTGGAAAAATAGGGAGGGGGAGGGTTACGAGGGGGGAGGTACGTGGTGTTCGGGAGAAACGTCTGTACCGACCTTGAGAGGGCGAAGTCGTAGCCTGCACCTACCTGCGCCTCGGACGTCACTACCGCCATCAATATATATAAATATCGAACTAATTCATTGCTATGAATCATATTTATATTTAGGGTGTATGGTTTACCTTATAACTGAGTCATCACAAACAGTATTATACACGTTTACGGTAGAACTCATCGAAAAACTTCTATATAATAATTGTTGAATATTGAAATTTAAAAAAATAACTTATTTGTTGTAATTAATAGTCAATCAGTATAAGTCGAATAGTATCTCTATTACTATAATGATTAAAAATCAATAATTCCTTTATATAATTCTCTTGTATTTCCCCGCCATCAATCGTGAGCACAGAGTATAACAGTATATACAATAATAATAATTAATGACAAATCGTTACCCTTAACTTTTACCATGTGGTCATATTTTCCTGATGCTAACAATATGTGAATTCCCGAAGATATTAATGATTTCTTGTTATTTTATAAAGTAAAAACATATTATTATGTACATACTTAAATGTTCTAACGTTTTCCCACTCGATACTTACTGTACACGCTATGAAATAGGTCAAAAGTAACACATGCAAATAAATAATTGGTTATTTAAATATATTATTTTTTCCTTTTCTTGTACTATCACATGTAATTTGCATTATACTTAATTATTTATTAAACCAGTTATCAACCTTGGCCGTACGACCCTTCGACCTGAAATTAAACGTAAGCATAACGTCGTAATACCGTAAATATAGCAAAATTCAAAAGGGTATATTGGTAGCGAGTCGCAGGGGGCACAAGGGTCGGTCGGTCGGGGCGATGCGCTGTGGCCTTGGCCGTGATCGAGCGCTCGATATAGCGCCAACCCGCCAGCCCACCGCCCACTCACAAACGCCACAAGTCCTCACCCAACCTCCCTTCCTACTGTTATAAATTTGTGATGTGCCCCAGCTATTTTTGTAATCACAATTATATTACCGTCATTCCTAACTACCAGTATTTATGCAATTAACTTCAGTGTTGTGTAATTGATTTACTTTATATATTCAAACTTTATATGGTCGTGTTGTGTAGATATTGGCGGTATGGGAATACCAATAACTTTATAATGTAATATTATAAACGATGTTAATGTTTCCCACCGACATTATTCTGTATTCGAACCGATCTTTCCCCTTATTCATCCTAAGTTATTTATTTAGAACATACCTATCAATATTTTTCTGTAACAAGGCTAATGTGGGAATATAAATACACGTAAAACTACTTAGTAAGCAGACGGTGTAGTTGAAAGTATCAGAATAAAACACCAAGGTCGAGAGGCGAGTGATATCATTTATGGCGTGCCTGTCCCTGAACTCTAGCGGTGACGCACGAGGACTCAAATACCGCCCGCGCCGGCCCTGAACTTATAAAAATACGGCTTTGATAAATTCAAGTAACTCCCACCTTTAATATATTAGCAGGTAGCATAGTTAATACCAAATAGCGCGCTTACAGAGAATTATAATCCATCGAAATGATTAAAGAATATCCAATTATTATTTTATACTTACATTTATATTTGTCTATTGTCTTAAATTTAATTTTTTTATTACATTCAGAGACTATTGGATAAATACGTTTTATAGACAGGAGTATCAATTAACAGTGATTTAAATTTTGTAACTACGTTGGATCATAACCCATACTATAATTTTATACCTTCTCCTTACGCGAACAAATAGGATAGGTTATAAATGGAATGCTTTTATTTATTTCACTAAAGAATATTATAAAAAAAATTGTAGTATTAAATTAAATGGGATGTCGTAATGCTATCAATTCAAATAAAGTAAAATTTTATTAGAATATCTTTATTACAAGTTCAACCATCATTTGGCCTTATGCCCTTTTTTCTTAGCGGGTCTCTGTTTGTTAGTTTTGCCCGTTTTGCCCGCTTTCTTGCCGCGACCTTTAGTTTTCTCCTTCGCCTTCTGAGCTCGTAAATCTTTCTTCATCCTTGGATCAACCACTTTATATTGACCCTTCACCCCGGTAGGTCGTTTCATACGTTTGGCGGTCGTATGTTTTTTGGCGACCACATATGTGACCTTCTTTTTAGTTTCCGTTTGCGCCTTTTTATACAGCTGTCTAACTTGTTGGGCTTTTTCTCTTTCTGACATATCAGCGTTTTCCATGACAGCCTCAACCTTCTTCTTCGCTCGCTCCATTTTCTTGATCATACGCTTCTTCTTCCTAGCCTTAGCTTCGACAACCTTCTTGATTGGCCTTGCGTTTATGTCTTGTAATCTGTTTTTGTATTCCTCAGTGTATTTCTAGAAATTAAATATTAAATTATTATATGAGCCAAAAAGTAAGGATAAGGAACCAAAATGTATATAATAGTTTTTTAAACAAAATTAATTACTTAATTGTAAAAATCGTTATAATAATACTATCTACCTCTGGTACAACAATATCTTTCCTCATATGTTTTTTTTCGTCTTCTACAAACCAATCTGGTAGGTTAGTATCGTTAAAGGCGTATCGATTCCAGCCATCATCGATTAGGTCTCGTTTAAATTTCTTCGAAGTGGCTATCATTGTGCCCAAGGCTAGAGTTTCAGCATCCATTTTTAAATTTTTCTTCAGACGTTTTAATTCTAAAAACATTTTTAAAAAATATATTAAATCATCAGGAAAATAATAATTATGTTTTATGTTATTGCTAAGGGTCTACTTTCTTTTATAAAATAAATATTTATTTGCTACATAGTAATGAATATCTATCTTTAAATGCTTTATAATATTATACAATTATTATATATTTTATTAACAAAGCGATTTAAAAAGGTTTATTACGTTTGTGATAATTAATAGTAGGAAATCACTATGATTTAAAGTTCAAGGTTTTAATGCATTGAAGACTAATGTTAAGTGTAGGTCATGTATGATGTTAAAAATTTTCCTCAATTGTTAGTCGTATTATTTTGAAATATATTTAATGTGATTTTAAAAAATAATATCTAATTAGTTAGACAAAAACATTAAAACCACTTCATAGTTTTTGTTTTATTGTGTAAAAGGAGAAAAAGTTGACTTTAAAGACAAAAACTATAGTTAAACTAAAATATTCAAAATTAGTAATATTAATGGAGTTAATATATTTTTTGTCTAAGATAAAAAGTTTAATTTGATATCTACTTTTGTGAATATCTTACAACTAACCGGGATCCTGTGCGACTACTTCGAATCCATCCTTCTTTGTTGTTTTTGCTCCACTTTTATCAGTAGGGGACACATTTTCCTCCACATCATAATCACTGTCCGATGATTCGTCTGAACTCTCTTCATTTTTCCTCTTCACACCAGACTTTTTCATATCACTTATACCCATTGACAGATCTTTCACCTTTTTGCCTAGACAGAAATAAAATATTTTCTTCCTTATACAATACACAATTAATAATATAGTTGCAAAAATAACTAATATAATTCTAATATCAATCAGAATATTTGTGAAATATAAATTAATAATACAATACTTTTCATAGCACAAAGTTAGTTGTGAATTTTTGTTAATAAATTCCTCAAAGGAATATATTATACAATAATAGGATATCATAAATAAGTAACATATCAAGAATCCTTTAAATAAAAATGTCAAATTCAAAAGATTTCTCAAACCTTTCTCTCTGTATGACTCAGCTAATTTATCCAAGTCTACTCCTTCATCATCTTCCTCATCGATTTCTTTAAAGCTGTCTTTCTCAAACCAGAGCTCAGCCTTCTTAGTTCTTTTAGATACTGGATCTGTGTCATCGAGGTCTGTCAGCAATGGATTATTCTTAGGTATTGGTTTCTCTTTACTGATCTTGCTGTTCCTCAATGTATTCAACTTTGTCAGCTTATCAATTTTCTTTGATTCATTGTCGGAGTCAGAAAATGCTGTAACACAACAATAGACATAACAGTTGAAATTCAAGTAATATATTCAAAATACAATGAAAATTATAGTTGTGAAATTCAAAATTTGTAGTTATTGTAATAACTACAAGCAAATGATAATACATGCATGATTTTATACATTAATAATACCTAAAGTCTCTTTCTCCTTTTCATCATCGGAATCGGATTCCATTTCCAGCTCACTGTCGGAATCCTTGTAGAACAATCCGGATGAATCCAACTTGGATTCTTCTATATCATATTTAACAAACTTTGCCTTCTTCTTCATATCGTCATCGGAATCCTCTTTCTCCAATACTATATCTGGTTGTTGATCAACTATCATATTTAATTGCTAAAATAAGAAATACCACATGTAATCTTAGTAGATTATGAACAGAAAGTATATTATTTACAGTGTGTGTTTATTCCTTTTTGTAAGTATTACAAGCTAATTAAAATGCAATCTGTTGTATTTTTATTTATATATAATATCATACTTGAGTGTTCTTGATGTCAGAGAGAGAAAACATGTCATGACTTTCTAATATCGGTCCATCGTCTCCTTTCAAAACCATTTTAAGATTCATTTTCTCGGCTAATTTTTGTCTCTGCTTATTCAACTGCTTCCTTTTTCGTTTCAGTTGCCTTTTTTCTTCATCCTTAAAATTGATCATTAATATTATTTTTTGTTATTTAACTTATTATTTAATTTTGTTATTAAAATATTGTAATATTTTTAAATTCCATACAAACCTGTAGTTCAGCTATTTCATTATCAACTTCATCATTTTCATCACCAGAAGCTTCTTCTACTTCTTTATCATCCTCATCTTTTTTCTCTGTTTCCTTAAAGAATATTATAAGACATTAGGAAAAAAATTTCATTTACAGAATCCATATTTTTCACACGAAAGTAATGTTCACAAATCAAATTATATAATAAATTCTTCAGATTCAAATATAAAGTTTTTATTACTTTTCCTAAAACATTGACCTAATATTTCAAACAAAAAAAATTAAAGGATTGTTTGAGATTGAGATTGCAAAGAACATGGAACATTATTCAACAGGTTACAGTTTTACCTTTGTTTGTTTTGATGAATGTATTCTTACTTTTTCTTTATAAAAATCATACATAGATTACATTATAACTTGATTTAGTACTAATATGTAAAGATACATACTTCTGTAGCATTCTGTGATGCTTTCCAATCTTTGAGATGTTTTATCCAACTCAAAAGAGCTTTCACATCCTTCCTTCCCAAAACCTTTATGTCTTTGCAGCATTCTATAATTTCTTTTGTGGTTTTAGCGTGGTCGAGTACAGATTTATCATCTATTGTTATCTGAAATCCAATAAAATAATATAAAATTTACTAATCATATTAAAGGATTTACTTTCCCAATAAATATCTTCCTATATTAAATATTACCTCAGAGCAGCCTTGTAGCAAGTCTATGGGGTCCTCTTTATCCAAAAATTCTGATATAGGAACACTATGGTATGTTGTGTAATCATTTTCTTTATAACCCTCGGCTTTTGGTTTTTTCTGTTTTTCGGGATGCAAAAGATTCATTTGTTGCTTTTTAACTATCTCAAGATCTTCAAACACATGTTTGGGGTCCAAAAGTTTGGGATCAATACTGTCTGGGGCGATATATCCTTGGCACACAACAAATATCTCGGAGGACTCATTACGAGACGCTTGTGGTTTTGTAGCATGTACTTTCTTAAAAAATTGTTTCAGCACCCACAGTAATGCATGATAATCTTTTGACCTGAACACTTTGGTCACGAACCATCCACCTTCTCTCAAGAAGTGTGATGCTAATTTTAATGCACTTAAAGTGAGGCAGGCCTGCTGGTAAGCATCATGGATCCAATTTAAACCAACATTTGGAGCTCCGTCATGAAGTACGACGTCAGCTTTCCATGTTTTGATTTCTTTCTTAATAGCTGTTTTACATTTTTCCGTTGTTATGTCTTCGGTCAGACTGATACAACCGGGTACTTGTTTTATAGGGAACAAATCGACACCTATCACAACACTGGATACAGGCATGTTTTGGTGAGCCACCTGCATCCATCCTCCGGGAGCGGCACATAAATCGATACATACTCGCGATTTTTGGAGAAAACCAAATTTCCGATTCAACTGTATTAACTTAAAAGCAGCTCTTGACCTAAAACCTGTTACATAGAAAGTATTTAAAGCAATTAAGACCACGATACAACTTAAATATAAACATTATATACAGTTTTAACATCTAAAGATATAAACTATTAATTATTATGATTAAATAATGTGTTAAATTTTATTCATATTTACCTGTTTCTTTAGCAAGTTGATAATATTTATCTTTCCGCTGTTTTCCTACTTTCGTTTTCTTTCCCATTTTTATATATTGGGGTTACAAAATCACCAATATTAAAAAATCAACAATGTGTTTTAGGAAAACATCATGCTTAATGTGTCAATCTTAACACTTCAAAATAGTGAGGTTAAAATATTTTTTTAATTGTCAGTTCCCGATTCACGCAAAGGTTGTACTTATTATTCCATTATTTAAAAAAAATCTTATAAAATGCATATCTGTTAACGAAAACAATTTTTATATAGAATATTGTTTTTCTATAGTAATCATATTAACAAATAAATAAGGAGAATTTTAAAAAATATATACATTTTTATGCTATAAGAGATGTTCGTGTTGCAATACTATTGGTTGATAAAATAACAAAGTCGATATAGATGTATCGAGTCAAGAATTATTTACCTAACACATTGCTTAAAATATTGAAGAATCTATTAATTATATCATAAATTTGGTATTACAAAATTAAAAATCTATATGTATTTTTTGTGTTAATTTAATTTAATAGAATTTTACACAAATATTGCAATCAATATCGGCTTTGTAGCCAATCGATTAATGGTGCTCGATTTTCTTGTAAGCTGATATGTAGTTTTTTTAATCTATTACAATTGCAATCCAGAAGTGTTTTGTCATCCATTAGGACTTTACTCGTATTTGATATCGTTGCATCATACCATAACGATATTGACTATTTATTTGTTTGAGTGATCCGAGTGGATACTGTTTTCTGTCAGTACGAATTGTGATATTCTTATATTTTGTGCTGTGTACTACCGTGCGACAAGAATTTTGACAAGATGGCTCCAACTATTCACACTTTCATCAATAGTTTTCAAAATCGACTGTAAGTGATCTCCATATTTACGCAAAATATTGAAATTATAAAATTGCTTTAATTAAAGCTACAAAATGGCAAATTTGTATAAATACTCCAACCGATCAGTAACAAAACAGCTACCATTTTCTGACTTTTCTAGAACTTGTACGTCATTATTTTATTAAGAAATCTTGTGATAGCAATATGAAATTAAATGAAAGACCTAGAAACATATGTAGCAACATTAAGATGGATTAAGTATACAAAGAAAAACAGTTTTTTTTCATTTCCTCCTAATTGTTTCATATTATTTATATGTTGACATTTCGAAATGATTTTCATTGTTTTACGTTTTTAGAGAACCACCAGTGCGTCAACATCTTAAGAATGTTTATGGCACACTCATGATGACATGTGGGGCCGCTTCAGCCGGAGTGTATGTTGACATGTACACACGGTTCCAGGCTGGCCTCCTTTCAGCACTTGTTGGTGCCGGTCTCATGCTAATGCTGATTGCTACACCAGACAATGGAAAAAATACTCAACTGAGACTTGGCTATCTGCTAGGATTTGGTTTAACATCAGGTTCATATAAACTCTACTAATTACTAAATTTTTTAATATTTTAATGTATTTCATCATTTATGTTCATGTTTTTTGTTTTCTAGGAATGGGCTTGGGACCTCTGATGGAGTATGTCAGCGTTGTTGACCCCTCTATCATTGTAACAGCTTTAATGGGCACAACATTAGTGTTTGTGTGTTTCTCCATTGCCGCTATGCTTGCTGAACGAGGAAGCTGGTTATTCTTGGGCGGCACACTGATGACTCTGCTAACATCTATGTCTTTGATGACACTAGTCAACCTTTTCATGCAGTCACATATCTTATACCAAGTAAGTATAGGCTTACTCATAAGGAAATTGTTATTATATTATAATTTTATGATGCATATTGTTTAATTCTTGTTTTCAGACACATCTTTACCTTGGACTTATGTTAATGTGCGGTTTTGTGCTCTTTGATACACAACTCATTATTGAAAAGCGCAGAATGGGCAACAAGGACTTTGTACAACATGCATTAGAGCTGTTCATTGACTTTATCGGAATGTTCAGGAGACTGCTGATTATTCTCACACAAAAAGTAAGTCAGTTGTTATTAATTTATACAATTTATGCTCCGTACAAACAGAATTTACACATGCTAATTTATATAACCTTGATTTGGTTAAAATTGTCATGCCTGTAAACAAGTGGCAGTTTTATATAACATTTTGATATTATCTTATCTTAATTTGTAGATATCAAGTTGAAAATAACAATTCATTCATATGCATATTTATATAGAAAAATATTGTTATGATTTGTGATGTTTTGAACTCTTACACACAATACTAAATTTTTAAACATGTGACTTGCAAATGGGTTATAATTATTACTTATTTTTTACAGGAAGAGCAGAACCGCCGCCGTAAACGTGATTAGGACATAATGTCAATATTTCATAAGGTTTGGAGTGTCGGGAAAAATTAACTGTACCATATTATTCTTCTTATTTTATTTTATAATTGTGTTAAAGGTATCCAGAAATTTATAATGTTCAGAACATAAAATAAATCAAAAACCCCACATCATTGTTTTATTTCAATTACAGTCCTAATAACATTTATAAAAGCATATTTAATAATAAATTTAAATATCAAGTACATAAGTTTGTTTTTTTCTTGACTTCAAGGTAAATACTTTTTGTAATGTATAAATTATCATATCTTCAAGATATATTTGTATAGAAGTGGCTCATCAAGATAGCAGCTACTCTTGTCTGTATTTTTTTATCCTTATTTTATAATTTTAACAAAACAAAGGTAGAGATACAAACAATAGTTTTTGTATCCATGTCTTAAAAAATATCTGAATATTTAAATGCTTCAGAAATTGCAATAGACAATATGTGTAACTGATAAGCTAAAAGTTTAAAAAAGAAAAGATCATTCCAACAGAAAAAAGAGAAATTTATTAAAATATTAATTTATTAAAATAATTCTACCTGTTTGTCAATAAAAAATTGCTAGAAAAATAAAGAATATTCAAAAACATTTAACGGAAAAAAAGCGCTTTTACAACATTGATTTTGCTTAACGTTATTAACGTACAGATGTTCAAAAACATTTCATCAGCTCACATCATCATTTAGCTGAGGATGAATTTTACTATTATTATTGTGTAATAAGACTTTTCTTGCTCTATTTATTTCGTCGCTAATTATGGAGCTTATAAATGTTTTTGTGCTCGGTTTAATTATTTCAGTATCACGATTAGTTCTATGGGTTAATTCAACAGATTTAACTTTATTCTTGCCTATCAAATAATTACTCTGCAAATTAGTCCTACAAAAACGAAATTTCAAAGATTTAATTTGACTGTTCCGCATGATATATTCATAAGTAGAAACACCTAGCATCGCTATATAAACATGAAAACATAATAAATGTAATAAGGCACAGGCTATCGCTAAACCACTGATACAATAAATAACAAGAAAAGTCAATAATGCTATTGAATTATTACAATACTTGGTAAGCTCTGGTGCATTCAGACAATTTGTAAAATTTTGTGCTTCATGACTTAAATTATGAGGATATTTGATAAAAAATACGATATCAGTTAAACATAATGCAGAAGTCAACAGTGCTATTAATAATGCACTAACGACGCATAAAATAAAAGCTAAATAATTTCTACGACCAACACAATTGTTTAACCATTTGCAGTGATGATCAAAATAGTACACGCATTTGTTACATATACCACAATGTTTCGTGTTTTTATTGCTTGTATTTATGTTACAAAGATGACATCTTCCATTTTCAATAACATGGGCGTGTATTGTGCGATCAAATTCCGGAACAGTATTAACTTCCATTTTCCTTAATTCATATTCACTTGGATCCAAAAACAAAGCAAATCCATGTGCAACGATATGAAGAATATATAATATGCAGTACAGTACGTACGTAATGATTTTTAAGACTTCGAATTGTATTTGAACCAAAATTAAGAAATTTAAAAAAATTGTTGCCACGAAAACAATCCAACCAATCACCTGCAGGTAGTTTAATGGAAATTGAATCCCATTTAATCTCCTTTGACCTCTCCGTGTATGGATTGTGGACAAACATTTGTTCATTGGAAATATATAAAAATATATGTATTATTCCTTTGTTTTCAAATCGCCTTTGAACACGGAAAGGTGAATGAGCAGGTAAGTTTCGTGCGCGCGCACCTTAGCTTATTTGAACGTAAGTTACCTTTCAGGTTTCGAAACACCTTTAATGATTAATCAATCTTTTTACTATGTGTAGTAAAAGCTTATCCATGAAGTAGATATTTTTTGCTGCTCGACCAACAAAACAAATGACGTTAAAACTTTTTAGACCCCTCTGACCCAAAATGTATTAAGTATAGGCATTATTTCATATTTTTACATTTTTTTCATATTACATTTTTCATCACTTTTTTACTTCTTGGTTTTATTTTAGTATTTAAAAATACCCAAATAACCTGGGGAGCAGTCATTCAACAAACTACGTAAAATTTTATGTAATTTTTTTTAGCGACGGCAAATTACTATCATGAAATACAAGTTGTATATTGTCTTCAGAGGACATCTTTTACAATGAAATCTTTTACTAATTGGTCGTGATAATTAAGGATTGAATATATTTTTGACTGTCTGATATATATATCAGACAGTCAAAAATACATATCAATTAATGTGGAGTCTTCGTAAAATAGTTACGACATGTGAAACGAAAAAAAAAATTAAGCAGCCAAATTGTAAAAAAAATAAGGAGGGTTTTAATAATACATGTCCTTTGGGGTTCAACACAACAAATTTTTGAACAAAGTAAGAAATAAGAAAAAACAACAGTATGACAATAATATTATGTAATATATTTACAACAATAATTGTTAAATTGGTCAACCAATTTTGTCAGCTTTTTGTGCAAAACTAATTGCCATTTCTCTCCTTGTTTTCACCAATATTCTGTGACCTTTGCAATCCCTATTTTCCTCATAACATTTATTTCTGCAACATTTTTTGCAAAGCTGATATTCGCATTTCCCTCCCTGAAAAGACGTAATTTTTATATTTATATGTTGCCATTTTTGTAAATTTAAACAATGAAATGGCAGTACTTACAAGGGGATTGGGGCAAGTGTCATTAACACATATGTCACCAGTTCTACCATTTTTCAATGCTTCCTCAGGTTTGATTGGTCGTCTCATAACTCTTCGCATCTTTTTCATTTTTTTTCTTGATATTTTGTTGCCATCGTTGTCCTCAAATGTTCTTTTAGAATCGTTGTTGTTATCCTACAGAAAAAATATTCTATATATTATCTACTTTACGAGATAAATGTAATTATTATATATAATTTCTAGTAATTTTGATGGAAAAAAATTATATTATACTAGCTTTTGCCGCGGCTTCGTCCGCGTGGAATAGTGACTTCCGGCAGATTTTTGGTTCTTCCCACATAGTTTCCGTTCTTGCGGGGTTTTCGGAATGGTCGAGTTCCCGTAGAATTTTCAGGATAAAACCTATGTTTTTTTAAATTCACAATGAAGTACTCTTAACCAACAACATATTTATTTGTTTATTTGAATAAAGATTTTATAAAATTATTTCGACCAAATTAGGTACCATAAAAACGGTATTTGTGAGTTAATCTTAAAAGATAGACATATACTGTCGCGGACTGTTTTATAGATCATTAAAAGAACTATTATTCTTTAATACATATTTTCTGTGTATCTTGAACCGTTTTCACGGCGCACGCAACGGAAGGCTTCAAAGATGAAATAATTTCTCCCGTTTTTTACACATTTACCACTATATCTTTGCTCCTATTGGTCGTAGCGTGATGTTATATAGCCCACAGCCTTTTTCGATAACTGGACTATCCAACACAATAAGAATTATTCAATTCGAACCAGTAGTTTCGGAGATTAGCGCTTTCAAACAAACAAACAAACAAACTCTTCAGCTTTATAATATTAGTATAGATAATTTCTAGTAATTTTGATGGAAAAACATTATATTTTATTTTATTTTATATTTTAAATACCTGACTATTTACAATTCTCTCCATTTTTTTTGTATGTTCATCAGGAGACATTCTCACATATGGTTGACAAATCCACGGTGGAAGGATTAAACATTTGTGATTTCTTGTAATACCTTCATTATCATCAAATTGCAATCTCCCCTCATGATAGGGCAAATATTTATTTCTTATTTTAATGCACACTTGTTTAAAATCATCTAGGCATTGAGCTGTAGCCAGCAATTGTCTTTCTTCATTATTGCTGTCATAAGTGAACCTAAAACATTTAAATCATCTAAATTTAAGCAAACAAATTTATATTAAATATATTCACAGTTGATAGAAATTTTATTAATTAGACTTACACTTTATGAAAGATTTTAAAAAGGTGACCTCTTATGTATGATGTTGGGCAGGGGTATCTCTCAACAAGTTCAAGATATTCCAAAGCAATCTCCCATGAAACACAGTTTATTCCTTCAAATATTGCTGGATTTGTAAGATTACCTTCTGCACTCATTACACCATCAACTTTTGTATATTGCAAACACCGTTCAACATCTTGTAAACATTGTATATTTCCATTTGCAAACATTGGTATAGAAATTGCTTCTCTAAAAGTGTTCATCCAAATTATTACATTAACTATAAAAACTTATTTGTTTGCTAGGATGTAGCCACTGCTCTTTATATATCATGGTTACTATCATAACTTACCGAATGGCTTTTATATGCTCCCAGCTAGCAATACCTGTCAAAGGTCCCTTTTGCTCTCTAGTTCTGCCATGAACAGTCAATAGCTTGCATCCTGCTTCTTGTAGCATCAGTGCATATTGCACAGATTTTTCAATGCTTTCAAAGACTCTCACTTTACATGTAATTGGAACAGACACTGTTTTTGACATTTTTGAAACTGAAATAATGTTTAAATTCCATGATTTGCCTTAAAAGTAATAAAAAGCTTTAATAACGATTACTATTAATTAGTTTTAATGGCAATTTACCTATGTCTTTTAATAACTGCCACTCCTCTTGAAGAAAGGATCCATACCTTCCCCTTTTAGCAATAGATTGTGGGCAACCCAAATTAATGTCTATTGCATCACAATCACTCTCAACAAATTTAGCAGCGGCAGCCATTGTTTCTGGATTATTACCACAGAACTGTTAAAAATACAATACTACACAAACTTGTACTTAAGCTATATTAAGTAATAATGTTAATTCACAAACCTGAACAAATAAAGGTCTATCTTCAGGACATGTTGTAAAATTCTCTTTTCTGTATTTAGGGTCTTTAATAAATACGGTGCTGTGTAACATGGGGGTATAACAAAGCGTAGCACCATGTCTTCGACTTAGTAATCTCCATGCCAATTCACTGGCGTCTACCATAGGGGCTACCACATATTGTGGACGTCCTATAACCTCAAACCAATCCTTATCCATGTTCTAATTTTACTATGTGATAGTCGAAATTATAAAAACTCTATATTTTTAATTATTATCCTTAATTTAATATTGTATCGAAAAATATTATACCCTTAAATTATACATTTTCTAATGTACACAATACACACTTAGGTGTTTTGACTTTTGACCATTATTTGACTTTGAGTTTTGAAGTGACAGTGACAATAAAACACTTCCATTCTACACTGATAATAGTCTCAAAATTTTTGCTGAAAAATTGTTTTGTAATTAAAATTTTATCAGATTAACTAAAAACAATAAATGTTATTTTGATTTATTTTTACTGTCATATACATATCGATTTTGATATATTTCCTTCCTCCTAACAGTCATGTTGTAAAAACTACATTAAATCGGATTGTTCATATTTGGACCACATTATAAAGTTTTCTCTGAATTATATACTGTTGTTACTTAGATGTCACTGATGAGCGTCTCGATAAACTGGATTGGCTTCAGAATTTATGCCTCCGTTTTATTTTCGGCTTGCGTAAATACGACCATATTTCTGAATTCCGCAGCAAATTAAAGTGGCTCCCTATCTGCTTCCGTAGGAATATGCATGTTTTAAGTTTTAACGCTAATGTACAATATGTTCAACTCGAGCGTTTTAAATTTTCCTCCCCCAAAATCCTTCCTAATCGCTCTTATGTTGCACAAAATCCTCTTGATATCCCCTCCTTTAATACAAAACTATCGTAAATCCTTCTCCGTCCAAGGTGCAAAATTTTGGAACTCACTCCCACCTTCTGTTTACAAAGAGAGTCCAAGTGCATTTGCCTTTAAACATCGACTTAAGAGACATCTTCGGTCACTTTTACCTAAATATAATATGCAATGTTTATGTATTTATTATATTTCTATATATTTATGTATATATCTATGTAAGTATAATATCTGGATTTTATACGATTATAATTTGGTTTGTATTCTTTTATACAGGGTGACTGGTGAATTACTATCAATATTTAAGGAGAATTCTCGGTACATGATTCTCATTCGAATTATGTAAAAAAAATAGGTACTTAATTTTTGACCAAATTTCCGTATAAATAAATAAAGCGTGGACACATTCCAAGTGTGGACGCGTGCGGCGGCGTGCTGATACAACACTACGCCGCCGCACGCGTATGTGTGTGTGAGTGTATACCTAATCTGTAGGGTGTGCACACGATGCGTAATTAATTACATAACTTTTGGTTAACTTTACTTAGAAGTTTATTAATATTTATGTAATATTAATTTTTATTGTGTCATATATGATCGTCAAATATCACGTCCTAAAGTATTGATAGTAATTCACCAGTCACCCTGTATATCTATATACCTCTTTTTTTCCTTCTGTCTTTTTATTGTACCTATTCCTCATTTCTGTTCTCATTTCCTCTATCAAAAGGGTTTCTGGTAGAGATCTCTTTTAATAGATAAGTTATCTTTTGTACATCGCATTTCTTTTATAATATGTACTTTAATTGTAACTATTTTTTTTCTTTTTGGTACATAAATAAATATACATTTCTAATCTAGTATAATGTATTATTCAGATATTCTATATAAAATGTGATATAAAAATCGTGATATTAATTAGCTGTTTTACTTAACAGCATGTAGAATTAATGCTAAAAATAAAACAATTGTTAAATGAAAACCTTTATTTACAACTGAAATAATACTATGCACAACGCAAGTCACATCTTTGGTTTCGGATGTTTGCAAGAAAATTCAAGTTAAATAAATAATTAATTTAATATAATGCCTACATTCGGTATTTATTTACGTTGAACGTTCAACATCTTGATAAGCACAAATCCCATAATGGTTGCCGCCGCAACGCCGATACCCGCCTTCCACCACGAGGAATTCTCGCCCGCCATACTTGCAAAGTGTTTCAGATGTCTGAAGAATATATAGTATATTAATCACAAAGACATTATTTCCTCAATAATACCTTAAAATATCCAATATAAAATACTTGAAACCTAATTTAATGATCACTAAATACTTGAGTAACATTTTATACAAATTCTTACCTGCGTTTGCTGAATAAAACCCAAGCCGCTTGAAATTGACTGACCAAGTCATACATTAAAATAACATTTTATCAATATTCTTTATAATAGCTATATTTTTATTTTGGTAAATATTTTTAAGAAAATTATTTTATTTATCCAAATTTAGTAATATTTACAGATTAATATTTAAATAAAACATGATAATTTTCACTTACGGAAATGCAGCCATCGTCGCCAATTTAACAAACACATCATGTTTATTTTCTCTGATGTTGAATATTTGTGGTGCCAATAGTTGATATTTGTTACAGAACACTTCTGGTTGTAGAATGTACTCCTGCCTCATGATCAAAGCATCTCCTTTTGTGCCTACTATTAACACAGGAATGTGACTTTCCGCGAAATATTTCTGAAAACCAATTGAGTGATTATATATTGTATACAATGAAGTTTGAACATGATTACTGTAGAATTGTTTTATAATAAAACTGTGAAGCCATGTGTTAATAGAAACAAGGTCAGATTTTTGTGTGAAAACAGTTTAAAAGAAGTTAGCGATAGATTATACAGGGTGACTGGTGAATTACTATCAATATTTAATGAGAATACTCGGTACATGATTCTGATTCGAATTATGTAAAAAAAAAATAGGTACTTATTTTTTGACCAAATTTCCGTATAAATAAATAAAGTGTGGACACGTTCCAAGTGTTCCAAGTGTGGACGCGTGCGACGGCGTGCTGATATAACACCACGCCGCCGCGCGCGAGTGTGTGTGTGTGTGTATACCTAATCTGTAGGGTGTTCACACGATGCGTAATTAATTACATAACTTTTGGTTAACTTTACTTAGAAGTTTATTAATATTTATGTTATATTAATTTTTATTTTGTCATATATGAATATGATCGTCAAATATCACGTCTTCAAGTATCCATAGTAATTCACCAGTCACCCTGTATAACAATTAACAACCATCTACTTTTTTATAATAGTCATATTATCAAGAAATACAAGTATCAAAATTATTTGTCACATTTGAATTGCTGATAAACTTTTAATATTTTACCAGTCACTATTGCTTTTATAGTGAACCAGAAAAATATACCCTAAATTTTTTTTCCATATTCGTGTTTTATGTGAATCAACATTATTTGTGAAAATGCTAAAAATAAGTCTCTAGCTTAACATTTTCAGAAAAAATTAATTTGAAAAAATCAAACTACATACTTTCGTTTGATTATTGGTTGATAAATAATCAGAATTTAGGAATAACATTAATGTACTAAAACTAAGAACAAATTAAAATCCACTCACTATATATATTCTAGCAATATACTCGAATGAACGACTTGCAGCTACATCATACACAAGACAGGCCACATCACAGTTGACCTCGTGGGGCTGTAAGGGGTCGGACACACGGGTTATTGGAATCTCTTTCAATATCAGGTACTTCTCTTGGCCGTATACATGTACTGTGTTAATACAGCATGTGTTCTCTGGGCTGTTACCATCGCCTCGTTCATGTGAATGAGGCTTTATTTTCTGAAATATAAAAATATTAATTAAAACATGAATCTTTTAACAAAATATTTTTTGAAGTTATACTTCTTTTAGCGCGGTGGAGAAAAATTATGAGAGTCTATTTTTACACCGATAGCGACATCGTGAAGTTAGTTCCAGGTGGTTGCTAACCGATAACTATGTTCAAGTTGTATATTCTAGTATTTATATATTAAGGACACGTGTTTCGTTACAGTACAATTGAATAGTGTGAATAAATACATATTATTTTGGTGTTTTTATTAAAACAATTTCATTAAGGCCTCGGCCTCGAATTTTGCGGGCAGCGGAGCGGCGGCGGCGCCGGCACGGAAACGCATACATTTCTCCAAAATAGCGGGCAGCGGGCACCGCTGTATTCGAGGGTCGGTCCATTTGATTATACGCGTAAGATCTTGCCGCTCCCGCTGCCGCTCCGCTGCCCGCAAAATTCGAGGCCGAGGCCTAACGACAGTTTTATTTCTGATGTATTAACAAATTTTATGTATAAATAAAAAAAAGTAATTGATTTTCTATACTTGTTTAAATTAACCTTGACTGCTATCTTGCTATGTTGTTTATACTATCTTTAATTTTAAGTATTTGTTAAAATTTTATTTATTTTCTATACGCCAAAGAAGTATAACTTCTAATGCGAGTTTCTAAGTGCACATACTCTTTTTTTTATTAATTTGTCATTTAATACTAATTACTAACCTTATGTGCTATCCCTAGAAAACTCCTACATATGGATGTTTTGCCACAAGTTCTAGGTCCAATAATGTGACATTGGTATACATTTCGGCTTGATTGTTTTTTTGCAATATCAACCTTTTTATCTCTGGTAACTGTAATACAAAAAAATATTTAAAATGTAATTTTGTAATTATTAAAATATTTCAATATTCCTGTGTCCTTACCGTGAAATGCTGATTTTTGTGTATCATTTTCAAGAAAATTATACCCCAGGTATGCTAAGTAGGCACTTGTTTCTTGCAAGTCTAATAGTGTCATCAATGTCCACCGACACATCCAACCTTGTAATGTCAGATAACCCTGAAAATTGACGTTTTTTTTAATTCATTACTATTTTTATATTCAATTGAGAGATTAATGCAAAAATATTTTATTAATTCTATATAATGTAATACAGTAATGTCCTTATTTTTATAGAACTATTTGCTATTTCCGCGCCATTTTCAACAAACAAACGCTATTCATGATTCAGTGACAAAGATTTATTCCAAAGTGACAAATTGAACAAAGACTGTGTATATTAATTTTGTAAATGACATTTAATATAAAATATGGACTTAGTAATCAATATTTTAAAAGTTTTGAATAATTTAAATTTCAGATTACTTATGACGACTATTCGGTGTATGGAAACAGAGAATTAAAAATACCTTTTCATTTGTAGGCACTGTATAGCGCAAATTATGCCATGGAATACGAGGACAACAAGAGAACACATTCTTCAATTCTGTTGGATTGAGCATCCCATCTTTATCTCTGTCATATTTCTCAAATAATTGTGTTAAAAATTGTTGTCCTTTATATGAAAGTTCTGAAGTACAGCCCATTGGAATCTTAATGCTTAAAAAATATCAAAATTCAATACATATTAAATTATATTACTGTAAAAAATGTGTAATATCTTAAAATAAAAATAAAATACAAGATTTTCAAACACTTAAGCACCTAAGGTAAAGGTACCTTATAAAAAACCTGGGTTTTTGGTAATAGATGAAAAGAAATTTGATAAAAATAAACTAATCTATATATATAAAAGAAAGTCGTGTTAGTGACTCCACTTATAACCCAAGAACGGCTGAACCAATTTAGCTGAAAATTGGCAGGGAGGTAGTTTAGAGCCAGGTAATTGCAATAGGATACTTTTCATCCCGTTCGACAGCATTCCCGTGGGACTTGACATGAAACGTCAGTCATTATAAAACGTGGAATAACACAATTGACAGCTATGCAATTAACGTATAATGACAGATATGTAATGACGTATAGATGACAATTAGATATTTGTAAGAAATCTACTATATAAAAATAAAAATATTTAGGTATTGTGTTTGTAGTTTGAACTCTTAAAACCATTTAGTATTTGCGGGATAAATTTAGAAAATCATTGTTTTTCACATGGGCAGTTATATTTTGCGTGTTCACGAGTTTGGAAACCATACGCTTTATTTGTGTTAAAGTTAGACCAAAAAACAAAAAATGTGGTTTACAAAGGAGCACTTCAATGAAACGGATAATTTGCGGACACGTATTACGCTTCTATTCGGTATCTACTTTGGATTCACTTTCATTTACTTAGAGAAGTTCAACTAAATAACACTTCATTTTTGTATTCGAAATGAATTCATTACTGTTGTGAAATGAAATAAAAAATTTCTTTTTCAAATATAAAACAAAAAATTCTTCATCTTTTAATCACCATACGAAATGTTATATAAAAGCCTTCTGGTGGCGAAACGGAGTTCGCCAGGTTTACTAGTATATATATATATGCTATTTTTCTACTTATTCAAAAAAGGTACAACAAAAATTTACAAACGCCAAAAGCATCTTCAAAACATCTGTTCATTTGATTAAAGTACATACATAGAAAAGCAAATTCTTGACCAATTTCATATAAATAAATAATAAATATTAATTTTGTAATATGTATATGTATATATACAGGGTGACTGGTGAATTACTATCAATATTTTAGGAGAATACTCGGTACATGATTCTCATTCGAATTATGTAAAAAAAAAAATAGGTACTTAATTTTTGACCAAATTTGTATAAATAAATAAAGTGTGGACACGTTCCAAGTGTTCCAAGTGTGGACGCGTGCGGCGGCGTGCTGATACAACACCACGCCGCCGCGCGCGAGTGTGTGTGTGTATACCTAATCTGTAGGGTGTTCACACGATGCGTAATTAATGACATAACTTTTGGTTAACTTTACTTAGAAGTTTATTAATATTTATGTTATATTAATTTTTATTTTGTCATACATGATCGTCAAATATCACGTCCTCAAGTATCGATAGTAATTTACCAGTCACCCTGTATATTATGGCTTCATTTAACCAACATTTTTTCTTAATAATCAAATGTCACGCGTAGATGTTGCATCCACAAAGGTCAGCCAGTAAATACATTTTTTATCCAAAGAGTTTCTATATTCTTAGTACATATATTCTTGTACAAGTTTTTCTCGTTCGTGTTAAAGAAATTTACATGAGAATCGTGTTATATTTTTGTACCTACATATATTAAAGATTCATTGCCGGAACTGGATTCAAATATTGTATTGTGTAACGCTGAGTAGACGCTGCGAGGGTTAGGGTCCTGTTTGTTTTTAGATAGAAGCGAGTTGGACGATCAGTTGGTCGACCAGTTGGACGATCAGTTGGACGATCAGTTGGTCGATCAGTTGGACGATCAGTTGGACGATCAGTTGGTCAATCAGTTGGTCGATCAGTTGGTCGATCAGTTGGACGATCAGTTGGTCGACCAGTTGGACGATCAGTTGGTCGATCAGTTGGTCGATCAGTTTGACGATCAGTTGGTCGATCAGTTGGACGATCAGTTGGTCGATCAGTTGGTCGACCAGTTGGACGATCAGTTGGACGATCAGTTGGTCGACCAGTTGGACGATCAGTTGGTCGATCAGTTGGACGATCAGTTGGTCGATCAGTTGGTCGATCAGTTGGTCGATCAGTTTGACGATCAGTTGGTCGATCAGTTGGTCGATCAGTTGGTCGATCAGTTGGTCGACCAGTTGGACGATCAGTTGGACGATCAGTTGGTCGACCAGTTGGACGATCAGTTGGTCGATCAGTTGGACGATCAGTTGGTCGACCAGTTGGACGATCAGTTGGTCGATCAGTTGGACGATCAGTTGGTCGATCAGTTGGTCGATCAGTTGGTCGATCAGTTAGTCGATCAGTTGGCCGATCAGTTGGTCGATCAGTTGGTCGATCAGTTGCCCAACCAGTTGCCCGACTAGTCTATATATATAAAAGGCTCCACTTATAACCCAAGAACGGCTGAACCGATTTAGCTGAAAATTGGCAGGGAGGTAGTTTAGAACCGGGAAATTGCAATAGGATACTTTTTATCCCGTTCGACAGCCTTCCCGTGGGACTTGACATGAAACGTCAGTCATTATAAAACGTGGAATAACAGAATTGACAGCTATGCAATTGACGTATAATGACAAATATGTAATGACGTATGGATGACAATTAGATATTTGTAAGAAATCTACTATATAAAAATAAAAATATTTAGGTAATGTGTTTGTAGTTTGAACTCTTAAAACCATTTAGTATTTGCGGGATAAATTTAGAAAATCATTGTTTTTCACATGGGCAGTTATATTTTGCGTGTTCACGAGTTTGGAAACCATACGCTTTATTTGTGTTAAAGTTAGACCAAAAAACAAAAAATGTGGTTTACAAAGGAGCACTTCAATGAAACGGATAATTTGCGGACACGTATAACGCTTTGATTCGGTATCTACTTTGGATTCACTTTCATTTACTTAGAGAAGTTCATTTAAATAACACTTCATTTTTGTAATCGAAATGAATTCATTACTGTTGTGAAATGAAATAAAAATTTTCCTTTTCAAATATAAAACAAGAAATTCTTCATCTTTTAATCACCAAACGAAATGTCATCTAAAAGCCTTCTGGTGGCGAAACGGAGTTCGCCAGGTTTACTAGTTGTTTATAAAAATTAAAAGACATAATGGGTATTCTTTCCTATTGGACTAATTTATCATTAATACTAATTGTGGACTATAAAATCAACTTACCTTGGATATAAGTAACTGTGTGTCAGTTCCAAGGTCTCATCATATCCAAACTTTCTTAAAACTGTCCATGTTGTCTCATTCCTTCCTCTTTGTATAAAAAGGCAATGCAAGAATATAAAACCCCTCATGGTTATACAATCATTCTCAATACCAGCTGCTACATTCTGTGCAATTACTGATTTTACTTCATCTAAAACCTGGAAAAGGAAATTGTGACCGTAAAGTAGAGATTATTGAAACTTCATTATTTTTAAGCCACAGTTTGTCCTAACCAAGAAAAATTAGATGCATAGCAGTATGTTTTATTTTTAATAACAGCATACAGATTTAACAAGGTTAATGCCTCCTGCTGCTTTTGTTTGAGGCCAATTAAGAAAATGAAATATTCAATGAAGATCTTACTTTAGACATGATATGCAATGACATACATTGACAATATAGGCAACAGATCTAGTGGTCGTTAAAATTTCTAATCTATACTAATATTATAAAGTTGAAGAGTTTGTTTGTTTGAAAGCGCTAATCTCCGAAACTACTGGTTCGAATTGAATAATTCTTTTTGTGTTGGATAGTCCAGTTATCGAGGAAGGCTGTGGTCTATATAACATCACGCTACGACCAATAGGAGCAATGATATAGTGGTAAATGTGTAAAAAACGGGAGAAATAATATCATCTTTGAAGAGTTCCGTTGCGTGCGCCGTGAAAACGGTTCAAAATACACAAAAAATATGTATTAAAGAATAATAGCTCTTTTAATGATCTAAAAAAAAGTCCGCGACAGTATACGTCTATCTTTTAAGATTAACTCACAAAAACCGTTTTTATGGTACCTAATTTGGTCGAAATAATTTGTTTAAGTTGTATCAACATAATAATATTAATCTTTATTCAAATAAACATGTTGTTGGTTAAGAGTACTTCATTGTGAATAAAAAAAAACATAGGTTTTATCCTGAAAATTCTACGGGAACTCGACCATTCCGAAAACCCCGCAAGAACGGGAACTATGTGGGAAGAACCAAAAATCTGCCGGAAGTCACTATTCCACGCGGACGAAGTCGAAGCAAAAGCTAGTAAAAGATATGCATGATAACTATTTGGTGATTTACTTAACAAATACAAGTTGATAACAACAACAACCCATAAGTTATGTCAAACTTATATACAGGTCTAGCGTTGCCAGGTCGCCAAACCTAATAGCCGGACAGACCAGCCAGTTTGGCCGGACATTCGGTTAAAAAAGCCGGACCCCTATATTATTGAGAATTTTGTCTTAGTATTAATAGGTACGACAATTTTTTAAATGTAAAATCAGGTCTTTTTGATTATTATCATAAATCTTGTTAATTTCTAGTGAAATAATAAACATAATCGAATGCCAAATCAGTCTTAAATACTTTATTATTGAGGTACTTTATTATTAATCAGTCAAATAGTTGTCAGTCAAAATTAAATTCTAGATACTTAAGCATTTATCAACATATTTGAATTTTTCTTAAATAATAAGAAAGGCACAAATTATACTTTTTTAACTAAAAAAAAATCAATAACTTCTGTTTAATTTAAAATATAAAAAACAACTTTCTTTTTGAGTTACACAATAAAAATATGTATTTTTGGTTTGTCGAAACCTGCTTTAAGAGTTCAGTTTCTTTCAAAATGTAGTTGTAAAAAACCTTACATGTCAAATATTTTAAATTAAATTCTATTCGCTTGTTTGCGAAATGTAAAAAGCCTAACAAAAACCGGACAAGACGGACACCATTTATTTTGACATGACATGTAATCAAAAAGCCTAACTATATCCGGCTTTATCCGGACGCCTGGCAAGGCTATACAGGTCTCATCTTATAAATTTCAACTGTGATTCATAAATCCTAAACAGAATTAAACTAAATGCTTCATGTTAATGATGACCTTAGTTTCCTTGGCCAGTTTATAAAACAACATATATACCTGCAATTGCAAGGGGGCTTCAAAACATTTCTTCTGAAATATTGTTATTTCAAAATCATCCAACACTCCATCACCATCCATGTCACAAATCTTAAATATTCTTGCCAGTGCCTTTTTACACCTTTCTGTCAGCTGAAAATATATAATTATGTAAGATTTTATATGTATGTATATGATATATACATATCTGTATATAAGAGAATATTAAGCTTGTGATTCATTCTTAAAGAGACAATATTGATATAGTGCAAAATAACACTTAATAAAATTTAATTACTAAATGTAATAGAGCTAGAGCCAGGGCCAGCCAGGCATCGTTAATTTACAAAAGCTGAAAGTTTATCTATAGATGTACCCAATATAGGTAGTCACGATCCCCAAATATGAAATTTGTGTCGAGGTGGCTTTTGCAGGTAACACGTTCTAAAGGTGTATAAAATTTTCTTTCACTTTCCTCTTAGTACAAAATTCAGTTTTGATATATTTTCATCGTAATAATATTAGAAATCACGCTGTAAATTGCCCGGCACTTAGTAAGGTGGGAAACCCAGCCAGGCACCCCTAAATTATAAGTAATTTTATTTGTACTTTCGTTATAGTACATATCAGTGGCGGCTGGTGGGTTATCGAACTGGTGGTGCACTTTACTAAAATATTAAAATTAGAAAATGTAACAAAAATCAATTGACATAAAATATGTTTATTTTTTATACATTAATTAATGCTATGACATTTTTCCGAAGCGAAATGTTCAATCACCTATTTATTAAAATCGGGTATTATTTGTATATTTTTTTTATTCAATACTAAGCACAGAAAGTACTCAGCAAGAGCAAGCGGAGAAAAGTTTTGATTCTTTTCAATTCCTGCTCTTGGTAATCTTCGGCCGCTCGTGCGGCGCTCGAGAACCGACTCATTACTCGGTACATTTCTATGAACTATCTTTTGTTTCACGCGTCAGGGGTATTATTTCGTATCTCATACAAGATGTATTAGCAGTCCTCGTGCACTTGCCGAAGCGCACGAGATATTAGTTTAGTAAAGCGCTCAAACTTTTTGACCATAATTAGAAATTTAATTTTTTATACGTTTTTGTATGTTTAGAAAAAAAAAATTAAAATAGTAATTTAAAAATAAAGATGAAGTAATATTTTGTAATTTTTAAATCTTTTGAATTGGCGGTTCAGCGCACGAGTGCACTTAAGGTACAGCCGCCACTGGTACATATACAGGGTGACTGGTGAATTACTATCGATATTTGAGGACGTGATTTGTGACGATCATATATGACAAAATAAAAATGAATATAACATAAATATTAATAAACTTCTAAGTAAAGTTAACCAAAAGTTATGTCATTAATTACGCATCGTGTAAACACCCTACAGATTAGGTATACACACACACTCACACATACGAGTGCGGCGGCGTTGTGTTGTATCAGCACGCCGCCGCACGCGTCCACACTTGGAACACTTGGAACGTGTCAACACTTTATTTATTTATACGGAAGTTTTGTCAAAAATTAAGTACCTATTTTTTTTACATAATTCGAATGAGAACCATGTACCGAGTATCCTCCTTAAATATTGATAGTAATTCACCAGTCACCCTGTATAAGCTGATTTTTATGTATGTTACTGAGGAAAGTATTAAATTATATTTACTCATTAGCCAGGCAGTTTCGATGGTGCTTTTACCTGGCCAGGCACACTGAAAGTCTTCCGTAAGTGCGAGAGGAAGGAACATATCCTCGATGAAGTTACAAATAGATATGTTCATGTTTACATTTTATAGGTATTTAGTTACCGAGAAGACAAACTTAGTTACTTGGGACAAATTTTTCTCGTTAAATGCTTTTTCAAAAGTAAACGTACAGACGGTAGGCTCTTCTGTTTCAGAACAATATTTTTTTATGTGTTATATAGATCAGTCATTGAGTGAAAAGATGGTTCTAAATATAATTTGTTGCTGATATTATATACTAGACATTAGAAAAAGTAAAAGTAATAATAGGCATAATAAAAATATCTTTTTCGTTAAATTTCTTATTGACAAATTACTTATGCCCTCTCATAATACATAATTTATTTTTTAAATATTGTGATTCTAATTTGAATAAACATTGAAATGTAGAATTTTTCAAAACAGTTTTAATTAAACTGTTAGATTTTTGATGTATTAACTTATTGAAAATTTGTTAAATTATAAAATAGTTCACACAAAATACATTGCTAAATTACAGCTGATGCGCAGTAGAAAGCTCGCAATAGACCGAGAGCACTAACTCACTCACACTCGCTCTGATATATGTTCCTCGCTGTCGCACTTACGGAAGACTTTCAGTGTGCCTGGCCAGGTAAAAGCACCATTGAATCTGCCTGGCTACTGAGTAAATATAATTTAATACTTTCCTCAGTAACATACATAAAAATCAGCTTATATATGTTCTATAACGAAAGTACAAATAAAATTACTTATACTTTAGGGGTGCCTGGCTGGGTTTCCCACCTTACTAAGTGCCGGGCAATTTACAGCGTGATTTCTAATATTATTACGATGAAAATATATCAAAACTGAATTTTGTACTAAGAGGAAAGTGAAAGAAAATTTTATACACCTTTAGAACGTGTTACCTGCCAAAGCCACCTCGACCCAAATTTCATATTTGGGGATCGTGACTACCTATATTGGGTACATCTATAGAAAAACTTTCAGCTTTTGTAAATTAATGAATGCCTGGCTGGCCCTGGCTCTTGGACTATAATATCATTTAGATAACTAATCATATCAATATTATAATTATTAGTGAGTCTTGGTGCACTTTTATTATACAATATAATCAAATGAAGCAATGGTATATTTACCTCTTGTTCCTCAATGCAGTAAATGGGATGAATGGGATGTAATACTGCTTTTTGGGCATTGTAAAACATTTCCGAGACATTTGTGAGAGTTTTTGCAGAACATTCTATACATCGATCTACTTCGGGATATTCTTCTGCTATGTCCCATATATTCTAAAAATATATAATTCAAAATGATACAAATTGATTACTCTACATATACTGTATATTTATTAATCAGATATTATTTAATTTCATGTAAAAAAAATATTTTGGGTTTGTTTATAAATAAAGCTTTTTTTACACTTGAGTGTATTACTTAGATTGTGGCTCTTGTTTCTTTAATAGTCACGACATAACAAAACCTGCACTTATATCCACAGATACGTTAACATTGCAAGATACAAGTTGAAAAAAAAATTGAACACATTAATGGTATTAAGTTTTCATGAATTTCATAACTTACATCAATAACAGAGTAGTCAATTAAATCTATTTTATTTCCAACCAGAATTACAGGCTTCCTATAATCATCAGAACAGCTATCTCTCACAAATGGTAACCAATAAGAAGCTATCTTATTTAATGTTTCTTGTTTGTCTACTGAAAATACTATACATATTACGTGAGCTTTCTCAATTTCTTCCGCAACCTGTTCAATTGTTTGTTCATTCACTAAAAACAAACAAAAAAATTTAATACAATGTTATCGTTGTTATTTCTTACAAGAAAATATACTTACAGCACACATCTACTATGTTGGTCGGTACCTGCTCCGGTGTAACATCCGCAGGTATTGTAATCTCTTCTGCTTTAGGTGGAACATGTTCTGCGAATTCTTCAGTGACCAATGATAGGATAAGAGAGGTTTTTCCAACACCGGGTTCTCCAAGCAGTATGATGCGAACTGTTCGAGGAATACTTTCATAGACCATTTTGCAATTTAACTGCAGTCTATGTCAGGACATTATGTAAACATTTTGTAAATTTAAATTAATACAGAACGATAGGACTGTGTCAGCGTTTAAATATATATTATGTACAAAGTGAAGAGCGTGTATGCCGATTACGATTTTACGTTTACATTATTTTCACTTTTTCTGAAAGCATTAATATCAGATAGAACATTGACAGATTATAATAAACATAGATTAAAAAATGTACTAATAGGTAATGAATGAACACAAAATTATCTGTTAAAGGGTATTTAATACAAAAAAGTCTTTTTCTGTAAAGTATAGAATAAACGCTCTTGAATATTAATCCTAAAGACTTTAAATGTTTAACTCTACAATCTTTAAAAAATGTGAACATTTTGTTAATATAATTAATTTATTATTTTGCGATTTAAAAGGATTAAGCGAATTCAACTTAAGTTTTATTTTTTACTCAAGTAGTATAATTTTAGTTAGGCACAGTTTTTTGGTAGAAATCATCAATATAATTTACATCTATTTTCAGACATCATAATATTATTGACCTACCTATTATCTGTATTCTGTATATTTGTCAGTTGCCTTTAGCTATACTTTGACATCGGCTAATTAAGAAGTAAAAACATTGAAAATAATCTCACCTAACCTATATATATTTACCTTGTGAATTTTTTACATATTTTTGGATTGACATGAGTTACTTATTTTATCATATAACCTGTTGGTAAGAAGTATATTTGTGTCCTTTTGTTCTCATGTATGAAAATTAATCATCACAAAAGTTTTTTTTATATTTGGTATGGTTTATGGTGTTGGTTCTTTTAAAAATTCTATAATGGGTGATCTTTTAATCCATTGTAGTCTCGCTTGTAGGAATAATCAAAGGCTTCTATTTTTTATATATTAGCAGAGGTATGAGGGAAATAACCAGATCATAAGAGTGACTCAATTATGAAAACAACTTCCTCAAATTACCACTTTCTTTAGTTTGTTTTAATTATACATGTTGTCCAAAGACCTTTATGTATACACGGAAATTTCTGACACTATTTCTTGTCTCGTTCTAAGCAATTTATTTTGATAAATCATTAACAAAAATATATCACTTTATTTAAGATACTGTATAAGGTATTAGAGAAACTAAATTTTATACAATTTATATCTGCATGAGGAACCATTACTATTCAAAAATAAACTTGTTGTAATCATCAGCAAACCAATGTACAAAATTTGTATAAATTGGTTAATTTTTAAATATTCCGTCATTAAAGAACTTTCCTTAGTTAGTTTTTAGATTTTTTTATACTTTTGTAAGTTGCATTTCAAGTACTGTACAAGTATTCTATGATTTCTTTTATTTTTAAACTATCCATGATTACAGAGTACTACTATTCATAATTTAGCTCAGAGCATTCTTTATAAGAGTGTAGTTATGGACAGTAAATGTTTTTTCTTATTTATTCATATATGTTTCTTTTACAGATTCACATTGAAATAACTATTGTATAAAACTACAAATGGCATCTATTAGGCTTCTGTCAAAAAGGTCTTAATAGCAAGACATGCCAGAGTCTTGGGCCTTTTACTCATTATGTGACATTCATTGTGCAATATACACTGCTCCTAATAATGGAATGATTTTGACTTATAATAATATTATTGGATTATATAATTTACACAATGGGTGAATTAAATAAAAATCACAGTAAAGAGTGGGATTCAGGAAAAAGTCTCAGAGAACCTATAAAAACTTTAGAGGTGAGAACCTAATCTCACTATTCTTAATTGTTTTCATTAACTTTTTTATTTGTAATAATTATATTTAAACTGCATAAGAGTAATTTAATTTTATCATTTTTCAGGACAAATGGAAGCTTGTGCCGTCATTTCTACAAGTGAAAGGGCTTGTTAAACAGCATATTGATTCATTTAATTACTTTATAAATGTAGAAATAAAAAAAATTGTTCAAGCAAATGAAAAAGTGTTCTGTGATTCCGATCCATTGTTCTACATAAAGTATTTGAACGCATATGTCGGAACACCAGATCTAGAAGAAGGATTTAATGTGACTAAACCAACAACACCTCATGAATGTCGACTGAGAGACATGACTTATTCTGCACCAATCACTGTTGACATAGAATATATAAGGGGCAATCAAAGAGTCATTAAAAATAAACAATTAATTGGAAGGTATGTTCATGTTGTATGATTGTTAAATATTGACTACTCATTAATACTCAACTATAATTGATAAATTATCTTATGTTCCATAGTAGAATATGTGTTTGTTTGAATCAAAGTTAGTATGTGTTATGGTTATCCTTAAAAATTAAATGAATGTTATTAATATAGCTTTTTATAGTTCTTCTCTGTATAAACTTTAATTGTGTTGAATTCCACATTCATTCATTCATACAATTCTCTTAAGAGTGGATACAAAATTTCTCTTTGCATTTGAATAATATGGAAATGATTTAACTTTTTAATGATTTTTAAATAATTATTGGTATTTGTATATCAAAAATCTACTTACTAAAGTTTTTTGTAATGAAATAATATAAATAATCTTTATGCTAAGAAATTATTGTTATTTACTATTCATAACATTTTTTGCTATAAAAAAAATCACAGTGTTTTTTTTTACAGAATGCCTTTAATGCTGAGATCCTCAAATTGTGTTTTAACTAATAAATCAGATTTTGAGTTAGCACAATTAAATGAATGTCCACATGATCCCGGTGGTTATTTTATTATAAGAGGTAATGTTAAAAATATTATGATGTGTATTAAATTTGTTTATTCCTTATATGAAATTATTCAATTCCTTCTATTTAATTTTTTGTTTGGTTTTTATTGTTTCAGGCCAAGAGAAAGTAATTTTAATTCAAGAACAACTCTCTAGAAATAGAATGATTGTTGATGAATTTAAAGGTGCTATCCAGTGTCAAGTAACAAGTTCAACACATGAAAAGAAAACTAGGACTATAGTTATTGTTAAAAATGGGAAATATGTTTTGAGGCACAATGCTTTATCTGATGTATGTAATATGATATAATCATACAAAATATATTATAAAACAAATCTGTGGTAGTATATTCTTAATTTTTATAATAAATTTATATTATTTCTTATATTTTTAGGATATACCAATATGTGTAGTGTTTAAGGCAATGGGTATATGTAGTGACCAAGAAATAATGCAATTAGTGGGTACAGATGATGCAATTGCAAAAAAAATGGCACCCTGCATCATGGACTGCCATAATTTAAAAGTTTTCACACCAAATCAGGCGCTTGCTTATATTGGTAGCAAACTAAAAGTTAAGAGGTGAGTCCAACCAATAAAAATATTTGAACTGCCACAACATGAGCAACAAAAAACGATAAATTATGTAAATAGCATATTGATATTTTTTAACAAATTGTAGTAGTTTAGTCTGTCTTTATTTTTTTTTTAATTATTGCTTACAAACTAAAGAATATTGAGTTTGTAAATACTATCACACAAACTCCAATCGCCTAAGAATTCATATATTTTGCAGTAAAATAAATTTATATTAGTATATGATATACAGGCTGACTGGTGAATTACTATCGATACTTGAGGACGTGATATTTGACGATCATATTATATGACAAAATAAAAATTAATATAACATAAATATTAATAAACTTCTAAGTAAAGTTAACCAAAAGTTATGTAATTAATTACGCATCGTGTGAACACCCTACAGATTAGGTATACACACACACACACACTTCCGCGCGGCGGCGTAGTATTGTATCAGCACGCCGCCGCACGCGTCCACACTTGGAATACTTGGAACGTGTCCACACTTTATTTATTTATACGGAAATTTGGTCAAAAATTAAGTACCTATTTTTTTTACATAATTCGAATGAGAATCATGTACCGAGTATTCTCCTTAAATATTGATTATAATTCACCAGTCAAAAATGTGCGAAAAGAAATAGCAATCGAAAAAAGCATGGTACAGCCGCAGCCGTGACGCATTTTTTTGCTCATGATTGATTCAATTGGATAGATGTTTATATATTTATTGATCTATATTTTTGCTGATAAGGAGAATTGTTTATTAGGTTCCAATCAGCAACTTCTAAATTTCGAACTCCGGTGGATGAAGCAAGAGATCTGATAGCAACAACAATTTTAGCACATGTGGTAGTAGAAAATTATAATTTCTATGTGAAAGCTATTTACTTGGCTATGATGGTGAAAAGGGTCATAGAAGCTGAGACAAACAAAGCGGCTATAGATGACCCAGACTATTATGGAAATAAGAGGTTGGAATTGGCAGGGTCACTTTTGGCGCTTATGTTTGAAGATCTGTTCAAAAGATTTAACTGGGAATTGAAATCTATAGCTGATAAAATAATACCACGAGTTAAAGCAGCACCGTTTGATGTAGTTAAGCATATGAGACCTGATTTAATTGCTAATGGTTTATTTGTAGCTATTTCCAGTGTAAGTACGAAGTCTTATAGTGCCTACAAAAAATATATACTCATTAGAGAATAATTTTATTATTTTAATTTTAGGGAAATTGGACTATCAAGAGATTCAAAATGGAACGTCATGGCGTCACCCAAGTATTGAGTCGTCTGAGTTATATTTCGGCTCTCGGTATGATGACGAGAGTTAATTCACAGTTTGAAAAGACTAGGAAGGTTTCTGGGCCTAGATCGCTGCAACCGTCACAGTGGGGAATGCTCTGTCCTTCTGACACCCCTGAGGGAGAAGCTTGTGGCTTAGTGAAAAATCTGGCTTTAATGACGCATATTACAACAGAATGTTCCGAAGGTCCGATATCAAGGCTAGCTTGTAATGCCGGGGTTGAAGACGTTAGACTATTAGGAGGCGAAGAAATAAACCATCCAGCTGTATATATGGTCTTTTTAAATGGTGCGCAAAATATAAAACATGTTTATTGTTATAGATATTCCTGTACTAATTATTTATTATTTCTCAGGTAACATTTTAGGCGTCACAAGAGAATATAAGAAACTTATAAAAATCTTCAGGATGTTTAGAAGACGAGGTCTCATATCTGCGTTTGTGTCAATATATCCTAATCACAATCAAAGAACGGTGTACATATGCAGTGATGGTGGTAGACTCTGCCGTCCGTATATAATAGTTGAGAAGGGTTTGCCATTGGTCCAACAGCATCACATAAATGAACTCAACAGGGGTATACGAAAGTTTCAAGATTTTCTTAACGATGGTCTCATAGAATATTTGGACGTGAACGAAGAAAATGACAGTCATATAGCGACTGTTGAGACCGAGATAGATCCGTACGTGACAACGCATCTGGAGATAGAACCGTTCACTATACTTGGAGTGTGTGCGGGTCTTGTGCCTTATCCGCATCATAATCAAAGCCCCAGAAACACATACCAATGTGCTATGGGCAAACAGGCTATGGGTACTTACTAATTACAAATACTTTGGATAGTCGCATAGAGTACCAGTAATAATAACGTTTTACTTTTCAGGTACAATTGGCTATAATCAGAAGAATAGAATAGACACGCTTATGTATAATTTAGTATACCCGCAGTGTCCAATGGTTAAAACGAGGACTATAGAATTGACAAATTTCGATAAGCTGCCGGCCGGACAGAACGCTACTGTAGCTGTAATGAGTTACAGTGGCTATGATATAGAAGATGCTTTAATTTTGAACAGAGCATCGATAGACCGTGGTTACGGACGTTGTTTGGTTTACAAAAGTGCCAAAACAATTATGAAGCGATACAGCAATCAGACGTCGGACAGAATTCTAGGACCATCAAGAGACGCTAACACGGGAAAAATTATTAAAGCTCACGAAGTTCTAGATTCAGATGGTATAGCAGCTCCAGGCGAAATGGTTGAGAACCGTCAAGTTTTGATAAACAAACAAATGCCTCCCGCCAACCTCAATCCTATAAATCAAGGTCAACCGCAACAAATAGATTATAAAGACGTACCGATAACATACAAAGGGCCAGTCGAGTCTTACATAGAGAAAGTCATGGTGTCTTCCAACTCTGAAGACGCTTTTCTAATAAAAATATTACTGAGGCAGACTAGAATACCTGAGATTGGAGATAAATTTAGTTCTAGGCATGGACAGAAAGGAGTGACTGGTTTGATAGTTCAACAGGAAGACATGCCGTTCAACGATAGAGGAATATGTCCCGATATGATTATGAATCCACATGGTTTTCCCTCTAGAATGACGGTGGGAAAAACTATAGAGCTATTGGCGGGAAAAGCCGGACTGATGGAGGGAAAATTTCACTACGGTAATACACATAGATCTATATCTAATATAGGTATATTATTTATATTAAATTTTAGTTTCTTATTTTAACCACGGTATATTTAATTTCAGGCACAGCATTCGGTGGGTCGAAAGTTCGCGATGTATGTAAAGAGTTGGAAAAGCATGGATATAACTACCACGGAAAGGATATATTCTACTCTGGTATAACAGGAGAACCTTTGGAGGCGTATATATATTCCGGGCCAGTTTACTATCAGAAGTTGAAGCATATGGTTCAAGACAAAATGCACGCTCGGGCTAGAGGACCGAGAGCTGTACTGACGAGACAACCCACTGAAGGAAGGTCGAGGGATGGAGGACTACGACTTGGGGAGATGGAACGAGATTGCCTTATTGGATATGGCGCCAGGTAATCATTTTTATTAAGTACATTTTATAATATCTAATTTATAACAATGTAGGAGGTGGTAATGAACATTATATGGAGTGATGGCCAACAATTAACAAACTGTTTCATAGTTCCATAGAAATAATTTTTAATAAGCAATTTTTAATACTATTTAAATAAACAGTTTTCGGAATTTAAATAATTATAATGCATTCTAATATTTGTCCAAGTGGGTATATTGCATATTCCATGGGCCTATCATTAAACAAAAATTGATATCAGATATCTAATGTCTTATTTTGTCTTTCAGTATGTTGTTAATGGAACGTCTCATGTTAGCGTCTGACGCGTTCAGTGCGGACATTTGCAGCACGTGCGGCAGGCTCGCGTCCCGCGCGTGGTGTCACGCCTGCCGCTCCTCAGCCGTTTCAGCGGTTGAAATGCCTTACGCTTGCAAGCTGCTGTTTCAAGAACTAGCCTCCATGAACATAGTCCCAAGGCTGAAATTGAAGAAGTACTCGTGATAGATCACAGCCTAAAAACTATCTTCTTATAGCAGGATATATGTATATTAATTTCATATATAAGATTCTTTACGTATGCTATGTATAAGAAAAATGCTATTTAAATAAAGCTTCATGAACCTCAACAGCTATTGACTGGTAACAGTCTAGTTTTAATGATTTCTGCCCACTGATTAAAATGACAGCTTGGTCTTTATCTTAGCTGAAATTAAGCATTTGTTACGTTACTTATTAAAGTAAATAAATCTTTTACTATTGTATTATATTTATTTTCCATCACAACTACTTTTTTCATTATGTTAGAAACTAAGAATCAAGACCGGCACAAAACATTTAACCAACTCACGGAAATTCCTCTTTACATTCTTTTATTTTTTAAATTATAAGATCTATGAATTTTAGCGACGTCAGAGAATACTAACTAGCTACATATTTTGTTTGTTTATTTTTTGTATTAGCTCTAATTCTTAAGTTAATACCAATACTGAGTATTGACTTAGGTAATTTATTACTTAAAAAAATAAACTATTTAGACTTAAGTGAATTGTTCTAATGTGTACTATAGTCATTATATCATGATAACTATCCTCTGATGAATTCGGATTTAATTCTTCTGAAGATATTATAATAAGTGAAAATTTGCTACCAATGCCCGACGTTGCTACTTTAATTTCATTTAGAATTTATCTTAAAAACTTTTAACTCAGTTGTAGGATGTAACGTATGTATTGTGACGATGCAAACTTGTGCTAAGTATACAAGTTAAACATGTGAATCTGTGTGCTTAGTAAAAGTCATTATTTTCATTCTAAATATTGATTTTTTTTCATACATAGATTTTCGTGCATTATAGTATTAACCTAGGTTATTAAATGGAAAACAAAACGTAAATATAATTGGTTGACATACTTATAAAACTTTAGTCTACATCTTACATCTAGTTTATAGAATAGGTAAAAAAATTAAATAAAAGGAAATCAAAATTGCAAATTATTTATTCTTAAAATGAAATCAGTACCTCCTTAACATTTTCAAAGAGGCTTTAGATAATACATACGTAACCCACATTGTAATAATGAAAAATATATAAAATATGCCACTGTATGAAAACATTTTGAACATTATATAGCCAAGACTGATCCATACAACGAACACATGAGAGCCAAGTCTCCTTAACGATAGTCGTGCTGGCAGCTCTCTGTTTATAACACTTTGATGGTATGTAGCATCCTTAACATATGTGTGTATAGTTGTCGGCTCTTGGAGTATCTCTCTTGATATGTAACCCCAGAAATCATTCTTTCTCCATAACCGTGAAAATTCTTCACCATACTGAAAACAAAATTTAAATAAATACTAACATTATACATATCAAAAAGACAAGACATTTCTTATGACTATATAATATTAAAACCATAAGCATTTCATACAGTTCAGTAAATTGTAACTTTGGTTTAGACTTGATTTTGCTTAGGAAAAAATCAAGATATCACTTATTTCATATAATTTATAAAAATACTTACAATTTCATTAAGCCTTGACGATATTTGATAAAATATCCTTACTAGAATTGTATTCTCATAAGACATTATTGGCATCAAATCTGGATCTCCCATATACTGAATTTTAGTTGGTTTGTTTCTTAGCTTTAAATATAAGTTTATAGTTAGTTATTGATCAAATAAAATTTACAAAGGAAATATGAAATAACAAACCTTTCTAGCTATGGAAAGAGTAAAGTTGTTCGAATTAGCAAATGAAGAGTGATCCGATGAATCCAATATTTCTGTTTCCAGTGGTAATAATAAATTTTCATTTAACTGTAACAAATAGAACATTTTCAATCAGTGGCGGCGTAAGGCGTGGGCGACGTGGGCCACCACCTACGGCCTCGCGGTACAAGGGGCCTCGCGCCTCAAAAAATTTTTAAAGCGAGAAAAAAATATATAAATAAATCAATTTTGTTGATAATGATATTTTCTTAGACTGGCAACATTTGCCGCCTACCAGAATGCGGGTTTTACCCCTGGCGTTACGCGCATACCAAAAAAAACGTATGTACATATATAATTGTGTTATATATATTGTTTATTTTTATGACTGTCCTTACCAATTTTGATAAGAATAGTGTGGTCAATGTTTTAATAATATTTAGCGAATAAATAGATGGTGTTTAAGTATATTGATTGCCCCCGAAAACAGTGACGTTTTTAATTGTTTTTGTTTTCTTTGTGATTTGTAATACACCGGTACCTGTACTCGTCTTTATTTCATTAAGTAACAAATATTTAATTGGTAACAAGAATGTAACGCAATAATTACTATTATATAAAATACGCTTTATACTGTGTTTTAAAGGAAACCAAAGCTTTAAGGGTAAAAATGGTATCGACGATTAAGTTTTTAAAACTAGCTGGTAGTAAGAGCTTCAGGTTGCCATAGAATAGGGCCTCGCGAAATCTGTTTTGCCCACATCGAATTTAGGTCTTGCCCCGCCACTGTTTTCAATAATATATTAATCCAACTAATAAGAAGTATATAATATTTTTCTTACCCCGAAAATATTTGTGAAATAGTTAATGCAATTGGTTAAATAATGAGGAACTTTTTTATATTCCTCCAACAGTGTAGTCTCTTCTTCAGTGTTGCCCATCATCAAAAATTGTTTAATAGAATTCCATAGGCCTTTAAAAAAAATATTATAGCATATTTCAGTTACTCTATTAATGTTTAGAATGTTTAAACTTTATTGAAGCATTTAATTCCAAATATCATAAAACTATTTAAACTTTAAATATGTAGTGACAAGTTTAAAAAAGTGTAGTTTAACTTATTTTCAAATAAAGAAGCAAAAATACGTAACATTTTTAGCAACTAGAATGACATATATAAAATATTTTATGTTGTCTTGTAACCTTCCTAAAAATTGAACAAAAGTTACCTTTATTATTTTCATTCAATTTTTCAATATAGTTTTCCAAATTTTTGTCAGCAATGTGTTTTGACGAAAGAATTCTTTTTACAAACTCGAGCATTTCAGGTTTCCTGTTTTCACTCCAGATGGGTTCATACTCAAATGTGGGGGCATTTAATTCAGAAATAGCCTGTTTTGCAATTGCAACCCATTTGTGTAACGCTACTCCATTATAGGAATAACTATAAATTTAAGAATTTATGTAGATAATTTATATTTATTCATTATTCATATAAAATTTATATGCAGTACAAACCTCTGCTCAACATTGGAACTGTTATAACTAGTGTCGGGACTTTGCCAACCTGATGTATTTTCTGTTACAGCCTTTTCTAAATTGGACAATATTGGTACTAAATGTGGTTGTGAAAATACCTGAAAATCAAAACAGGTTAAGAATTTACTATATAATATAACACTTTTTCAATGAGATATGCAAACAGACTAACTTTGCCAAGCCTAAATAACATCACAGCATTTTTATAGGCCGAAAGATCTAATCTTGTAAACCTTGGGAGAACTAATTGAAATATGCAAGTATAAGAAGGAAAATTCTCTGCTATGAATTGTGTGAAACTGGGATCTAAAGAACCAGTATTGCCTTCCTCTTGATTTCTCTGTGTGCTGGGAAACCTAATAAATGAAAAACACTTGTTAAATATTATATTATTACCAGTTTTTTAAGTATAGAAAATGTCTGTATACATTTACAGTACATATAACTGAATGCATATCTTACCTATCTTGGGTGATAGAATTGTCAGTGTACCGCCATGGCTGTATGAGACTGAGCCATAATTCCATGACTAATCTAAAAGACGCATCTAAAGGCCAGGTCATAACTAAATGTTTTACATAATGATATGCCCGGGAACACATGATTTGTCTGGCATACTTGCGTAAAGCTGACGACCTTACTGCCAAATCAGTGTGATATTTTGCAGAAAATGAATGAATATGTTTAACTAGAACTCTAACTATTCTAACTCTCTCCGCACTTGATGTTGCCACTGTATAATTTCTTTGATACATCTGTAATTAGCATAATTGAGTTATTATAAAGGATTGCTAGTGTAAATTATAATTGAAGTTGTGATAAAAACATACCTCAATGCTTCCATTTCCAAATTGTTCAACACTCATCCATAAATCAATAAAGATTTGTAAAACAGTTTCAGACCTCCACACTTCATTCCGTGACTGGCTTTGTGAGGCATGTTGGTTACTGATACCAGATAAATCGGGTATCAATAACAAAGACGGTGAACAGAGTGGCCTGAAATAAATATCATACATTAAAAAACTCTTTACAAACAAAAGATCTGGTCCGTATTTGTCAAACTTAAAATTTCAACTTTAATGCTTCAATATAATATTACACTTATAATTTATTTAATATTTAACCTGTTGGCAGTCTGTAGTGGTGCAGCAATAGGAACTTTCCCAGTGTAATGTGGTATATGTGGCAGGACGGCCACATTAGGATCAGAAGGCAAGAAGTGCATTAGATAATCACAAGCAAGAGCAAAATAGACACTGTTCCAATTCTCCCATGAGCTTTTGTTTTGGTTATTGTTAATCAAGTACAGAGCAAAATTAACAATATAATAATCAAAGGGATCTGATAGATACGTAGTAGGAAAATGTAATATTAGTGAGATCTAAGATTTTTGCAAGTACTCATTTAACGTAATATGTTTTAGAATTATGCAGTAGACAGTTTATTTTTCTTTATGCAACATACACTTGGTTTCTAATATATATAATAGTAGTTTGAATTACATACATGTAAAACCCAGTCAAATAAAAGCAACTTGAGATATATAGATTTAAAAAGGATACTCAAAGCTAGTGACACAACATTTAGTGATTGTGAATCCATTGTGAGCATGTCTGCATAAAACTGGGGACACCTGCCCCTATCCAACGTCATTTGCAAATCTAACTAAAAAAAATATGATTTGTTTATATTATTAATCACATATAATGTTTAAAACCAAATAAATAAAAAACTCACTGGTAAAAGATTCAATGGCAAATTGTACTTCAAATGGGAATCCGATAAAAGTTTATAGCACAAACGGAAAATTGGTCCCTGTGGCTCCAGAAAACTAAGTAGTACTTCATATTCATATCTGTTGCCCTCAATTGTAATTTGACGTAAACTCCAACCATTGTGAAGAGATGGTGAGAATATATTACTGATCAGCTGTGGGAACAGGACTTGCAATTCCTTATTAGGGCTGCTTTGATCAATAATCCTTGTAAGTTCTAAAATTCTTTCAGGCAATGGTAGATTTAGACATGTATAAAACTGACTCTGTAATTCAAAAAAAAAGTCATATTAAAAATAATTGTAAACTATATCCGGTCGTATAAATTGAAATAAAAACAGTAACAACCATAATATCTTGAGCCATTTCCATAAATTATTTTATTCAAACTTTAAAAAATAAATATTTTCTCAGACACAATTCTTGGGTTTCACATTAATCACGTCACTTATTGATTTTTATATGAATAGCACATTATAATTTATAATACATTTTAAAAACAAATAATAGGGGATAACTTTCCACGGTAAAAACGCCGCCAACAATGACATTGACAGCAAAGTCTGACATTTAAAATTTACGAAATGAAATACTTCGAATGGTAGGATTAGAAATTGTAGAACGAATAAAAAGCTTAAGTTTTATAAATTGCTATTTTGAATAAAACATAAACATTATATTTTAACGGAAATTATAAACTATTTTGATAGAGATAATTCTATTTAAAAGGTTTTTTATGTTATTTTATATTTTATGTTATTTTTACTTCGAAGACAAAGTTTATCGACATTTTTTTAATTTTTTGTAATATATTCGTAACTTAATATAGTTTTACTTCACATTTATTACATAGAAATATAATAAAGTTTCATTGAGCAAGTGCGATGCCCTTGCTCCATAGCAACTTTTTAAAGGCTACTAAGTTGCTATGGGTTTCTTATGTTTATTTATAGGTAAGATCTTAAGTAGAAAAATATGTATATTTTAACATTTTTGTAACATCAAAAATATACATTGTACCAAGTATTTTTTACTTTAAATTTCCAAGTATGTTTAAATGATCGGCCCAATTCGACACTGACTTCAATCTTTTTTAATGTGCCATGTACATTTTGCCGATATGATGAAGTCATACTACAGTATGACAAAAACTCGTACTTTATCTATAAAAATCCAGAACAGTAAGCAAATGGAGAAGTATCTGAGCATCATATATATTTACAACTAGCTGACCCGGCAGAATTCATACTGCCTCAATCGATAAATATATTTTTTTTATTAATATTTTTGGAGTTTAATTTATAAGCCATAAATCTTCGTGTTCTGAAGTGCGACAGAATGATTGACATAATTAGTTAGTTGTCAAATCTAATGCCAAAAAAACGTTTGTATTTAAAATAGAAAAGGGCTTTTTTTTAGTTTTTTCCCGGAAATGATTAATTTTTTTCAGATTTTAAACCTTCCCTGAACCTCCACCAACATTTCAAGACTAAGATAAGATAAATCCGTTCAGCCATTCTCGAGTATTAGTAAGACTAACGAACAGCAATTCATTTTTATATATATAGATAATAAATTTTTCTTCTATTGCAAAACGCTACTCATTTAACGATTATTCTGGCACATGGGTAGTATTTAATAGAGTAATATTAAGCCAGAAATGCCTTACATTATGCTGAAAACGACCTGGTACTTTGACACTGATAGACCATTATTAATCAGACACCTAATAATCACTATACGAAAATTTTCTTTCGCATGAATAAAACCGCGTCGAAATAGATTAACTAGTAAAATTGAGAGCTCCGATGCTATATACACACACAAAATATTTCGCTTATAACGCCTTTATGTATATCGGAGGTCAAAATACCTATATATATTTCTTGATTTTAAAATATATTCGTCTATTTAGTGCACAGAATTTAATATGCCTTTAACAGTATATCCACTGTTTAAAATAATCAGTACGGTCTAAAATCATAATAAAAAATGAATCAATTGTAAAAAGATTGTATAAATCTAACTTTTTTATCATACGACACCTCACCTCAACTATTTATAATTTTAACGTTTTAGTGATTTTGTTTAACATGCACCGATGTGACATTATTAAGTAACGAAAGTAATGAGATCTAAGATTTTCGCGAGTACTCATTTAAATGAAACTAATATTTTTCGGATTTTACTTCGCGTTTTATTTTTGATTAAAAACTACATACTCCCGACGTTTCGGCTACTTTTCAGTAACCGTGATCACGGGCGGACGAGATCTCGTCTGCTCGTTTTTAATCAAAAATAAAACGCGAAGTAAAATCCGAAAAATGTTAGTTTCATTTAAGTAACGAAAGTAACTCATCAAATTGATCACACTTATACTTCTAATTTTACAAAGATATTTTAAACAAACAGCAAGTAAACGTTTCTAAAAGTATTTCAACTACATATTTAAAAAAAATTAGAGAAAATAATTGTTCATGTTTTGTAGAAATTGTAGCTTGTAGACAATATTGAACAAAATTACTAAGAGCTTATAAACCTTCCGCTTCTGCCGAAGATTTTTAGAAAGACTAATTCTACAAATTTATTTATTAATATTGCTTGTTTTAGAACATTCTTTTTTACATACCTATGTCCATGGCATATAAGGAACAATTTATAATTACTAGTGTCCGACCGAAGGTCTATTTTCGGCCGAAGCCGCAGCCGATTAATCGGCAATCGCCACAATCTTCGGCAGAAGCGGAAGGTTTATAAGCTCTTAGTAATTTTGTTCAATATTGTCTACAAGCTACAATTAATGTTATAGATTATTTCCAAACTTCAATATTGAAGGTTTATATTGACTGTCTCATTGGATTCAAAGATGATAAAAAAAGTTTGTGATTTATTCTTAAAAAAATAATCATTTATTTATTAAGTAATTCATAAATCACAATCAGACTAATCAATCAGTCTTTGTCTACTCGACTAAGCCGAAACTAGACTAATAAATAAAATGAACAAACACCAATTTCTTAATAAATAATTAAATGTTGGTCAATTAAATGCACAGTTTAGAAAATATTAGAAAATGCAAAATAAATGTAACAATAACAACAGTTATAAATAATCAAGTAATTACTGTTTTGCCAACAAGTTATAAGAATAATATTCTATTTCACTTTTTTTCTTCGTCTTTCGTAACAGTTCGTTCAATCCCGACGGTTGCTCGGATCTTCGGCGAAACGACCGGGTTTTGGGCCGAAGCCGAAGATGGTTTTTTCTGGCCGAAGGTGTCCCAAGCTGATGCTTCGGTCGGACACTAATAATTAGACATTTGTTATGTGACGATGTAATAATTGGTCGTTTAATTAAAATATAATTATCTTTATACGGTGTAATCAGACGAGTGACGACGCCTCAGCTTCTGGGTAAACTCGGGTATTCTACACGGGTCTGACTCAGCAGTTCCGTGTGAAGACAGTTTTTGGTTTTATATTTCTTTTATGTTTTTAGATTACAAGATTTCTTTTAAGAATTTGATTAAATTAATGTTACTATTTGTTCAACCTTCGTGCAACATAGTCACACCCTAGTTGTAACTTACTTTTAATTAAATTTAAATTCTCGAAATAAACCAGATATTGTGAAGGAGAGGTTATTAAAAAAAAATAAAAACAAAATTTATCATTTATATTTATTACTTAGAAGTACATCGTCGTCATTGCCTTAAAAATACAGAACTTAGATTAAGAAAATGGTAGTATTACCTTCTACAAACTCATACATACTCATAATTTGTAATTAAATATTTGTATGCAAATATTGCATTTTTACTTATTTACAAGGAAAAAAATATAACTGTCATAGAAAATATTAAAAAGTAGCAATTGACACAGTTACATGCTATTTTTAACTATGAAGACATGACTCGGGTTTAAAAAACGTATTTATCTTATCTTTAAATGTGGAACACGCTAATACAAATAAATCAGTTACAACAAATTAGAGTCTAAATTTACATTTATAAATACTTAGTAAGGTCTCTGTCGATCACGCCCTCTGAAATAAAAAAGGGATTTCATTACATTTTTATAATACAGCAATATATAAATGTATCTTTGTTAATGAAAGAAGTAGCATACCCTCCATCGCCTCTCATGGCACCGCCGCCGCGGTCTCCACCGCCGGAGCCTCGTCGGTCCCCTCCGCGGTCTCCGCTACGGTCTGGCCGTCCTCCACCCCACCCTCCGCCCGCCGCCTCCTCCTCCTCCTCTTCCACCACCCCCGCGGCCTCCTCCACGTCCTCCACGTCCCGGAGGTCCGTTTCCACCACCGCCTCCGCGACCAGGAGGTGGACCACCACCACCGCCACCTCCCCCTCCACCGTTACCACCTCCGCCGGGCTTCTCTTCGTTGCATCTATTGCAAGCTTTCCGCCATGAAAAATTAGTGTTCCCGCAGCTTGGATTCGGACATCTCCAGTCACCGGCTCTATTGCCAGAAGGTGGTCCGCCTCCGCCACCACCGCCACCCCCGCGACCTCCTCCTCCTCCTCCACCACCTCCTCCGCCGCCGCCACCTCTACCACCGCGGTATCCGCCACCACCTCCACCGCCACCCTTATTGCCACCCCAGGTATTCTGTCTCTGAGCAAGGGATACTTTCACGGTGGCACCATTGAAGTCCTTCCCGTCGAACCACTGAATAGCAGATGAGGCGGCGTTCGAGTCTTCATAAGTGACTGTTGCTTCCCCTTTAGGCTGACCAGTAGCTTTGTCTTTATACATCCAAACTTTCGGTCTTTGTGTTTTTTTATCGGTCTAAAAAAAAGGTTATTATATAATTATTTTTATTAGCGAATGACCAAACTTTCATGGTTTTAAAGAAAAACTACCTTAATTATGCCAATAGCACCAAAATGTTGACATAACTCGTCCTCAGTTGTCGATGGGTTCATGCCTTGGATGAAGATTGTGTCTTCTTGAGTTATCATATCACCCCCACCTCGGTCTCCGCCGTAGCCTCCACCGCCACCTATAAAAGAAATATGTTTAATTATTTCTCCCAACAAAATATTATTACTAATACGCTTAAAATTAAATCAAACCAAAACTTTTGTTTGTAACCCTTTATACGAAGATTTAATAATTGTACTTAATAAATAAGCAGATTTAATTTTTTGTCGATGTAATCTCCACGACGAAAAGGTCGATGAATCGCTTTTAAATAATAAACTCAACACTTTATAGCCCCTGAAGGAAAACCTTTACGTGTATTACCCTCGAAATATGTATAAAATATATTGCAATACATAGGGCTGCCAAAATATCAACAATTTTTGTAGGTTCGGTCACAAAATAATATAATTACATAAACATATTAACATAATATTTAACGCAGTATCACGTAGTTTACATAATTTACACGGATGTATATGATGTGCAAAATTTTCTTATCTCTCTGATTAACACTTGGTCAGACTGCTGACAACTACACCCATTACAAAGTCGAAGACAGAAATTTCACCAGCAGATATTTTCTGAAGAACGCGATATTATAAAACACCCATATATAAGAAAATATGTATATGATGATTCATAATACATAACCACCATTTTATTCCATGATTTAACACTTTTATTTTGTTACCACACTCAACATGTTTAGATTCCTATTTTTATAGGATACACCATAACATACATTTTACAAACATGTATATACGTCAAAATTTTAAACCTACATATACTCCTATTTTTTTATCCTGCCCTATTAATAAGTTTTAAATAATGTGTCAAAGGGAAAAGTGGACAATTGAGGCATATACACAATTTCATAAACCACATTGCAGTCTGACAGAAACAAATAATGTTTATTAAGATTTTTGATTTAAACAAAGTTAATAGAATGTAATCGACAATTATTTTAAGAATACAACAATTATTTTTATAGTTAGATAAATTATTAACATCCTCTAATTTGTCAACAGCCAACAAGTGATGTGTAGTCACATATACCTCAAATGACGAAGTTCAACTTAAAAATAATTTGGCAGCCCTTTAATTTACAAAGTAAAATAATGACAACAGCACCATTCGCTCATAGCGAGGAGCTTTACCTTTATTATAACCACCCCCCCTGCCGCCGCCACTAAAACAACAAAAACACCATTTAGTTCACATGGCAGGCTGGGGGCTCTGTTCCAAGCACGTTGATTGAAAATAATACCACTATCCATGACCATTTGTGACGATTCCTTCTCTTTGGCCATAAGATATACCTTGAAAATCTTAGAACAATATTTTGGTGACACAACATTTAACATAACTTGGATGATACATGCACCACATGATAAAACATAGTTTAAAGAGACTTGATCAATGTCTTGATAAAGTAGGAAGTCTAGATAGACATATTTTCCACCTAGAACCTAATTTCAGATGTAAAATGTTTGTAGCACAAAATAACTTAGACAATAATTTATGATTTTAACAAAAGATATAACACCATACATCTTACAATACTTTTTCAAGACATTTTTAAATCCTAGAACTAACTATGAAATAGCTGCAGAAGTTTTTAATCTATCAGAAGCGTATTTACTCGCTACAGTAATCCATATTTACACTATTACAATGTGCACAATTTTCACTACATCAAAGATAAATATTATTCTATAAGTATATTCTGCATAAGTCTGTTATGTAGAAAGAATTTTAAGTAAAACTTGTTTCACTGAACAGTATAATCTATACCTAGGTGACTTGAAGTTCTTATTCCAACTGGAAATTCTATGAATTTTTATAATATACAGGGTGACTGGTGAATTACTATCGATACTTTAGGACGTGATATTTGACGATCATATATGACAAAATAAAAATTAATATAACATAAATATTAATAAACTTCTAAGTAAAGTTAACCAAAAGTTATGTAATTAATTACGCATCGTGTGAACACCCTACAGATTAGGTATACACTCACACTCACACATACGCGTGTCGTGACGTAGTGTTGTATCAGCACGCCGCCTCACGCGTCCACACTAGGAACACTTGGAACGTGCCCACGCTTTATTTATTTATACGGAAATTTTGTCAAAAATTAAGCACCTATTTTTTTTACATAATTCGAATGAGAATCATGTACTGAGTATTCTCCTTAAATATTGATAGTAATTCACCAGTCACCCTGTATAGTTGTGGGATAATATATCTTTGTTAAATTAATTGTTCTATTTTAAAGCGATATTATCCTTTCAGTAAAAATTTTATTCATTGTTTCAAAATATCTACCTAACACAAACACAAAAAATCCTAATAATTAGAGTATACATGTGTTCATACCAATGACATATTTTCATATTGTTGAAAATTGAGAGTAAAATGTATTTGCAAGTATAAAAAAATTTTTACTCATAAAGAAAATTATTTTCAATATTGTGCTTATGAATTTTTATTTTAAGGTGTATTGAGATGAATAATTATTGAGGCTTCCATCAGGATGCTTTATGTAGCTGCATCTCTTTAAACTAAATGAAAAAACACTCACACCTAATTATATCATGTGCTCATAGATGCCTATTAAAGTAAAGTAGAAATATTTCAACATATATTTCCTTATTTCAATAATATGATTTGTTACCTAGAGATATAACCTTAAAATTCCTAATTTCTTTTTGTTTTTCTTACTGAATAAGTAATGCTAAAATATTGTGAAATAATATTTCCATGATGACAAACCAGATATAAGAAAGTATGACACCCACTTGGGTTACCTATTAACTAAATAACTTTAAATGGACCTTTGTTTACACAAAACAACTTCTATACCTTGATTCTTGTATGCCACAATAAAGATATAATGTTTCTATCCTTACACAGTTCACTAATGTGAATACAGTTGACAATTTTACCGACCAGAGTAACTTATTATTTTAGTAACCTTTAATTTAATTATATTGTTCTAATATTTTATTAGGTAAAACCACACATTAGAAAGTATCTTCAACTTTTACTTTTTCATACTTCTACTATGGTACAAGATAATTTATTGTAAAAAAGAACCCAAGTGCATTAATATTAACATATAAAATTACCAAAAGAGTGAAGAAAATAACCACTTAGAATAAAAATAAATAATAGAAATCCCAGACACCTAAGTGAAAGATATATTTGTTGGAAATGTAAATTTACTAAATTGATACTTAAACCAAAGACGATATGTTGAAATAGTTTTATGACGACAATAGTTCACAATAAAAAAAATACTTCTTATCTAGAATTGTTCTTTCCTATAACTTAATCTCTGTTGTATACTTTTTAACAAAATATTCATTTTATTTTTAATTAATTTGTATAAAAATTAAGGGATTAATGAAGAGTGCATCATCAATGTAAATTCTAAAAATATGGAGTTTTGATAGGCTATAATAATTTTGAGGAGGGTTAATCAAAATGTTTAATTCATACCATACTCCTAAACTTTCGTGTTGTCGTTTCTTTGACACCAAACAAACAGTATGAAAAGATGCTTACCCATAGCCTCCTTCTCTATTCCCCCCATCTCTATTGTAGCTTGATCTATCACCTCCGCCTCCGCCATAGCCTCGGTCTCCAGAGTATCCTCCGCCTCTGTCGCCCCCATAGTTGGAGCCACCCCTGTCATTTCCACCAAAGTTTCCACCACCGCGGTCACTGTTTCCATAACCACTTCCACGGTCTCCTCCACCGTAATTACTGCTTCCTCGATCTCCTCCCCCACTCACATTGTAGTTATTGCCATTGTTTCGGTCATAACCACCTCCGCCGCCGCCTCCACCACCCCCATAAGAGGATCCATAGTTAAAATTGCTCTCGTTTTGATTACCACCATAGCTTCCACCACTTCCACCTATAACGCAAAAAATAATAATACATCATAGTTATTATTTTCCTTGCAGTCTTAAAGGAATGTGTGTTTTACATACTTCCGGAGCTTGGTGGATTCCAAGCCGCACCTGAATTTTGGCTATAATTATTTTGATTGTAGCCCCCTGGTTGTTGACCGGAATTAAAACTATTATCTCCCGAACTAACTGCTGGAGGCGGCATTGAATATTGAGCAGGATACCCTCCGCCACTATAGTCACCAGAAGCATAAGCTAAAAGGAAAACGAGTTAAGCCATTTTGCAATATTGAATCAAAAGATTAAAAGGATATATAACTACTTACGATCACCCATTTTAGATGTAATAGTGAAACAACAAAACACTTTTAACCAGTGTGTTTATTTCTACGTGCGAGAAAAACTACACCGCTAACTTTAAAGTATACACTAGTGCCGCAAGCGGCAACTATTATGGCCGACGGAAACACGATGTGACAGACTATCAGCGTTTACGGAACAGGAAATGAAGGAATTATGAATGATACATATTATGTCTATGGTTGAAAGTGAATTGTAAAATTAATTTCTATTAAAATTTCAAAAAATTTGTTAGCCATTTTCTATCAAGTTTTCTGGCATGGAATTAATTATAGTTACAAGAATATATCCTCCATATTAATAATTATCAGTAAGTCTAAAAGGACAAACAAACGTTGAGAGTTTATTTAATTATAATGTGATTAAAATAAATTCACAGCTTCATTAACAATATAAATTACATTATAATGATATATGCATAATAAATTAAAGTAGTATGTAGATAGTGTTACTCAATACTTAAATATTTTACTAAATGCAATAACAATATTTTATTTTCCGACGCAAAAAACTGTTATAAGATTGACGTCGATGTCTCTCTAAGTATGTGTATTTATCTGTATCATCACAGCTCTTAAACGGATGGACTACTCTTAAAACGCTTTTGATTCATTAGAAAAACATTTTCCTTGCGGTTGTTCTTAACTATGTTAAATTTATAATGGTCTATTGACCAAGAGTATTTTTAAAATGATGTAGGGCATTTTTGATCACTACCATGACACCTTCAATGAAGACGTATTTCAGAATTTTGTAAAATAAAATATTTAAAAAATAAAATATTTTTCATATTAAGTGTGGGTAACTATTCTGTTGCAATAGTTTGGTATTTTACAGTAATAGAAAAAAGAAAGAAACCGCTTATACTTTTCGAATTTATTTGCATTCCCCTTAAGTATTGACACTTTGTAATTTATCTACTTAGAACTGTTACTTTAGACAATGAGCCAAGTAAAATATTTCTGTTTTAATTTAAATGTTTTTTTTGCTTGGTATGTCCTTTTTCCGTGTTGAGAAAATAGAACAAGTCCTCTCGATAGATGTTTTTACTAAGTTAACCATATTCCAAAAAACATCTTTACGACTGACGATGAATACCAATTCATTAATTATCAACTTTTCCAGGTGGTAAATTGCCAAATTACATTTTATTTCATACCAGCTGTCTTTAAATTATAAGTATGTCAAAACTGGAAGTATATTAGACGTTCGATGAGTTCTAAAAGGTTTAAAGAGGAGTGAGACAAGATCAACTAACTATTTTAATGCTTTACCTGTTTTTTAAATAGTAATTGAGCTAACAATACACTTACGACAAAGATTATTTATTCATAATAAGTTATTCCAAAGAATTGACTAAGAGCTATATTTATATCTTAAAGACCTCAAAAAGGAGAAGCTTATACAATTTTGCCTAATGTCAAAGTTATATTTTTTGAAATGGTCACAATTATCAGGTGGATGTTATAATAATTTACTTTATTGTTCACCACAATAACATAGTAATTTAACAATAAAAATGAAATATATACAAAATAAAAGTTGATGCACAACAAGGCGGTCTTATCGCTAGGTAACGATTTCTACCAGACAACCTTATGACTTAGAAACAGTCGCGATTTCAGAGAAGGGTGGTGTCACATGTTATAAAGTTTAATGTATATTAAAAAACAATAATCATATATACATACATACGTTTAAATGCTATAGCAAAAAAATCAAATGTATTGTCACCATAAGACAATGCCAGGAAATAGTCTTTCAAAAGCTTTTTAAAAATTGACAGGTTTTTTGCTTGTTTAATAGATAGAGGCAATGCGTTCCATAATTGTACAGCTTGTACAGTGAAAGATTTTTTATAAAATTTTGTACAATGAGATGGAAATCTAAGTGTTAAATTATGTTGTGAGAAGAACTTAAGAAAGAACTTACTAGAAGTCCCCCGATAATGAAATCTTTCTTGTAAGTAGGTAGGTAAATTCGGCATAAATAACACACAGTACAGAAGCGAAAGAGTATGTAGATTCCAGCGAAGGCGAATAGGTAACCACTTGAGTTGATGACGAAATTCTGATACATGGTCATACTTGCGTAAGCCAAATATAAACCGTATGGCGACGTTTTGAAGTCCCTCAAGTTTATTAAGTTGGTCTTCAGTTAGGTTGAGATAACATGCATCAGCATAATCAAGAATGGGGAGAAGTAGAGATTGAGCCAACATAATTTTGGTAGGAATGGGAAGAAAGTACCGCAGTCGTCGCAACAAGCTCATAGCTACAAAAGTTTTCCTACTAACCTCTTGCAGACCACGATAGCGTTCTATCCAAATACACTACCAGATTTTTAACATTATGACTTTAGGGTATTCTGAATCCGTCAAAGGTAATGGCTGGTAAGTTAACCCAGTCAACTCTATGTAGCGTTATTTGGGAAAATATGAAAACAATAAATGGTTTTTTTTTGTGACTCAACTGTATAAGCATTTTAAAAAATGCAATAAAGGTAAAATTTCCTGATTTTAAAGTTCCAACAATTGTTAAACCATCAGTTTATGGCATGGTAGAAATCTCACATGGTTTAATACCTTACTGAGTTAAAAAAATTTGTATTATGTATATTATGTATTATGTTTATTTTATAAAACCCTGGAAGAGAGGCCTATTTTATTAAATTACATAAAACAATTTTAAACTTCCATTTGACTTCATCAATAACATTTACATAGGCTGAGATATGCATCATGGAAACCTAAATATAGCTAAGTCATAATATGGGAATTGTAGTCACCATACTTGTAGTTGTACATGAACGAAACTTGTAATAAAATTTGTTGGTATACAATCAGTAACTTGTTTCAATTAATGTCTTAACAATTTTGCTAAAGTGAAAATATTACACATAAAAAAATTTTAGAATTACAATATTTATTACACTTTAAAATATGTATGTAATTATACCTATATATTAATCATATAAGTATGTTAAACACTAAGTACAATTTACTTGACGTATTTAACACTGACAAGAATAAAGTTATAAATTTTCCACCATTATAGTAAATCAAAATACATCCAAAGAGTATTTATTAGAAGCTGCTAAACAAGACTTTATGGAAGGTAGATATGTCTGGAACAACATTCGAGTTGGTGCTGTACAATGCTGGTTTGCCTGTGTTCCTGAAAAAAAAAAAATATATTATTACAAGACACATTGTGTTAGGGGTATATATTAGACACTTTGTAGGAAAACTTGCCTCAGTACAGTGTTAGGTCTTGGTGTGACGAGAAGACATGTCATGGGCTGACCATCTAGCTGTCTGTTGTGATAGAGTTCCACAGCTTTTTGGGCGTCTTGAACAGTCTTGTATATAACTTCTGCTGTGCCAGGTCTTACTAGTCGAGATTCTACCATACCACCGACATCACCAAACAATTCCTAAAGATGTTAAGTTTAGGATTGGTTAAAATATTATTTTACAATCTATGAACTCTATTGAAAACATCTAGATGTACCTCATCATACAGATGAAAAATAAACTGGTCCTTTAATGCATTATGAATTTTTGTGACAAAAACAAAATTGTGATACAAACTCAACCTTTTTAATTTTTAATCTAAGATGATGATGTATGAAATTTTAATAATTTTGACTAACATGTTAAAATACTACACACCTCAATGTCACCTCCGGTTACAGTGTTTCTTAAATTGCTAACAATGATTCTGTACTCATGATTAGATTTTTCAGGCTTTTCAACTTTATTTTCAGTACGCAAGGCAGCCATCGGCCTTTTCTTTAATATAGACGGAGGTCTCGGTGGGCTTTTCTCTTTTTCTATTGTAGCTGTCCTATAAAAGAAATATTCATAAATAAGCACTTAGATTAATAAAATAAATAGAATTAAAAATAATAACCAATAAATTTATAATTTTAGATGTCAGTTTCTACCAAAAGGGGCCATCCATAAAGTACGTCACACGTAAAGTGGGGGGGAGGGGGTCGACAAAGTGTGACATGGTGTGACAAGGGGTGGGAGGGGTCCTAAGTTTCGTGACATCACATTTCAAAATCTACTATTAATTTCAGCTATACAACATTTTAAAGATTTTCATTTGGATGCTGTTTACATTGCCACAAATGCCCCAGGAAGAAGTGCTCTAACAGAGTAGAACGACGAATGGCACCTCTTAGTCGTAAACTTACTGGTGTTGTATTTAAACACGATAATTTCGGTTCACATCTCGATTTCAGTAATAAAACTACTGACCTGGACTTGGAAAACGAAACTTTGAGAGTGCAGGCACAGTATGACTGTGAGTTGTGACTGCCATGCCAGTTATAAATAATTTAAAATACTGGGTTCAAAGTCCATGGACTGAAGATGATTGAGTTTCTTTTTCTTTATATTCATTAGTTTATTTTTTTATTATTGTTTCAAATAATTGATATTTTGTTGTTTTCATAAAAAAATACTCAATTTAAATGGAAATAATACTAATTTCGGAACTGCTGCTTTAATTTAATAATTTTTCGATGTTAAATTGCAAAACATGTGACGTCACACTAGGGAGGGGGGGGTCCTCATAAATGTGACCACTTGTGACAAGGACGGGGGAGGGCTCAAAAACTCATGAAATTAGTGTGACGTATTTTATGGATGCCCCCAAAGAATAAAAATTGTATTACAGTTACTGAAGTATAAAGATATTATATTTCCATACTTTTAATATAAAACTACATTGTTTACTTCATCATTGATGTAACTAGTACTACAAAAAGTTTCACGTAATCTGAATAGAGGGTTTTACCTGTGTGCATCACTATTATGTGTGACTATTTTCAATTGTAGACTAGCTTTCCTATTTGTTAGTGACATTCCTATAGGCTCACACATTTTCTCGAGTGGATCATCAATTATTGCAATATCGTTTTCAACAGTCCTTATAATAGGTTTGACTCTGCATTTAGCATCACCTGTATCAAGAAATAATGAAATTTAGATAAATACAAAAATAAGGATAATTATTTAGAAAAGCAGTATTTACCAAAATTTCTTGGTTCATTTGGTCTCTCTCCTACAAATCTTTTATTAAAGACATTCTTTTTCACAAACTTTGGTGCGAGTGGTTGATAGGCAACTTGTCTTGATGGGTCTGTAAACACTGTGAATTAAAACAATGTTACTGTCAATTTTGTTATTAGTAAATGCATATCTTTAAAATAAAAAACAATTGCCTCTTTCTTTCATAGCAAATTGCTTATTGGGCCTCCCGTGTTTATGAGAAATGAAGCCACTCTGCAACTTGGTCACGGCCTGTCATGATAAAAATAATATTACTTTAGAAATTATATACTCACAATGATTACTAATTAGAATTATTTATAGTATAATAGTATAACTCAACGGTTAGAGCTAAGGAAGTGTATAAATTAAATATATAATAAATACCCTTTTGGCTCTTAATTGCTCCAATCTTAATCGTGCATCTTTTTGCTTAGCAAGTTCGCCTAATTTTTCTCTGGCATCTGTGATTTGAGTTCGTTTTTTAGATATTATTTTGTTTCTTGCATCCATGATAGTTTTCTTTTTTACTGGTAACTGTTTTTTGTTTTTAAATGTGTTCCTACAAAAGGAAAATATAATTGTAGTATACATGTAAATAAACAAATTAATAAGAATACTAGGAAATAGTTTGAGTAACATAAGTTAATCAAATACAGCGATTGGCAGCGGTATATATAAATCATAAAATAAAAATAAATTAAATTGCATACAAACCTAACAGTTTCCTTTTTCTTTTTTTGTATTATATCATCCAGACTCATATCAACATATGAAACCATATTTCAAAACCTGATTTACTAAACGAAAACAATTATTGTATGATTGTTTATTTAATTTGTTTCAATAATTATATGCGAAGCCAGGTTATCGCTCAAGAAATGGTTTAATGAACCATATACAGATGAAACAAACAGACAACGAAATTTCCCTTAATCTTTTGGAGAAATTTGATTGCCATTGATATTTTTAAACTTTAATACAGATAACAAATAACCACAGAAGTGTTAACTGACGGAACGTATTCGGTGATAGTGGCACAGAATATTTTATATGGAAACGTCACATTCAGTAATATTGTACTAACTGATACAATAAAAATAATTACACATATGTAATATTTTCTTATTATATTAGGTAATTTCTGTTTCAATAGCATCTTTTATGTTATATATTATTCGACTTTCTTTATTCTCCAACCCTGTTGTTTGAAATATATAGATATTATCAATTATATTTACAATAACTTTCGTTATATAATGATACACAAGTTATACTTATAATGAGAATCGATACAAAATATTTTGTTATGTAAATGTAAAACAATTATTTTGTACAACTATTATACATTCTGGTATCTACGGAATGAAGCTACCTGTGACGTTTGAACTCCTTGTGTTTATGCTGAAATATTGACTTATTCAATAAATTGTATTCATTTCTTTATAACTTAAAATTCAATGAAATTACATATTTGAAAGTACTCGATATTGTTTATATAATTCATTATGGAACACGACAAAGAGGAAGGAGAAATGAGCGATGACCATGAAATGCTTGTGGACGATCAACCCCTTGATAGTCCAACTAAAAGCACTGTGGTAATTATTGTTTTTTAATGTATGTACAATCTATCATATTAGTTTAATTCTTTAATTTTGACTTCCTTTCAGGTTTTTATCGCAGATAAAAATGGACTTATGGTTCAACAATTAGAAAAAGTTGATGCTTGTAGACTTGAGGAAAGAGCCAAAAGATTTGGTTTAAACTTGACTGGAAATAGGATTGTAACACAGAAACAGATTGACGAACTTTATAATAATTTTGGTATTGAAGGTGGAAATGAAAGACATTTCAGATTTGATACACTTCATTTAAATGGTGTTAATGGTTTAACAACAAAGGATATATTTGAGTATTTGGTAGACTACAAGCCAGTCTCCCTAGAATGGGTTGATGATAATTCATGTGGGTATCTTAGTACTACTTGGACATTATAACTTAATAGAATAACATCTTAGTATATCAAAAGTACAGAGTAAACTCTATATAACAACACTGAAGGGACTGTGCATTTTATGGCGTTATAGAGAGTAGTCGTTAAATAGAGAGATGAAAAATCAGAATTAGAAAAAGACAAAGTTTATTTCAGACTAGTGTTAGTACTTAAATACTAGTGTTAGTACTTAAACAAGAATGTTATTAGAACGCTATTGCATAATATAGTCTGTTATTTTTGCTGCACCAGTAATGTTGTTGTATTTTTTTATTTATTTTATTAATATCTTGCGATATTGAGGCTTCTTAGAAAGTTTGTTATGCATGACTCCGACAGTCGAGTTTATTGCAGGCTAAGATAACAAAGCGATGAAATAATGTACATAGCTGCGCAGTTTTTACTCATTTTAGCAACTTAAAAGGTACTTTTTATTACTTAATTGTTGTCGTTATTGAGAGTGGGTGTGATGCTATGCACAGTGTATTATTGTATGGAAGACAAGCTAAACCAAACAAAGTCAAATGATTTTGACGCTTTAGAGAGTTTGTTGTTAAATCGAGTGACATTATATGGACTTTACACTGTATATATGGAATCCATATTAAACATCTATTAAATATAAACACCATAACTTTCTTTTGATATATTTTGGATTACTTTTAATATATGTTGTATTATTTTGTTCTTATTACAGGTAATGTTGTTTGTCAGGACCATATATCTGCTGCACTGGCATTATTGGTACATTCTAGGGAAATTAAAAGTGAACACATTAAAGATATGCTGCAAAAAAAATCTTCACATTACTGGAGAGAAGGTGTTCCACACCCTAACAAAGACTTGATTTTAATGAGATTTGCTACAAATAGTGATAAGAAGTCAACAAAAATTGAACCTGAACAAAAACATAGACTAAACTCTGACAAGAATATAAATAATGATGGAAAGAATCCCTGGGGTGACTTGTGCAGGTCCTGGGGCATCTATGATCATCAAGAAGTCTTTCAGAGAAATTTATCAAAAACGGACTATGAGGAAGAACTTGATGAACCATTTGAAAAAGTCCCAGTTAAAAACAAGAAGTTAGCCTCACGACTCGGTAAAAGAAATCATAGTTTAGAAGTTGCCAGCAGTGATTCCGATTCTGAATGGAAGAAGAAGTCTAAGACACCCAGAATGAGAATGCGAGCTGATGATGAGGAGACAAAGCAAAGGATCAACAATCAAATGAAACAAAATGATTCAGATGAAGATGATTATGCACCATTGTCAATAGAAATTCTTAATTCAAGTAGTAAATTCACTTCTAAACATTCAAAAAGAATATCTGAGAAATTTAGAAATTCAGACCAACATTTCAAGAGCATGCCTCGGAATGTACACTCAAGATTAGGCATCAAAGTAGTGGATAATGAAAGAAGTCATAGTGATGAATCTTCATCAAACGAATCAGACTATAATGTAACTAGCCGGGTGCAAAAAGTAACAACTGGTTCTAAAAATACATCAAATGTTTGGTCACGATTGGAGATTAAATCCAAGAATTCAGGACAAAAAGATTTGAGACAAATATTAACAACACGTAAACCTAAGCATAAAGATGATTTAAGAGATAGACTTGGCAAGTCAAAACAATGTAATATTCGCATTGAAATAGACAATAGTTAAGCTAATTAATAAATCAATTTTATATATAATTATATTTCATTTTTAATTTACTTAAATATGTTATGATGAATAAATAAAAAAAGTATATCCATAGTAAAATAGAGTATATTATAAAATTGTTTGTGCTGTTATATAATATCTTGTGCACTTATAAAAAGTGTATTAATATAATTGTTGGAGTCTGGTCGGTCATGATGTAAATGATTCAAGATTGTGTATAAAAAGCGCAACAAATGTAAATAAACATAAGAAACAGTAACAATTCTAAAATAGCTATGTTATTTCACTAATATAATTGACAGTTTTAAAGTTTTATACAGTTATTTGATCCTTTTGAATAAAACATTGTTATTTATAATGAAATAGTAATCAGAGAAGTAGATTTAATAAAGTTCTCATTTAGATCTCAAACAAACAGTTTTTAATTCATCTAACCGTCTTAGAATAAGGATGTTTTTATTTACATATTAGGCTGAATTAAACAAAACAAAAAATATAACAACAAACAAACAGTACCAGTTTATAATTTTAGGTTTAGCTTTATTGGTTTAAATATTCCTATATTTTATATTTTCATGTAGTAAAATATGGTAACAATTTTATAGTTTTATAATCAATATTATTTTCCATAAAACACATCAAACGTGTTTAAATAGCGTGATAGGAATTTATTTACTTTTGATATGTAATAAGTGACTATAGCATAAGTATATAAACCATAGTATTTTTTTATTCCATTTTGCTATATAATTTGAAAAAAGTTTACATTGAGATTCTGTTAATAAATGCTTTATAATATCTTATAGGTGACACAAATTTCATTACTGGCGTAAAAAAAAAATAATATAAAGTAAAAAAAGTATAACATTAAATTAATAATAATTAGTAAAATCTTTGTGGTGTATTTAATCTTATTATTTGTATACAATACGAGGGCTGCTATATATATTTCTGGCCTAATAATGAAAATACGAATATTTATCAACGAAAATGGTTTTATTGTTTTTCAAAATATTCTCCATCAAGATTTATACACTTTTGCATGCGCTCGAACCAATTTTCGAAGCACTTTTTCCACTCCGATTGAGACACCTCCAAAACATGGTTTTTGAATGCTTCAACAGCATCTTCTGGCGACGAAAATCGTTGTCCACGCATTTTTTTCTTGATGTGTGGGAATAAAAAGAAGTCATTGGGTGCCAAGTCAGGGCTGTACGGCGGATGACCCATCACTTCGACGTTTTGGCCGGTCAAAAAGGCGCTGGTTTGAGCCGATGTGTGAGAGCTCGCATTGTCATGGTGCACAATGATTCGTCTTCTCTTGTTCATTTTTCGAATTTCTCCGAAGACTTCAGGCAAACAAATGGTGGTATACCACTCAGAATTGACCGTCCTACGTTGCTCAAGCGGAACAGTCGCCACATGACCAGTTTTGCCGAAGAAACAGGCGACCATTTGCTTCGAAGTGCTTCTTCCACGAACAACTTTCGTTGGATTTGGCTCGTCTTGGAAGACCCACACGGTCGATTGCTGTTTTGTTTCGGGCTCATACGCATAGATCCATGATTCGTCACCTGTGACGATCTTATAAACGTCTTTTGAAGCACCGCGATCATATTTTTTCAGCATTTCTTTACACCAATCCACACGAGCTTTCTTTTGAGCGATTGTCAAATTGTGCGGGATCCAACGAGAACAAACCTTTTTTACGGCCAGGTGTTCATGCAATATCGAATGTATGCTGGTGGGAGAAATGCCTAGGCATGCCTCTATCTCACGGTAAGTCACATGACGGTCTTGCATTATCAGTTCACGTACGGCATCGATGTTTTCTGGCACAACGGCTGTTTTTGGACGACCTTCACGGAATTCGTCTTTGAGCGAGCGTCGGCCACGATTGAATTCGTTGTACCAGTTTTTCACAGTGCTATAGGATGGTGCTTCGTCGCCATACAAAGATTTAAGTTCATCGATGCACTCTTGTCGTGATAATCCACGTCGAAAGTTGTGAAAAATGATCGCACGAAAATGTTCACGAGTTAATTCCATTTTTTTGCCAAATTGATTTCTTCAAGTACTTGTAAAAGAAAAAAAAAATTGTCGTAAGTCAAAAAGTTCTGAGTACATTTATGCTAAAAAATGTCAAACTTTCCAATGGAAATGCCAGATTGCACCTGGCAACACTTAGTGTTGCCTAGGCCAGAAATATATATAGCAGCCCTCGTATAGCACGGTGTTGTTAAAGCGGTGTAAGCTAAAATCTTTTTTTTTTTGTTAGTAAGTTAAGTTTAATGTTCTTAACATCAACTATTAAGCATGGTCTTACTAATGTATTTTTACAATCGGAAGACTTTATACTGGTGTTGCCATCTATTCACTAAATATATCATGTTCAAGCAAATTATTTTAAACAAAAATGTGTTTCTTCTAATGACATCAACATACACTCCTACATTGTTAAGATTTTGTTCTTATTAAGTTATTAATCACAAATATTTGTAAATTAATTGTCCTAATGTTTGGATTTATGCCTTTTTTATACTAAGAAGAAATCCATAATTCAAATTAATCTGTTTTTTAAATTCATTCTATAAATATCATTCATTAAATTCATCTTCAGTAATATTTAAGTGGAATGCCTCAGTCTTTTTAAGTACTTAACACATGTCAACATTCGATTTGACTAAAATGCAAATTAAGATCTTTTTAATACCTCACTTCTTATAACTAGGTTAGTGTATAAGCAAAATAAAATGTATAATATAAATGGGTTATTTAGTTTTTTTCTCTTTGTCAGGTTTATCCTCGTCTTTTTTCTTTGATATCAACGTGTGTTTGGCTTTCTTTAATTGTTTTTTAACTTTGTCCTTCACTTTGTTCTTCTTGACAGGCGTCACGGCGTCCCCCGATTTCATTGACGAACTGTTGGACTCGCTGTTTCTTTGTGCTGGAAAAATGTAATTTATAATATAATGTATAATATTTATTAATATAGAAATAACAGTAAAAATTTAAATTAGAGGCTATAAGATCATACTATATATTTATAAATGATTACACAACTCCCTATCCTATATTTTCAAATACCTATATCCTCATTTCACATGTTATATACATATGTGTATTTTTTTATCATTTACAAGATTTTCAAGATTCGTTTATCAGCTACAAGATGTTATAATGTTAAAAAAATATCCTCTGCTTCCGAGACATTATATTTATTTTTTCCAACTCGTTATAGCTGTATAGTTTACTGTATTTTGCTCGCGACAGACCGTGTAGACCTCAGAGTTGGGTTCAACGTGATAAAACAATACAAATGGTTAGCGTTCGTATCTTGTGACATTATATACTATACAGCGGCTATATACCATATTTTGACGTCTAAGCTGTTTTGCAGTAAAATTTCGTCAAAATCCTTTCGTTAATTTTTTGCGTTAAACATCCATATGCCACACAAATTTCTACATTCAAAGTACTGAACCTCTTTTAGTAGCTATCGATGCTGCTATAGCCAGGTCCTCTTGTCTCTCGCGTCGTCTTTCCGCATCAAGTTGCTGCACGAGCTCATCCCGCAGGCGAACGATCTCCACCAGTCGAGAAACCAACTGCTCCTCGCGTACCTGATATTGTTAACAAAATATTTTGATCCTTATTTTGTTGCAAATATAGTTCATTATGACCATATTCTTCTCATAAATTTTCATTCTCAAATCAAACAGACTTCTCATTCATAAATCTTCGCGAATGATTGTGTTAACGTAAGCTTATGATTCAATAACTGAAGACTTGACGCATTAGTTAAATGGTCTGAACTTGTGTTATACGTACAGGAAAAACATTGAATGGAAGATTAATTCAAAATAAATTTCAATATATATGTATGTAGGTATAAATTTATTTATTTATTTTTATTTTTTGCTACACATTTAGCAAGCCTAATTTAAAAATTCTAAAATCGTTTAAATAAACGCATATTGTCAAATTGAAAGACGCATCTAGAAGTACAGACTTCATATTATAAGGAACATTTGGATTATGCTGGATTAGTAATGCTGAATAACATAAATTGAATGACTACGCAAATAAAAAATAATAATAAATTAATGACGGACAAGTGAAAATTATGGTTCGTTGATTGATACCTCAAAATTATACAGAATTAAAAAAAAAACATGGGAAAAATGAGAAGAATCGAATTTTTAATATAATGTCAGATTTGACAGAAATAAAAGATATTTCTAGACTGAAGACATTGATAGGCTGATTAAAATCAATGACAGACAAGGAATGCTAATGAATAGGCAGCATGGTCTAAGAAGTAAGCGTCCCTAAAAGGACGAATTGTAAACAAAAATAAACATAAGTTAAAATCGAATCTTATGTGATGTCAAATATGTATACAAAAATTATTTGATACTTTAGTTTTTAATTTAACTAGGTTATGTAATGATCCTACGAGAATATTTTTTCAAAACTATTGAGTTTAATTTAGTAGAAACATATAAGTATACATATATGTAGTATAGAGATATACTGCAATCATCGTCTGTCTGACTTTGAAAATGTGTTGTTTTGAGACTTACTAATCATAATAATAAGGTAAATGATCAATAAATTTATTATGATGTAGAGATAAAAAATGACTATCGTATCAAAGCTATTACGATAAAAAATCTCATGATAATAAGATATTGATTTTAATCACAATGTATTAAGCAGAAAAAAATAATTATAGTATCTAATTATTAATTAACATACAGCCATTGTTATGGCCAAGACGGAGACTTTCATGTTACGTACGCGCTACATATGAAAATAAATGAACATCGCCGGGGCGACATGTCTGTATCGGTAAAATATCGTATAACGAGTGACGCCGCTGACTTCGCGGAGCCAACACCAAGCCGTGTAAACCAGAAGATTCCACATACCACACAAGCAATAGATTATAGAATGCCATTGTCATCCTTACATCGGGGCAATCATGTAGTCTTAGGTATAGGTTATAAGTTTTAAAATGTAATTCTTATTTTAATATACATATAAGTATGTTTCGTAGTTTTCCCGGAACCTCCGGTTGCCACCCTATATAATTTTCACTTGTAATATACAACAATATACATAACAAGTAAATAAAATTTACTGATAAACAATATAATTATATTTATTAATATTTTTATGTATCAAGATAGCATTTCTAGATAAAAACGAAACACAAACACTAGTATTACAAATTCTATTATATTTAGTTATTGATTATGAGTTTGATTATAATTATGAAAGGCGAAAGTTGCGTTCTAAATTTCTGGGTACATTTTAATTAAATTTATTTGAGTTTTCTTAGACACTTCATAAATTACAGAAACTTAAAAAAAATGCGAGATATCTTAATTAAAAATAAAATTATTTTAGTTTTAAAAAACAAGGAAATATTATAATAATCTGTTAATTGTTTTATTGCACGTACAATTTCTAATACAACGACGCGGATACTAGTATATCTGGCAGTATAGGATTACAAATATTGTTTCATAAATAAAAAATCTTTATACTCTAATATTTCTAAGGTTTAAAAATTGTTATTGCCAACATCAGTTTTGTATACAAATTATGGATAATTAGATATAATTACTTAATTACTAAAACAATGTTCCATGTTACAACGATCTAAAAGAACACGCAATGTGCATTTAGATTAATAACAACTTTCCCGATTCAAGACCGATGTACGTTTAAATATTTTGTATTATTCTTTAAACGATAATAATAAAAAAGGTGACGACAAAAAAAAAAGAAATTTATTGTGATTGAAAAATGGTAATTTTCAATCAATCACTTTCATTCATGCACAACAAAAGTTCGAAGATAATCGTGTACGTGAAAACCCAGGGAATGTAATATAAAATGTTTTTCCCCACATATAATAACACGTCAACAGGATTAGTTGAATTATGTTCTAACCACTTCTAGTAATATTATGTATTGTGTAAGTACTACCACTTCAATTAGAACATATATCATTGAAATTTATGCAGATATTTGCATAATATGTATTACTTATTTGCGATTTCATTCATGTAGTTTAATTGAGTATTATTTTAATTTGCCTAGTAATAAAAAATAGCATCAAATCTTACAATTTCAATGTTTTATTACACATGCAACATTGTATCCTGTATTTAAATTTGGAACGTTAAAATTATCTTAAAAATTCGTTCAAAATTAGTGAAGACGTCGGATTAAATGTGAAAATATCTATATATTAATAACGGAATGGTTTATGTTTAATAGCGACTTAATGTTATCTAAGAATTTCAAGTATGTATAACTAATATTTTTGGATATATTTTTACTTGTTTTTTTATTATTATTTTGATTACATACTCCTGACGTATCGGCTACTTTGCACCAACGCAGCCATTATCATATTATTTTATGATCATAAACACTCTTGTACTTAACACTGTTTCCAATATAATTACAATTTACAAAAATGTTTGGGCATTTCTATAAATCTATGCAATGTTAAAAAAACAAGAGTTTATAATAATATTTTAATCTCGTCTACTTTACTGCCTGGATTTTACTTAAAAAAAATCATGACAGCAAGTATAGTTTCATTCACGCTGCGTGATGTAACTAATATGAAGGTAAAAATAAACAACAATTGAAATGACATTAATTTGACGATTATGTTTTTATGGTCCGTATAAAAAAGTATTGTTCATTTCCTGTCAAAATGTTAAGTATAACTAGTCAGTAATAAAAATAAATATATATGTATATATACATATTATATAGTATGTAATATTGTTTATCAATTGTTACCTTATCAGAGTCAATACGATTAACAGCGGGTCGGGATTGTATCACACGTATCTCGTGCTCGATGTCCGCTTGTTCTTGTTCCAATCTTTGTTGTCTTCGTCTAGAAATTGATATAAATAAAAACAAATTAAATATAATTAAGAAAATAATAATAATTTAATATTATTATCTGAATGACAATTGTTTATATAATTATTTCTGATCTAAGATATCCAAATTGATTCATGGAAGAGATTAGGCGGGAAAGTAGATAAAATATATACAGTCTATTTTTTCTTCTATAATCATTTTTATAAATTTATAATCTGTTTCGTGGAAAGGATATTAGGGGCCGTTCAAGTATTTTCTGGATTTATATGAAAAAAAAACAATACAGTAATTGAAAATGTTTACGTAAGCATGGGGGGAGGGGGTAAGAGCTTTGCTGACAAGGGGGATGGGGGGTAAATAATTGTAATAAATCTGCTTACGTAGTACTTGCACGGCCCCTTAAGAGTATTAATGAATGATAAACATATGATATAACTCACATGTACATTAGTTCCGTTTGTTTTCTGAACAAGTCATTCTTCTCATTCACCAGTTCACACAATTGGATGACCAAGTCTTCGATTTCCTCTTGCGGGGCCGTTGGACCGCCATCGCCTGAAAAAAGTCATTATAATTAGTGTCAAATTAAATGTACTCCAAGCTTACTTACTCATAGAAGAGTTATGTTTGGAATTTGATAGTAGAGTAATATATGCAAATAGACTAAACACAAAACACTATTTTATTAGCAGAATTAGCGTAATAATTCTTGTTGAGATTAGAACATTCGTTATTTTTATACATTTCAATTAAATATACACAGTTTTGAGTTTTTTCATTCCTTAAATTTGACAAATAAATTCTATATGCGAGAGTTCTTTTAAATCTAAATTTGTACCCATAAAACACGATTAAACAAACATATGGGTTAATACATAATTCGGTTTCGGTAGTACTTTTAAGTGCTAATAACTGATAAGGATTAGTTAAAATTTTACCCTATTTAAAACAAAGAAGGCGATACCATTTATAATCCTTTTGATATTATGAATTTAAAATAAAAAAAGTATGTACTTAGTGTTTGAATTACATATTGATTGTTCATAGTTTGGTGAACAAATTAAATGTAAACATATCACGTAGCTAGTATGAGTTCGAATCGTCACACTATATACGATTCATCTCCCGTTTCTGATTCATTAATCTACGTTAATACTGTAATGTAAAAAGAATAATAAAACAATGTGGTAAGTATACTTGAATGCAGCAGCAAAATTCAAGGGCAAAGGTTTAAAATACAAAGCATTGAAGACGTTTAAGTTTAACTTATCAAAGAGGTTTCATGACAATAAATTAGCCTTTTTTTTAATTTTGTATCTCATTTAGAATATTATTTCGTATATTTTTAAGGACTACCGATCATTAATTACTTTTTCTACATATTTAGGTTATCTTAGAAGAAATTCTTAAAAATAATAATTTCTTCAGTACGTTTGTAATTTATTAATGGGTCAAAAAATAGTTTTTTTTTTATAAATTGAGGTAAAAAATACTTTTTATCAAGATTTATGCTTTATAACGAATTATTGCCTATATTCATTGATACAAACGATTTAAAACAGTCTATAATTTTCTCTAATCTTTTAATTACAAACATTATTTGTGCATAACATCATTTCTATTTAGCCAGATACATGTATTTATGTATGTTATCATATTATAAGTATGTCTATTATACAGTTATCTTTCCTCTATTTATCATAAAAGATAATTTAAATGAATATCGATACCAATTACATCTATATCTGAAGATATAAAGATAATATATGCATAATGCGATAAGCTTCCATTAATTTGAATAAAATCGTGGTGGTAAAAATTATAACACAAAATAATTCAATTATTGAATGCACGGTCAAAATATTCTATATAACTTTGTCCCGCGGGTTTGCACTTATTATAGAAATCGATTATGACTCAAATATCGCGTATTCTTCCTTGATGGATACCTTCAAATGTGAAAAAATAACGAACAGATGGTTAAGCAGAATAACTGTAGTATTTAATATAGATAATAAAAATATTTCTTTGTCTACGTATTGTAATCAAAAATGAAATAGAATTCACTACAATTATGGAAGAGGAAATTTAAAATACATGCAAAGCTGTATTCTTTCATGTTATTTCAAATGAATACTTTTTTATATTTATTTATTACTCCATCCATTACCAGTGTGAAAGCGTGTACGGTGCATAGTGGTGTTGAAGAATATTTCTAAATATTACCTACGTCTATTCCTTATTTAGTTTATAGTGTTTCACGAACGAAAGGTTCCGTACTTTGATGTACAATAAGAAAAAGATAATGATGTTTGTTATACGGAAGCGCTCATAAAACTTTTATTACAATTTCCACTATTTGTTTTTAGGGCTTCAGAAATATAAACAGTGAAAACTATAGCGGTACATGAGATAAAGCCATAAACAGACGGACAACCAATTCTTAGTATTATCGTCCAATATTTAGTATATGGAACCCAAACAATAAAATCTGTACCAAAAATATCCTAATAAATTTTCTTAGAAGGAAATTTTGCTTGCACTAGTGTAAAAAGCGTGATAAAGTGCTGGAATCAATTTACCCTCACACTTATCCCTGATCATCTGTTCTATGAGAACGCCCTGTCTCTCCAGGCCCAGCTGTTGAGTCTCCAGCATATCCAGCTGTACTTGCAGCTCTTCGCCGGACATCTGCAACTTGACCTCACGACGTTCTGGAAGTGGCAGACCAGGTGCCGGTCCTTTTACGCGACGGATCACTGGTCAAAAGAAAGTTATCAAGTTTATAAATACGATATTACATATATAATTTTCTATGTTACAGTTTGAAGGAACCTAAGATTTTCGCGAGTACTCATTTAAATAAAACTAATATTTTTCGGCTATGTGATCACATCTCGTCTGCCCGTGATCACGGTTGCTGAAATGTAGCCGAAATGTCGGGAGTATGTAGTTTTCTAATCAAAAATAAAACGCGAAGTAAAATCCGAAAAATATTAGTTTCAGTTTGAAGGAACATTTCATGAAAATCATCATGTTAATAAACACAATATTACATATATATTTTGTCTTTTTTAAGTACGAAGTAATTTTTTTGTACATATTTTATAATTATAAAATCTATATTACTAACTGCAAACAAATCTTATCTAATTGGTATATAACATGAAATAACAGTATAATTATATAGTAAGTGGATAACACATTTTATTTAATGTTTAGTATAAATCGTTATTATATTTTTATTTTTGTTTCATGACTATTATTTTTTTGGTAGGAAGAGGAACATGAAATAATCTTAGAATCATCTATCTACAATAATTGTTGTCTTTCATGCTAAATTACCTCTGAAGATTATTTTCAAACAATGATATACTATAAAAGTAATGGCCATGAGTTTTTTGATTGAAGGCATTGGATTCCTCTTTTCTTAAAGTCGGTGAAAAATATCTGAGTTATTTTATTTCATATGCAATAGGAGCAACATTGTTTATTAGTTTTTTTTTTATTTTTAGTTATATCTGAATGAGTTTTTGCAATAGTATAATAGATCATTTAATATAATAATTCCAATAAATTATTATAATATTATTTATGTAGAGTATGCATATTCTAAGTTGACACCGTCATACTACATAACATGACACATACATAACCATCATGTTAAAAAAAACCCTTTGGTTAAAAAACCATATTAAATAATAATTTAATGAGAAACGAGGAACGCTGTTTATGTAGTTAGATGACGTGAACTTGGAATAACATACAGTTATGGAGTGAAGGGCGGCTGACATTTTATTGTATTATATCGATAGACTGTAACACTATTCATTCAATACAATACATTTGTTAAATAAAAATGACCTTCCTTAAAATGTTTTGTTAACATAATAATTTATAAAAAAAAGGCAAGAAGCTGTATATTTTTTATAACAAAGTATTTTAACGCCACTTATATAAAGAACACAAAAAACAATTACTAAGAACAGTACTAGGGTTAAACGTTTATAAAAAAAATTACGTAATTCCAAAAAAAAACTTTTCAGCCAACATACATATGTCACAACGGATGATTATAATCAATCAAAAAAGAGATATAAATACTTTTTGTTGTGGTCAGGAAAAAAAAAATAAACAAACCATCCGAAGTATTGCGGCTGCCCGAAGTATCGACACCCCTCTCCATAGAACCTCCACAGCCTGACAGAGTGGACAGGCTGTCGGGAGGAGTTGGGGCGGGCCGCTTCTTCTTTAACTTCGGAGTGGAGACACCGAAGGATTTCTATTAAAAAATAATTAACATACATTTCAAAGAGTCATATGAAGTTTGCTAGCATAAATCTATTTGAAAATCCTGTTGCATAAAATATGATATTTTATTTGTATATACTATAGATTTCAAACGAGGTAAAAGATTTGCTATGGATAAGCGAAATAATGGTATGACTCAGCTTATTCTAACATAGGTATATAAAATTCAAACAAAATTTGTATGCAATTATATCATTATAAACAATTTGTATGAGTTAAAACATGACCTTCCAATAAGTCGTATCTAGTAAACAGGTATATATCTATATATTGTTTACTGTTTATATTGCAATATAATACGTGAACAGTTACCATATACCGGATTAAATTCATTACCATATTTGCATTTGAATTTGCACGTCAAGCCGGTTTCCATCGGATGCTGCAAATATCTTCTACTATAATATAATCTATGTTTTCTACATTAATATAAACAACTCGTGCAGTTAATATTTTATGTTTTTGTTTAGTCAATGATTCCAATTTCAAAAATTATAATAAAAAAATATAGAATGAAAAATGCATTTGAAATCGCCACGATTAGAACATGCGACCCTCGGGATATAAAAACCCGACCTATATAACAATTAAACTATCGCGCCTTATATTTCTTTAAATTCTATATTTGAATTCTAATGAAATTGTATAACAAATTTTATTAACCAGTACTTCTGAAGATAACCTGGACATATTCTGTATGGCATTTATATAAATTAGCATATCTATACTTCAAGTAGTGATGACGCTATTTACGATTGTAGTTTATTATTATTATTATTATTTATTAGGTATTCTATAAACATGTAGAAATATTGAATATGATAAGTTAAACATAGTGTAATTTTATATTCCAGGTACAAATTGCTTTGTAATTATTACTTTTTTTCATACTTTATATTTACATTTATCGTTTTAAATATTATCACGACATCGTGATCCCATACTTGTGAGTGCTATTTAACATATCATTATGGACTTTATTAGAGCAGTGTCTATATAAGGATATGCAGTCAGATCATAGCAGTAACGAGTCACCTTGATTTATTTGGACTTTAATTAAAAAAAAAAATATATATATATATGTATATAAGAATTTTAAAATGAAATAATGTTAAAAAGTTTTTATATGCTATGATAAAAATATGATCTATGGTTTATAGTCGAAAAGCATATATCACTGTTTAATATTATTCCAAATGCGACTATTATTTAAGCATTCAGCACACGCCGTTAAATTATGAGGATTGACGACTTTTTCTTTTCACACGATATTACTAATCAATATTCAAATCATGTTAGATTTATAGAAAAAAAGTAACAATTCTATTATGAATAAGATTAACAGGTCAATATTATCTATTGTTGGGGCACATACGTGTTTTATTGCAGATTTTACTTGAGATATAAGTGTAGTGGCAACTCACCTGATCAGAATGTATGGTGGAGTTGTGGGAGCTAAATGAGGATATGCTGGCAACATCGTCCATTGACGTTGAAGGAAGGTTGAGACTTTCAGGAATGGGGGGCGGAGGCGCCTTGGGCTTCCTCCGAGAACGAAGATTTGGTGTGCTACCAGTTATTGACGACTTGTGCATGTTGGAACTGGAAAATTAAAATTATTTAGAGTTTCATATAAAACCTTTTTTCTTAAATACTATTTTTTTTTAAATAAATATCTGAAAACATACCTCGTATCACACTCCTCATCAGACGATGGTTCTTCGCCGTCCGACCAGAAAGGATTATATGCTTTGATGTGACGTTTTCTAAAAAAGAATATATTTTATAGACAGGAATAACATATATTTGGGATATTCATGCATTTTGACTACATACACAGGGGTGGATGTCTGTATGTCGGGTACACTAGGATTGGTTGGCATCTCATCTTCATCGCTACTCCCGAATGGATTTGTGCTGACTTTCCCTGATATATCCTGTTGTTCATGCTAAATGGAAAGTGCAAGGCATGCATTATAACCCATATCATAACAGTCAGAAACTTTATTTTAGTACATACCTCATTTTCGTCGTCGGAAAACGGATTTAAGTGATCGGGGTACTCCTTGGTTTTTTCTTCCGTTTTATTATTGAGAGCTTTTAATCTTCTATCAGCTAAAATCTGTTTCTTTCTTCGAGGCGGAACGCTTATAGTGATCTCTTCTTCTGTATTAATTGGTTCAATATTATTAATTTTTGTTTCACTTGGACTCAAAAGTATATTACTCTGAGCTAATCTGCTATCATCTGTTATATTGCTTTCTGTATTTTCTGTTAGTTCATTACATTCTTCAGGAGGGAGAGTTGCTTTCAGAGTGTCTTCATTTTTAATTTGTATAGAGTCATCTTTTAAACTATTTATGACTATGCCATTATCTAAGGCATCGTCAGATAATTGTGTTTGTAAAAAATCAAATTTTTCTTTATTACTCTTATAGATCGGTGTTGGAGGTTTAGAAATATCTTCAGTGTCTGTATTTATTTGGTTCTTAATTTTTTCTTTTAAATTAAATTCTGAGTTATTTACATTATTATGAATTTCAAATTTATTATTTTTAATCACATCATCAGTTTTGATTACTTCTTTTAACTTATTATTATAGTTGTCTTTTAAACTAATATTTCCTACTTTATCTTCTAGGTTGACAGTTTCTTTTTCTATATTTTTTTCAAACATGTTTATTTTGTCTGCAAAATAAATTGTTATTATTGTATACAATATATTCCATCGACATAATCAATTTTAATTTTGTTTTTACCTCTAATATTTAGCCTAGTATTAATATATTTAAATAATTGTTAGGGAAAAAGAAACAATGTAAAATGTAAATGGTAATAAATAACAACACAAACACATTGACTGAAGTATACATGCTAAGAACAGAAGAGAGAAAGAATAATCTCACCTAGTATAGATTGTGGCCTTGGTTTAGCTTTGGGGCTGACCACCTCTTCATTATGAAAATTTGGCCTCACATCAACATCATTACTAAAGGCCAACATTCCTATTTGGTCATTATTATTGAGATATTTAGGGATAGTCTTTTCATTTTTACATGTATCACAAGAAAAGTTTGTTGAGTCAATAATATGATAGTTTTTAGGATTAAGATGTCCCGAGCATTTGGAACACCGAAAACATCTTCTGTGATAGAGTTTTTGAGCTACCATAAGCCTCTGTGCTAGATACACAGGCAATCCACAGACAGCACATTTATCTAAAGCCACTTTTCCAAATTTGATTGGACTCTAAAAGAGAGAAAAGAGAAGAATTAAGAACACACAAAAACGTGAATAACATAACAAAAGGAGCGGTGATGTGGTAAGCTTTGACAAAACATTTATTAATGTGCAATAACAATTTACATATGATACTAACCTCTACCTGTGTACTTGATACAGGCGATGATACTTTTGGCTCACTCTCAGATGATTTTGTGTTAACTGTAAAATTATTTTCTTTAGAAACTTAGAAGGAAATATAAGCAAGCATTGATGTGTTATAATGATGTTACCAGTATGGCCAAGACGTTGATAAAACTGGGACAAATATGTTAGTATAGACAGTCTGTCAGGTACATCATTCTCTACCATATCCTCAGGATCCAACAGAGCAGGAATTCCCAAGTGTTTTTCAGCAATACTATACGCTAATTGATTATTTTCGTAAATATTTTCAGGTTTAAGTGATGAAATATCTCTGAAAGATAAGTGAGTAGTTACTTAGGTAAACTTTGTATTCTAACAAAAAACTATTAATTAAAATTTATAAACTTATGTCTTATGCAAATACTTACATTAAATCAGGTCTAAAATGGTGAACCAAAGCACAAAACGCCATTCCATTTCTCCAGGATGTTGTCATATTATCTATTTGTATCTCTGGACAATCTTTTATTAACCGTTTACACCACAGTTCTAAAGCTTTAGTACCCTTTACTTCAGACATTGTAGAAAACTTTATTTGAAACAATACTTGTGCTATAAAATAATCATAATATACAATATGTGTGCACTCGATAAGTAACGAGTTATTTTATATAAACATAGTAGAATGAACAAAACTTATTTCATAGTGAGTTAAAGTGTTATAAACGACACGTTTTTAAACAGGTCCACAACAGTTTATTTACTGAAAGGAAAGAGAAAATTTTAGAAATGATGTGTCAAAATGAACATTGATTTAGAGTTTTGTTGAATGTCAGGTGACAGATCAATGACAACTTTGTAAAAGCATAAGTGGGTAAGTACATACCTATTTACGTGCAGTTCACTGTCCAATGCCCTTGATAAGTAGTACTCAGCAGTAAAGTTGCAATTAAATTTAAAACGTTGTTTTTAAAGAAAAATCCTATTCTTTTAATTTAATGTTTTTTACGTAAATAATATAATATCCAATCAGATAATAAGAACTGTAATAATTTTTGTATACTTATTGTGACATAAGTGATTTGAATTGAAAGTATTTTACAACTTAACTATTTAAAACAGTACCTACAGGGTTGGTAAAATAGTTTCAAGTTAATATGCTCATCTAATAGGGGACGGGGACGGGGGGGGGGCTACCCTATTATATGTTTTATAAATTTTCCTTTATCTTTGTTTTTTGTCTTTTAAATATGTATTGAGATATGTTCAAACTATAATAATATATGTGTATAATATAACTGACTATTAAGAAAACAACATTTGAGTAATAAAAAAATCTAAAAATTTAAGTCTATCCAAAAAAACAGAAATGGACTATATAAAATGTTACACATACACCTCTCTTTTTCTTATTACAGATTGTTATATACATATTTAAATATATATTAACAATATGTTGATGGCAATGTGGCAATACCGGTTGTTTAAAAAAATCATTTAAATTTCGATAATTTATAAACGATAACAAAATAATATTATGTTAAATCATATTCATACATTTAAAGAACCATAGACTAGAGTTTTAACATATCAGTAGCAACTCTTCGGCACGAAGAATATTGTTAGAAAAGTAAATATATATAAGTATGGAAAAAAACAAGAGTTATAGAAAATGTAATTAAAAGAAGCCTTATATACATGTTGTTATTTTTAATCATCAAAAACAAAATTAAATAAACATTCATATAAAAAATATTTTAGAGAATAGGGCGACAATTTCCCAAGGCGTCCGGTCGGAATCCAATTGGACATTGATTAGGAACGTTTATAATGTTCCTTGGTGAACCACTACCGTATGATTGTTGTACTTTTCGAACATGTTCACTCCACTTTTCCAATAAAGAATTGAAGAGATTTGAATTCCTGAAACAAAATACTTTTATCATTTCGCTGTCTACACCATTATAACCATTGATCGATAATTTTTAATCAAAAGTAGTTTATGGTTGATAAATTATTATTAATATCTTAGTTTAAACCCTAAAGCTATCTGTGTTGTAATAATTTTTAAAATTAAACCTAATTGTAATATTATTTATATATTACTAATAAATAACTTACGCCAGACTGCCGCCGTTACGCCAAACATCACGACATTGTCCGTTAATGTATTCTTGACCAGGTGGACAATTGGGAGGCACGGTAATTACGTTGTTTAAGTCTGGATTAGCCCTGTCGATTTAAAAGACAAATTAATATAATGTAAAGTTGCAAGCTGTTATTCGTATATATAATATTTAATACCTAAACTGGGCTTAATAAAGAAGATGAATAGAGGACCTGAATTTTTTGTTATTTGTTAGTGACATATTAGGTATAAGAGTATTTTATTAGGTAACCAAGCAAAAAAGGTGAGAGAAATTTTGTTTTTGTAAAATATGCATTATCAAAATGTAATTTGAATGTTACATAGTAAATGGAAAACTCTTGAGCAGGTGTGACAGTTTAAACATAGGTAGGTACTTATATTTTTCATGAGTATCTACCAAAATTTTAATCTAAATAACTTTAACTTTTTGTTCCTATAAATGTATATTGTATGTACTTATAGGAACACTATGAGTATAAGTATTACCTGAATGTTTATATAAACCTTGTCAACACTAGTATAATCAACAAATAGACTATCTATCAACTTTTCTTTTGAAAATTATACGTTGAATAATAATTTTATCGGCCTGTTCCGTTGAAATTAGATTGTAAAAAGTATTTCTAAAGACTATTAAATAAACGCGTAACACAAAACAATGTTAAATATTGTAGTTTTTTATAATAGCAACTATCGTAAGGAGAGGTTTAGTACCTAATCAACAACACTCTTGCAAATGCCCTATATTGGACCTAGTTATACTTTTGATAAAGGCTTTTCACTTATGTGTTTCTTAGTATCGAAGATTTAGTAACGTTATAATATACCAGGGCCCTAATCACTGATAAAGTACAAAAAAGTGTAGAACTTTTCTTTCACGATTTTTTTTTGTATGTAGTAGGATATTTGAAAAACGTATTAACTAATTAAAATGTAAAATATTTTAATAACTAAATGAACCTAAATTATGAAATTTATTTTATTCCAGAAATATATCCTTTTATACATGTGTAGTCTTTGTGATAGATTTCTATGAAAGGGAACATTGGACATCTACTATATCGTTTAACTGTGTAGTTCTGACTGTGAAGATATTGTTTACAAAGAAATAGCTTACCATAATATTGAAGGAGGAGTGACACCACTACGCCAAACGTCTCTGCACATTCCATTTATCCATTCTTGACCAGAAGGACAATTAGGTGGCACAGTTATTATATTTCTAGGCCCTCCATAATTTGGCCGTGCAAAAGAAACAGCCACGAAACTTGATAGAATCAAAACTCGTAGCATTCTTTTGCGTCGTTTTTAAACACTTTGTGAAGAGATCTTAGTGAACAATGATGTTAAAGTACAATAATTTATATCGCTACTTATCTTTAATTTATATATGAAAGATAAATCAAAGGAAACTATAAGATATGTTATCTCAGAGTACCTATAGACTATATAATAAAATTAGTTCCTATACAAAACATTAATAAGCAAGTCTATCTATCGATTTCACAAATAATATTACCGAAATCATAAAGTATGTTTTTATAATGTAATAATTTAATAGGCCAAAGTGTAATTGTATGTAGCTTGGCCCGATTTTTTTTTATTGAGTATCTTAATTTGAAACTGAAGTATCTTTTTATGTTTAAAAAGTTGTAAATGAAATATTGTTAAGTATAAGGTACTTGTATTTTTTTTACAAGCCCGAAAGTATAAATAATCCCAAAAATTACATCTATTAGGTATATTGTAAACTTTTTAAGCTTTAAAAATAGAAAAAAAAAGAAATCTAACCGGAGGACGTAAATTGTAAAATTCAATGAAATTTCAGGAGAATATTTTTAATAGGTATATTAAAAAACAACTTCAACCTTAGATGGTTTTATCGAATTGAAGACTATAACTAAGATTTTCAAGAATTAAAATAAATTATATTGGTATTTTTTTATTAGTAGGTAATTTAGCATTCATAACCATTAAGTGCCTATCCACAACTTTCGATTATATATTTTTTGAATAATTATAGCACAGCCTAATCTTTATATTATATACATATGGGTGTGGAGAAATTAAATGGTGTTAATAAACGCTTACATCAAATTTTTGAAAGACCTTCAATACATTTTTACTGCGCCACCATTATCAACTTATGAATCCTTATAAATTCGTTTTACGATTAATTTTGAATTTGCCCTCCCTATTATAGTTAAGGTTTTAAGACTACTAGAGGTTAGCATCGTTTTATCTTTTTAACAGGTTTATACGCCAAATATAAATAAAAAGTGATCTCTCTCATTTAAGTTCTATCTCATGGGACATAGAATACTTTAGATTACAATATGAAAATAAATATAGAATGTTAGACAAGAAAAACAAGAAGCACAGGGATCCTGAGCGCTTATGATTTATTCTACGTTTACTTTTGTTAAATGACTTGTAGGAGATGAGAACCCACATTAGTTGAAGTGTATGAAATATATACTTATAACCTATGATTTGAAAAGTATGAGATCATAAAAAGTTGCTTAGCATAGAGATAGGTAGTGTAGAATGAAATTTGAGTGAACCAATATTCCGCTACTTTGATGTTGAAATATGGGAGGGAAGAATCACTGTTCACAAATATAGGCCAGGATTTCAAGGCCTTCTTTACTAAGCTTCGTTATAAGAGAACTCCCGCAAAATTATTAATCAAATATGACACCAATACAGTTATCTCCGGGTTTGAGTTGCACGAACCCACCGATTGATTTGTGTTAGAGCGAGATTTTCTACAAAGTCATATAATAATAGTCCTATAATTTGTGGACAATTCTATACGGGGCGTGTGTATACTTTTTAAAAACGTCTGAATACTACTGAGTAATGCCATATAGAAGATATTTTTTTACCGGTTAATGAATAATGAAAAAATATCCTTTACAATTGAGACTATTATGAGAAACCACCTTGTGACCATTAATAGTGGGAGATTTTTGTGTTATACATTTTTATGAAGACAATCGGTAACAGATAAGCTCCTGATTAGTAATCAGGAGATATGTTAAGAGAAAGTTAGGATAGTATTAAATTCATTATTGACGGCTAATATTGGTACTAATTATGACACGCTGTTTTAACATACTTTTATTTTATATTATACAGCTTAGCTGTAGTTGCAGGTACTGTAAGCATGATGGAATTCGGATTAAAAGGTTTTTTTTTTTACCGTAATGGGAATTTACTGAATTGATAAGGGACAATACTCTTCAGTATTTTGATAAGAAAGGAAGTATGGATATGACTCGTAGCGGGATATCCCTGAGTGGGTTTTCGTTTTAGGGTAATAGTAATTAATTTTATTTCTTCTGGTGGTGAAACATTCGTGTCATTCTGTGCTTCATTTATATTAAAAAGAATAATATGTACCTAACTACATATTCATACTGAATATTTTTAGAAAAATAAATGAGCTTTAAAAAAGTTCATAAGCAAAACACCCTGTATTTTCAAACTTACTATAATGATGAAGTTAGTTATTACTTATTACGATCAAGAATTATAAAATAGGTAATTAAAAGAAGTGTTATATGATGTTAGGTCCTTTTAATTTTTCCAAATTTAAACTTCCATATCAGATATGTTATAATTTCTCCAAAATTTATTCGTCTTTAATCGGATAACAATTTCCAAAGGCGTCCGCTTGGAATCCAATTGGACATTGGCTAGGTATGTTTGCAAAGTTCCTTGGTGATTGTTGTAATTTACGCACATGTTCACTCCAAAGACTCTCTAATAGACCATTATAGAGATTTGAATTCCTGAAATAAAATACTTTTATTATCGCCCAGTCGATATACACAATTACAACCATTGATTATTATTTGCATAGTTTCGATACTTTTTAATCAAAACTAATTTATGGTTGATAAATTATTAACAACTTAGTAAGAAACCTTAGCTTTTTGTGTGTTGTATTAATTGAAGAAATGAAATAAAATTGGGATATAATTCTTATATTACAAATAAAATACTTACGGAAGACTGCCGCCGTCACGCCAAATTTCACGGCATTTTCCATGAACATATACTTCACCAGGAGGGCAGTGGGGAGGTACGGTAATTATGTTGGCAAAGCGAGGAACTGGATTACCCCTGTCGATGTTAATAACAAATTACCGTAATTTAAAATACTTAAAAGTTTCTGTTGCCGCGAAAAGGCATAATGTTATCTGTTTAACTTAATTAGTTAAGGAAGCAAGCCAAAAACTAAGAAATATTTTTTTGTAATAAATGCATGATTAAATTTATTTAAAGGTAAAAAACACTTCAGTAAAATAATTGTCAAATTGAACAAAGTGAGATTTGTATCGAAGGCAGTAATAATCTTGTATTTTATTTTTTCATCTTTTAAAGAATATAAAAGAGAAGAACTTTATATTACACATTCATAAACTTAGCAGGATACACGCAGTTTAGTATTTTGTAAATCAATACCTTACCTAAAACTTCCTAAGTTAATTTTGAGTTTGATTGTTTTAAATTAAAATTAATAAAAAATTCGGAAGAAATATTTTTTTGCAATATATTTGTTGTATAAATTCAAATCTGCTAGTACTTGATCAAACGAATTCTAAATGTCAAGGTGTTGTTTACAAAGAAATAGCTTACCATGACACTGATGGAGGAGTGACACCACTACGCCAAACATCTCTGCACATTCCATTTATCCATTCCTGACCTTGAGGACAATTAGTCGGGACAGTTACCACATTTCTAGACTCTCCCAAATTTTGACGCGCAAAAGAGGCAGCCACGACGCTTGATAGGACTAAAATTCGTATCATTTTGTCGCGTCGTTTTCGGACCTGTTAAGAAAAACCTTAATAAACAATGGATTTGATTAAAAAAACGTTCTAAAAAGTAACTAAAGCTGAAAGTTTTTCTAATGACTACATTCAAATTAACCTGCAGTATTTTTTTTACACACCTCGTGTATTAGATACACAAATGTTTAAGTATTTCAATGGTATTAAAGTAATAAGTAATAACAATAGCAAATATTCAGAAAAATATATATATTATTTATATCTCTAACACTTACCTATTTGTGTATGTGTAGAAATTGTTTTTCAATAAGCAATATATAGGAGAGCGATATTTGTTATCCAGCGTCATTAATTAATATTAACATGTATTTCGAAATCCGTAAAATTATATTTGATGTAAGTAAATAATTATGTATAGTTAATATAATGTTAAGGAATAGGACTGTGAAAACAATAATTTGCAATAAATTGTAAATTGTTTATGGATGGTTTTAACGATCGCTTTCCCCGACCGATTAATTTCACATAAATTTTATATGAGAAGTAAAAAGAAGATAAGGTAATTTTATCTTTTTATAAAATATAAAGATATTAATAAAGGACAAAATAATTTTAGAGTATGTATCTGTGAAGACATAGCGTCAAGTTAGAATTTTGTAAAGTTTTTGTAAAAATATTTTCGAGACATGAAGAAGTAAATTTTCTTAATTATTGTTTATCTTTAGAAGATAAAATTATGGCATCTCAAAATAAATTCGTCGGGTTGTTAAAAGTTATCAAACTTTTCATTGAAGAGCATCATTACCGTTCTCAAATATTTTTAAATTGTCACAGCTTATAATTCTACTCGTAATGCTACTTTAAGTTTATGGAAGGTTTGATTCAGCATAGTGAGCGACGAGTGTTGAATTACCTATACATACTTAGACTACAGCCGACAGAAGCATGTGAATATGTGCCTATAGAAAAAAAATATCCTTTACGGATTTGGCAAGTGAAAAATAGTATCGGATTCATGAAGTGCAATTCAGTGACGTGATTTTGTTTTGCTCATACTCTTGTTCATGCTCTTGCAGAATTTAGGGGTGGCATTCTATTTTATATTATTTTGCGTCGATTATTATCGTTGGATACTACATCGTTAAAGCCCAATCCAGGTTTGAAATTTATATGGTTTTATAGCTATTAATCCTGGACAGTATTTATCGCATAAGGATGCTAATGGCTCGTGTGAACTAGTGCTTAATGGGATGTAATGGACGATGGCGTCGGAATAAGTCGATTTTCTAAAAGTAAATATTGGTATATTTGGGTATTCCGCTAATAATTCCTCCAATCTATCACTATGTTTTGGCGTGTATCAGACTTGATGATGAGACAATCGGTGGTAATCCGGACAGAAGATGGTCTAGCACAGAAGGGATCAACTTAATTATACCAATAATTGAGTTTATTAATTTAAGCTTGCACAATATTACTTTCGATTTTTGCAGTGTCATATATAGAATTCACCCACAATAAGTATCTCTATAACAGCAGCAGTTTCTATCAGTATCTCACAGCCAGGATTCGAAGGGAGGAAGAATTCTAATATTTCCTGGAAGAAAATATTCGATGAATATACACGAATTCATCTGTAATAATCCACACAAGCCCAGAGAACTTGTAGATTTAAGATCAATCACAGCTTTTTTATATCAATGACCAACGGCGCATCTTTACATCTTATGTTCCTAAAGCTATTCGACATAGCTAGATCATCTAATATTTACCACAAAAATTTGTAATTGAGTCACTGCTGTTGGTAACCCACAAAGCAAATATTATATTCACTCTGTGGTTATAATACCTATATGTAAAACAGTATTAGGCCATACAAAAACGCTGATACATTTTTTTTTCTTTATGTTAAAGGTATATCTTATTTTATACTATTGGAAAAGGTTACTGAGTGATTTTTGTTCAATTTTCCAAAATCCTTAAATATAACATGTACCTAGGTAGGTACTCAATTTGATAATAATATATTTATAACAATCAAACTCACTGACTCTCATGAAATAGTCTAGATAGCTCTTCAATTTACCAATTGAGTATAAAATTCCCCACGGTAGATATAACCGTTTTAAAGCATATGACATTGATCCTTTTGCCCACGTTATAGAGACGCTCATACTACATAGTATAAGAATTTTGCTCCTTAACAAGGGCTAATGATATATCCGTTATAAAGATAAACTGGTCCCTACTATTGTAAATAAAATATATGTTTATTTATTTATTACAAAATAAGTTACATCAAAGTTAAAATAAAAATCAGAGTATTTTGATTTAACAATTCACATTAAACATACGATATTTATCAAATTTTCTAAGCAAACACTGTTTTATTCATTCACATTTCCTCTTTGCAGGGTTTAAATTTGGGTATTTTTATACAAATTCAGAAGTTCAACAAAACTTAAAAGCAAATATCGATCACCGGCCAGTTCTTTGACCTTCAGGCTTAAAATATTCTAACATACCTATGAGTGTTACTAGTAAGTTAAGGTGGTACTTACTGAGTAGTTAGTATTGATTTTATAAAATTGTTAGTTTGCGCGTGTCAGATTTAGAGTGATACCTTAGTATTATTCTTCACAACTGTAGTGAACGTGACTCATGACAACGTTCCAGAAACATACAGCTCCAGACAATTGTAATACTCATACGCTTTAAAGTTAATACTAATGTAATATTAAAAAAATGTTTAAGAAAACGTTTTTCGTTCTCACAGTAGTGCTTCTTATTTTTGTGTATGATGTAATTGAAGCAAGAAAATTATCTGGCAGTCGCAGTTCGAGTTCCGGCCGAAGTTCTAGTAAAAGAACCAATCCGAAACCAGTACCGACATCCTTCAGTTATCCACAACCTTCAGCACCTAAACCGTCCTTGTTTGGCTGGCAGGAAAAACCTGCTCAGAAAACTCAAGTGTCGTCTCAAAAATCAAAACCATCAAACCAAGGACATTCTTATCCATCAAGCAACACCGGATTATCTGGCAACGGTCCACCTAAACAATCTCCCACATATGAAGGAGGAATTCAGAGAAGCAATGTGCCTTCTCAACAATCTTCACCTAATAAACAAAATGTTCATCAACCAAGCCATACTTATCCAGCATCAAACAGTCTATCAGGTAACTCCGGAACTAATTCTGGGGCTGGATATCCACAAGGTACTGGATTATCGGGTTCAAGTTACCCAGGACAACCTTCATCAAATATAAATACAGCTAATGGATATCCCGCTAACAATGTTGGATCTTACCGTAACACACAAAATGCACCGCCACCATATTCAAGTATAGGGAATACAAACTATCATCCTCAAGGGCCACCGCCACCTTATACTAATGCAGGAGGTAGTAATTATCATCATCCTCAACACCCGCCACCACCTTATACTAACTATGGACATAGTTATGGAGGTCCTGGTGGATCTTACAGTCCTCAAGCCCCTGGGTACTTTGGGAACTACGTTAGTCCAGGAAAAAATTATGGAGGTGTGAGTCGACCAGGAAATGTTTTAACAGGAGTTGGAATTGCAGGAGCAGGAATAGGCACTGTTTTGACAGGTTTAGCGTTGTGGAATTTAGCAAGATCAACCGGTCATCATCATCATACAGTGATTTATGACAATCGTGGTCAACCGATCGCTGTAGCTCCAGATAACAGTACCACGCCGGTCGTTGATCCAATATTAAGTGATTTAGTGAACTGCACACTCACTATTAATAATGGTAATAAGACAGAAGTTCTTGCAATACCCTGTTCAATAGCAACATCATTCACTCCGGATGCCGATGTTAAAGACGAGAGTCTAAATAAGGAATCAAGCGATAATACAGAATGTATTATAACTGTTGTTACAAAAGCGTCTAGAGAATTTATGACATCCATTCCTTGTTCTGTCCTTCTTAATACTGCAGCTGAAAATAATGTTACCGAGGCTCCAATCCCGGATACAAATATGACTATAGAAAATGGTACTTCGGTTTTACCTCCTCAGGAAACCTTGAGTGCTGACCAACCTACGGCGCTCCGTCTTTCATCTTTAGAAGATGAGAACTTCAAAGAACCTAAAACTTCGTTAAACTGTACTCAAGAAGAAGGGGAAATTCGGGATCCCATTAATCATTGTTTTAGCGTGAAACATAATTTAACTGTCATTCCTTTAGAAACGACTGTTCCACTATAGATGTAAAGTATCCATCAACCGCATCTTTTAAAACATTCCATATAAGTTTAATAATTGTTTAATTTTTATTGTACTTTGTTATGCAAATGTAAATGATTTATTATTACTCCAATATCTCCTTCCATATTATATGGTATCTAAATATGACTGTTATAATGTTTCTAAAGTAATTATTAAAGAATAAAACACGTCGTGACCTATAATGTTTATAAAATTGTGTTTTAATATGTGTAAAGTTTATTAATGTATAATACAAATTATCTGTTTATTATTATAATGTGACCTTTAAAAAGTCTTTGTAACCTGTCTCTGTCGACCTTAGTAACAATATTTTTATCATTATAGTCGACCAGAAACCTTAATATAAAATTGAATTAACAAATATCAAGGGAAAACAGTAAAAGTACAAATATATTGTAAGAGCTTTCAATTTTGTAATATGTAAGAAAGAGGTTAATTCATTGAAGAAAAACAAGTTCTTATTAAGTCCATGTTTTAAAATTGAGGTTGATATATTCTTTGCACAAATTGGGTGGTATTTGAGTGAAACTATTTTTAAAATTACATATTTGAAGAACCAATAAAATACATTTAGCCTGTCCACGTGTGCATAATTACATTAGTTGATTTATTTGATTAACTATTAATTATAAGGAATTTTAAACATTTATATAATATATAATTTTTCATAAAATTTTAATGTTTATATACAAGATATGAATCAATTGTGTACTCAAAGACAGACAGATATGCTTGTCACTTAAATTTACTATTATATTAATATACATAAATTACAAAAAATATAGTTACAATATTACTATATACTGATTTGAGATAAATTTGTTATTCGTGCAATTATGTTTTAACATTTAAAAAAAATTGAGTTAATATATAAATTTATAGATATAGAAAATTAGGATGAAAAATTATTCTTTTAGTTCCAATAGCATATTTGATATTCCGGAGGTTGCAGGTTCGCATCCTGTATGTGTTAATGATTTTTGTTAAACCTTCTTTAAAATATTTATAACATATTTATTGAACGACAAGATATTCATTAGTGATAGAAATATGGATAAATTAGTAATAATAAATAAAAGATATGAGCAAATTTTTTCGACTACATTTAACAGACAAAGTATAACATAAAAATCCATTAGTTAGTTACGGCAATTTGGTTAATTATATTTGCATATAAGATGACAAGGTGTAGATGAATTTAGTCCCGGGTTTACTACAACAATTCATCAATATTTCGATTTAATATAAGAAGTTACTTGATACAGAAGTAGAAAGGTGTCGAATTCAAGTGAGAAGCATCATACAGAAGTGAACTAATGTCTAGTTTTAAAGAATTTCCTCCAAGACCTATGACTTAGTTTAAAGTCTTGATGCCTCAGTTATTGTTCTTATGTATTTGTAGTGAAACTAAAACTTGTCGGTGAACAAGTATCAGTCGATATTATCTATCATGTGTCATCGCTCAAGTCGCACAGTGCGTATCGAGACATCTAATTATTCGTTACTCGGTCTAAGAGAATCGAATTTATGTTAAAAAAAAATCGCCAGTGATAATATAATGAATAGAAAACTTATTTAACACATTAAATAATCTCTATATTTTGAACTAATTATATCATATGTTATTATAATTACTATAAATAATTTTGTTAAGTGGGCTTCAATTATACAACTTCAAATGTTCTACGTTCTATTACCTAAGTCATTCATATCATGTCTAAGTTATTTAAAGAAAGATGTTATAAAAATCTAAAACAGTAGAATTTTCATAAATTATTCGAAAAATATTATGAGATAATCGAATATTGTATGACCTTCATAGTATCTGCTACTTTCGCACAGGTAATAACAGGAATCGAGTTCGGCACATCATTATCATTTATCAATTAGACTTGAAAGCTAAAACTGAAAGTACATTGTAAACATACATAAAAAGTTATAACTATAAAACCTTTTCAATTGTTGTAAAAAGAACTAAGTACTGTTTAAATTTTTGGCTTTCTCTTTGCTGATTGAGTTTTTTAATTAAATTACACTGAGAGTAAATATTTTATATATACTTAAGGCATATTCGGAAAACAAATTAATTAACCCTTATATATTAATTGATGAAACAATGTCCGATCCAACAATTCAAACATTTTGCTGTCATCATACAGAAAATAAGGAAGACTTAGCAATAAAAATTATGAGTGAATTTAATACAGAATCATATAATTCAGTATGTTTAGTGTCCTCAACTATTGGAATACTCGGCTCTATATATCAGGTAAGATATACTTTTTTTTTATCTGAATGGATAAACAACATGTCTGTAAACTCAAATTATTTTCAAATCTAGATTTTCCCAAGGCCTCTGCGAAAAAATCAAACCAGACCACTAAACTGTTCTTCAGTACGAGGAAGAAGAATTATAATTTGGTTGGCAATTGCAGATTTATTAGCTGCTCTTGGTGATTAAACAGTGTAAAATATATGCAAGTAGCTTTTTTGACATGTATTTTATATTTGTTATGTGATTTAATTTCAGGTGTTCTGGTAAGGTCTTCACTATGGCTACAATACAAAAATATTATGCCCATGCCTAATGATGATGTGAGTGTATTATTTTGCAGCATCATTTCTGTAAGTTTACTTTTCTGTACTTAGATAAATATTTGTCCATTTAAATTTTAATAAAATAATGTATTTGTTTAAAAGTACTGTTTAAATAAATTGCTAACTCAATCAATATGTTGGACCATTTTGTGAATGTTGTTGAAGTCTATTTAAAAAAAATTACAATCAGAGATCTAACTTTGTTTTTATATCAGAATATGTTTAACTCAAATCCTGTTGTTACTTGTGCGAAAGTAGCAGATACTATGAAGCTCGTACAATATTTGATTATCTTATAATATTTTTTGAATAATTTAATATGTTTATATTTTCAGGCTTGGACGCAATATTTTTACACTGCTACCTGGTTTTGGACTTTGTTTTATGCAATAGACACATGGCGATCAATCAGAGGATATGATTCTCAGCCAGCACTTTATCATTCTTTGGCATGGGGGCTACCAGCTGCAACCACAAGTATAGGGCTATCTATTCTTTATTTACCAAATGCAACGTAAGTTGATAATAACACAAAAAAAAATACTGAAAACTAATGTATAGCTCCATGTAGATTTATATGAATTTAAATAACAAAGAAAGATAATTTTTGATATCATTTTTAGATGTCACCATATAACATCTGTTTCATCAGCTCTACTTAAAATTTTACCCAATTATTGTGCTACATACTTGCCCATAGCCATAGTAATGGTGGCAAATCCTATTATTTACATCATGGCTAGCAGGAAGATTGAAATGACTGTATCTCTTCCTTTGGCTCAGGTAATCATATAATTGTCACAGTAATTTTACACACACATACAGATTTTCTTACATGTAATATATTAAAAATGTAGTGATATTAAAATGAATAATTTTAAGAAAATTTTCTACTTCTCTCAAAATTACTCTATGAACAAGTATATAAATATATATTTTAGTAAAAATTTATAATATAATTAACCTTCAGTATCTTTTAGAAAAATTCTGTCAACATCAGCTATTAAAAATTTTGTATATATTTATTGTATAAAATTTGTATATTTATAATATTTATTGTATAAAATTTGTCAGATTCAGGAAAATTCTAATCAATATTACATACATTTTCAGTTTACAAGCAAGGAAAGGCGTGTGGTTGATACATTAAGGTTAAAGTTTTTTCTAATAAATGCTGTTTTTTACATCTGTTGGTTACCAAATCTTATTAATGGGATTTTAGTGTGGACCATGTGGTTTAATATGCCTGTTACAGTTATTATTGTTATATGGTATATTATGGTGGGTATTATTTATAAAAATCTAATTAGTATTCATCTAATAAATACCTGTTTATATATGTATATTTTTTGTAGGCCCTCTTGAATCCAATGCAAGCTTTGTTGAATGCTATGGTGTATCGAAAGTGGAATACCAGTGAAAGACGTTTTAAGCCGTCTGTGCCAAGCTTCCAAAAATTTTTCCAAAGCAATGAAGAACAATCACCTCTCCTAGGTTCAGAGCCTCCGCGTTTGCCACTCTCTCCTATTCCAGCAATTAATAATTATGCTACTTTGTAATGTGTGTTTTGTGATATTATTATTATTTTATAACATATTTTATACAATTTATATAAAAACTTTTTGTTACATTATTAAGTAAAACATTTTTACCGATTTTATTTTATATTTTTCTCTTTATTCCCCTTATTTTTATAAAAACTATGTGAGTTGGTACAAAAGATAAACTTCATTTGGTTTAATTATTTTAATGGTATAATGCTTACAATACTTTACATTCAACAATGATTATTTACAAAATATTATTTGTTATACATATATTAATATTATCACATAATTAAATATTATCATTGTCATTTTCTGGTGGTGACATGGTTAGATCAGTTACATCTTTCACAATCATGTGTGCTATCTGCCAAGCCATTTCCTCTTCTACCTTAGAGGAGGTTGTTGGTGTGAATTTGCTTACCATTTTCTTTAGAACCGATTTACATTTTTTGTCTGGGTCAGGTTCAAATTTTGATTCAAATCTTCCTAAACTATTAATCCTTCCAAGGCTTAGGCCATCATATTTCTTCCTTTGCCATAAAGAGTCAGCATTGTAAAGTTGATTAGAATCTATAGTCATATCAGGTACAGAGTGGTTTCGTTTTTTCCTAAATTGTTGGTCACCCATTGCTAAAAGTGTGTTTTGTGTACTTATACTAAATTCACTGCTACAATCTGAATATGATTTATAATTTGAAGACCACATTTGGTTAACAGATTTCATCATTTCTGATAGATAAGTGTAATATAATTCGGAACTCAAGAAAGTTTTAACATATTTGCTGAGAGTTTTGTAAATGATTTTATATGGATAATCAAAACAGCTAGCTATGGGACCAAGTTCACTGCAGATGTCACTTTCAACTTTTAATCTAACATCACTTGAAAATCCAAGTGGACTTGTAGCTTGCAGTGAGAAATATTTATCATATAAAACAATAGCATCACCTTGTGCTTGCTCAAGGCTAGGATTGTTATTCATTAAATTATCCCTAAAATTAGTCACTGATATTAAAAATTCAAGTAATTTACTGCAATTTTCTTGTTCCAAATATTCAGTATAATAGAATAGAATCGTTTCATTGTATAAAATATCTTTTAAGCACAAACAACCACTTGTCAAAATATCTATTTGTGACTTAATGTAAAGTGGGCTGTCTTGGAATCCACTGAAAAAATCTTTTTCTATTGTATAATATAAAGCATCCTGTACCGCCTTGAAACAGTCTTCTTCTATTTGACCCTCTGGTTTACATATATTTGATATAACTAATTTTCTTACAGAATCTGAGAGTTCTAATTTATTTGGAGCTTCTAAAGCAACATATTTTTTAAATATACTAATTGCTTTGTCAGTAATATCAACATTTTTATCACTTATAAAATTACAATCGTCCTGATTCTTAAATTCAATAGGGGAACTTGAAGAACATTCACTTTTAGTTTTTCTCAAATTGGGAATGCTTGATCTCCAATTAGATATTTGTGATGTAAAACTTTCACAATTTCTCTCAAAATCATTTTCATGAGAATTGTTATCTAAACTTCTTGTGTGAATTAATTTTGACCGGAAATCTTCATTGTTTTCTTTAGAATTGTAAAAATAGACTTTGAAATTTTCCAATTCAAACCAGCATTTTATGAGGCATTGCTGATTAATACCTTCCATGTATGTTATAAAGTGTTTGATTGCAGCTTTTCCGTACAGTATGTCATTCAAACTGATACACAATGACGATTTTTTTTCAAACACATTATCTGAAATAAAACTAACTATTAGATCCGAACATATTATCGCCCATTCAGAAAAATAAATGTATGTGTGATTTATTTACCATCTATGTCTATGTTTTGCTCAGTGTTTAATAATTCTGATTGCACATCTTGAATCGGCTCTGGTGGTCGCACAGGGCATCCTGTTTTACCTTTAGCTAAAGAAATATTAGTTTTCATGAAAAGTTACAAGGAATGATATCATAAATAAATCTACTTACCAGCACTTTTCCAGAATTTTATCATGTTCTTACATCGGAACTATGAAATATTACTTGTTTCATAAAAAATCACGTCTTTATCAACGTTTAGCAGGTAACAACTTAATATTTCACCGTAAGAACATTATTAGAAAACCGTCACAATTATTTTGTAAATAAAGTGTAACAACATACCTACGTTTCACTCATTGACAGCTGTCAAAGAGAGATTTATGTCAGAGAAATTAAGTGATTTAAAGCATTTGCTATTTTAAATTCTTGTATATCTTTATCAAACAAAAAAAATAATTTATGAAATATTTCATTAATTATTATTTGCAAATATGATTCAGAACTATTAATCTAAATAGAAATTTTAAGAAATATGCGAAGTAGAAAACATTACATTGATATTTTTGAGTCGATTATTATGATTTTTAATATTAATATGTACATATAATAAGTATGTAATTTCTTATACTTAGCACAAAAGTAAAAATTGAAATAATTACTTTTAAGAAAAATAACAACCCTCTACATATTTTTCTTATTGTTACTGAATGAAAAAAATAAGATTCATAAGTGGTTGAAATAAAATAATTATTTTTTTAATCATACTCCTAATGTATCGCTTATTTTTTTCACAGGCTTTCACAGGTAGAGGAGACATCTCATTAGAAATAAGTATAAATGCGTATAAATCCGAAATATATTACTGCTATTTCAATGAATACTAGCGAAAATGTAATCATAGATCCCATTATGTGAACACATCTGCCCGTGATCACGGTTGCTGCAAAATAACCGAAACTTTTCGAGTATGTTTTTAAAAATAATTATAAAAGCATAGTAATTCCGAAAAATTCTAGTTTTATTTCAATGAGTACTCGCGAAATTCTTAAGTGTCATTAATACATATGTGACTTTTAAAGAGAACGACTTACCTTTAGGAGAGCAGACATCTAAAACATTAAGAAATATTACTTTGTGCGAAACTGGATTTCGTAGTTAAGTATGTTTTATTAATATGGCTGGAAAGTGAAGCTACCTAATAATAGGAAAAGTTATAACTGACCATCCATTGATAACAATGTGAGATAACAATCTTGCCTATTACTTGGTATTTAAGCAAATAATTTACCTTTCGCGATAATCTCGATCATAATAAGTTAATACGCGTAATATAGTAAGCTTGCGTATAATCATACAAGCAAATGGAAGTATCTAATTCTGATTTTAAGATAAGTTGATATGTTTTTACAGTGATTTTGCTACTTCACGGATTTCCCTGTCTCTCGGGATTAGTCAAAAGTTATCTGAAATGGCTAATTTTTTTTTTATTAGGATTTATATGAAATGGTCGTACAGTTTTCAGGGTAATTATATTGTATAGTATATTGTGTGACAACAACAAAATTCTAAATTGATTGAAAGCTAGAAAAATGCGTTTTTTTAAAAAAGTTATTAAGTTAAAAGTGACAAAACGTTAAAGTCAAAACATATTAGTAGTAAAAAAAATATTTACAAGGTAAAAAGTATGACAAATATTTTGTATTTAAATATTTTTATAATGTAAAAGCCACGATAATGGGGGTTTAATTTTTCTGTTTAACATTTAATTTTCTGTTTTAAATTAAATGAATCATTTAATTCCCTGATCATCATTCCACCGTCTATTAAAAAAAGGTAGGTTCTGCTTCTGCATACTAAAAAAGTATTAATTTTTTTGCGTTCTTTACGCAATCGGACGCAGTGTACAAGCAAAGGCTATCGACCTTTTCTCGGTTACTTGAAATAACTGTTATGTTGATGGAAATAACTTTAAGCTCAAAGCACGCAGGGTAACCGGCGATACCGATTACCTTGTTAGTTGCGCTTCTACACGGGATCTGTTCGGAGCTCATCTATTAAAATAATTATATAAAAAGCATAAAATGTTTATTATTATTTGTCTTTTAATTCCTCTTTTTTCAGTTTATGTTAATTCCGCTCATATCGATCAGAGTCAAACTGGAGATTATAACGTCCAAGTTGACGTGAAGGATGTGCAAATATTTGCTTTGATGAATGGAGAGAGTGAAGAAGACTATATGGTAAGCAATGAAATTAATGCTCTTTAATTCTGGTTGATTATTTGTATTATTTTCGTAAAATAATAAGAATTCTAAACCAAATATTATTATATATTTTATTCATTGGCTTACCTTGTTCGTGATATGTGTTTTTATTGATAATTTTAAATTCCGTTATGTGTAGACACATAAAATCAAAAATTTTATGTTTAGCTTTAAGAAACATAAAAATTGCAACCGGTTTGTTCCTTTCTCGAATAATGATTTAAAATTGTTGTCAAAACTGGACTAATTGTAATTAAATTTTAATTTACGTGATATATTCATGAAAATAATGTTTTTAACGCTCAGCTTTAGCTGATGTGATAGTTTAGTTGAAAAAAGAATATACCTACCATGGATATAAATTTCAATGATTTCTTAAATATTAAAGCATGAGTATGTTTGGGATAACATTTAAATAATAAATTTCCGTAACAATATGGTTCACATTTAAATATTTTTGTTATAGCAGTCGAGACAATAACTGTAATACATATCTATATGATAATAAATACCTACATATTATGTTGGATTTAGTTTGGATTTTTTGTTAGAGTTTCCAATTAAAAATGATTTCTGTACTGATAAATATCCGTTAATTATTTTTTTTCAGGAATATGACTACGCTTATGACTATTCACAACTAACAATAAAACCACAAAAGCATACAACACCAAGACCGTTAAATATTACTGTTACTTCGACAGAGTTAAATAATTTTAAAGATAATTCGACAACTGTGACGCCGGTCCAACGACAGACAATTGGACTTTTTACTAGCGAAACTACAAGTTCGGATTCTATTTCCACCACAATAAACTTTGTGGATGATAATACGACAGAAAAAACTGCTGAGATTGCTTCTACTAAAAAAGTGGTGACCACAACACCGAGAACTACAATTAAATGTAAAAAAGGTTTCTTTTTGAATAAAAAAGGAGAATGTCAACTTCAATTAAATAATACCGGGAATGCGTAAGTATTCATTTTGTTCAGAGGGTTATGTCGTCTACTTACTTGATAAAATATAAATTTTGTTTTTTGATCAGTAATGTTGTAAGCATCGTTCTTTCAATATTTCTTATTTTAAGTATATATGTTACTTTGAATATCAATACATATTTATATGGTTATTCGAATATGAAGATTTAATTATGAGGTTTTTCATTCAATTTTTTTTTAAGTTATTAAACAAAATCTTAAACTAATAATAGATTTCTATACCATGTACATGAGAATTATATTTTTTTCAGATTGTTGAAACTTGTCAAACTATCACAGAGAATGAAATTGAGAAGACAAAACAAGAGCAATGAAAACTCATAATAACATTATAAAATTATATTAGAAAAGAATAAAAAACAAGACTGCTTTGATTTAAATATCCTCTGTCAATACATAAATAAATAAAATATATTTCAACAAAAGTTTTATTATTACATGTAAAAAAATATTTAACTTAATATTTTAAAAACAAATGAACTGATTATGTATAAAGCAAAACAAATTCTAATATTTTTAAACATTTATTTCCATATGTGCATCTGCAATTAATAGTGCTTATAAAATATTTAATGTTTATTAATTTATACTCTATGTGGGACGGGCACTAGTGTTTTATTTCGTTTTGTACTATTTGGCTTGAGCTTTAGTTTAGGAAAAATGTAAAATAATATTTTATTATAATTTATTAAATTTACAAAATAACAAAGCAACACTTTAAGAATGAATAAACAGTAGTAGTTCATTCAAAATTACAGTCAATGTAAATGTTAAAGTTTACAGAGACAAAATAGTAAAGGAATAAAAGCACCAATAGTAATAAACACTGGTATTAAAACTGAACTATCATCCATGAAATATGGATCCGGTTGTTTGGGACCACTGGCCCTTCGGGTTTTGGTATTCTTTTCTTCTACTTCTTCTCTAGGCTCCTCACTCTCTGATTCCGGCCAGACTATTGGAGGTAGTTTAGGTACTTCGTCTATCGTCCCTCTCATCACATACAATGCATTAATTTTAGGGTTGTCTCTATATCCTTTGATAAATTCCACTTTTATTTTTCCACCCCTTATATCAGACTCTTCATCGTTATAATACAGTTTACCGTTTCTTATAAAATAAGGTATGTATTCATCATGTGCAACTCCACGACCAACTTTGTCAAATATATCCAAGTCAGCTACTATTGTATGATCACCGTTCAAAACCACATCAAACACTTTCATGTTAGGAGCATTAAAGTAGACTTCGCTGAATTTGAGCACAAGAACATAATCACCGTCTTTATTAGCTGGTATATCGTAACCAAAAGTACTATGGTGGTACCTTTCCGTTTGGTATAATATTTCGTCTTTGGAGTTAACTCTTCCTATCATAACAAGTTGCTTTCCATAGTCAGAAGCAGTTCCCACTCTGCCTTGTAGTGGATCTTTTTCATAATGAATACCATAAATATCAGTATGTGCTGGACCACCGGCGTTTATAGCGTAAATAATTTCTCCCAGGCCTGTAGCACTATCTAATAAATGCAAGCATAACAGGAATGTAACTATAAACACACGAGACATTTCCTCCTAATTGTCAGATCTTACAACTATTAAAATTGACTGAATGTATCAGTTAATACAAATGTCCAGATTTTAATACATTTTTGTTAATTCCTTTGAATTCGCAAAAATGTAAATAACCGGCAAGCCATAACCACTCAACTCACCATAGGTATTGAATATTCTGATTTTTAACTATCACATCAACCACAGTCCACATCACTTCGTCCACAGATTCAAAAATTGAAATAATACAGAGTGTGTAAGGAAAAAATGTAGAACATAGAAATATAGATCAAAAAATTACAAAATAAGCATAATATTTCATTGACATTTTCGAATTATGTTAAGTCCAAAAACTTGTAATTTCTTGTATTTTGTACTTGTAAGTTGTAACCCCTTCTTAAGTATATTTTTTATACTAGATGGCAGTGTAACTAGTGTTTAAGTATAAAATAATTATTTGTTTTTGGTCTACTGTTTTCACCTAAGTGTTATTATAATCATAATTATAAAATATAACATTGTAAGAATAATTGAAACTTTATTTATTTTATATATAAATGTTTATTTTGAACAGAAAAAATTTAAAGAAATGTTGCAGATTTTACTTAAATCTCATAGAAACACAGAAAACGCAAAGTTTAAAAATAAGTATATTTTAGAAACAAATTTGGGTGAGATGTGAGATAAAAGAAATATTTTTAAACTAATTTCAGAAATAAAAATCATACTATTATAACCTTTCAAAAAAATTATATTAGATTTTATAAGTAAAATTTTCTAATATTATGAATGGAATTAATTTTGCAAATTTCAGATTTTTCAAACGTTCAATTAAAATTTCAATTATTATATCTTTGCCGAAGGAAAGTATTTGAAATTAATATTTGCAAAAATTTCTACATTTTGACTTTCAAGCAGGATTGCAGCTTTCAAATTGTGTTATTTATTTATGAAACCAGAATGGCGCCTTCGATTTTTAAAATACTTTTTCACCTTCCTTTCATCTTGAAAGACTGTTTTTTTTTAAATTTAATTTTAATAGTGAGAAAAATATGATAAGTAGTTGATCTACAAAAACTGTAAGATTTTAATTTCAAGGTCATTTTTTTCTTAGATTTAGTTATCTTAAACTTTTTATTATTAACCTATTGTTGCAATGACCAGTAAGAAATAAATTATGTATTAAACTATGACGTTATACATGTAGAATACACTTTAAACTGATGTATTGATGGCTATGGTATGACTTCTTAAAACCAATTATCTTAAAATGAATCTTAATTATCATTTCTCTATGAATTTTTGTTGCTTCTTTAGGAAGCACTAAAACTAACATGAAAGAAGGGGTTCCTCGAGCTTCAATTCCAGTGTAGAAAAGCCATTGTAAAAATAATTATTATTATTTGGATGCGGTCTAGCAGACCGAAATTTTTTTGTAAATTCCTTGGAATTAAATATTAATTTTATACTCTTATAATTCTTGCGTAAACCTTGAATTCTTAAATTAAATAAAAACAAAATGAATCTTTTTCGTTATAATTATATTGCATAAAGATATATTAACGATACTTCTGGTAGATAAAGATTCACATGACTTTGTAGTCTTGAATGTAAGCGACGTAAACAGAATGTATTTTTTGTGTATCAATATTTTGTTGTATAATTATTTATTATTCAACTAATAATAATGTTTTAATTATACAAATTATAAGCGACAAATTAAATATAGACAAATAAATACTAACATTAAAAATGTACAAGTAATTTTAAAATTGTCACAAACAGTTGTGGAACTAGTTGTTACCGCTGAATGTTTTATATAATGACATTAATTTCATACTCAATATAAGCTGAGTGCCTCTCATCAAACATCGTGAATGAGATTCTTCAAATGATGCGAGTAATTTGCGGATTGCGGCAGATCCATTCTAGAGTTTTCCTATTATGTGGATAGTTTTGACTTTCCAATAGCTTTTAATTATTTCATTAAGTACTCTTATACGTATAAATGCTATCGGAAAGGGGTATAATTTGAAGGAGTTTAAATAAAATAATATTTCTACAGTTACAATATGAAATGAAATTTGTCTTAGGGGGACAAATTAATTTTGCTGTTTTTGAGAAAACTAGCATTATTTAAGAAAACTAGCAAAATTATTCTTCTAAATGATTATAGTGGTCTGCGTGTAATGGTTTTTGGGAACAATATTTGAAAAGATTTGATTTCTAAGTACTATACAATACGTCGTATCCCTTAGATTTTGTTCCGTCCAACAATCATCAGTTCAGTCGGAGCAGCGGTCCCAATACAAAAACAAACAAACAAATCGGGTCAACGGGTATGCAAAAGAAACAGCGTTTTGAGACAAAAGCTTCCAGTATTATGAAAGAAGTTGTTGCTTCTATTGAAGTTTAGCTTTTTAGTAAATAATATCTTTTTACATAAAATTGTCATTGTATATATCGGATTTATTACAAATTCGTTGTTTGAAAAGAGAGGGACGCCAGCCTCGCTGACGTTACAAATGTCACTTCTTCTAGTACGTGCCATGATATTTTAAAATGAAACTTCAATTGTTCTTAAAGTTCCTTTATTTCTCGAAGGATCTTCATAACCACATACTTCAATGATACGCAATCACTGAACTCTGAATTCTCAATTTTGAAGTCTGCCATCGTGCGTCCAGACGTCATATTTATAACAAGATTCAAACATAGTTCTATTCTCCTTTGATTTCTTTTTACTTTTAACAATAATCTTAAATACTAATGAGGTTTAATAAGAATTGATGACAGCCTCAAATTATTTTCATGTCGCATCCGTTATTAAAGCTGATAGCGCCGATATATATAATTGAAGGGAATCATGTAGTTAATATTTTGAAACAAAAAAAAAAGAAAATAGGTATAGGTATTACGGTGTTTTGTTTTTTTTAATACAAACGGAAAAAGGCTTGACTACAATTCCACCAGAGCCCAACCCATTCATACGTTTACACATACAACTGTGGTTATCGTCGTTGCTATATGCTTTAGTGAGAGAGTGCTACGCTGATTCTAAGATTGAATTACTGTTATGTACACATCTCTTGTAATAACTACTGTTTGTGCACTCAACTTGATCGTGGACCATCGTGTATTTTACTACCATCTCCCTTAAACATTGAGAGAAAATAGAGATAGTTATATGCTGTTATACATATAGTCCCAGTTTGCTACAAATGTAAATTATTATTTTCTTTATTTAATATTGAAATGAAAATAAAATAACTTCAAAAATATTGAAATAAAATGTATTCTAAGGTGGTAGATCCTAGCCGTGGTCAGTTACTACAACTCGAACATGGGCGCGCTCGACCGGGGAAGTACCACCCTCTCACAGAAGATCGGCGTGAAGTAGCCTTAAACGGTTGCGTTTCGTCCGATGAGTGAGAGAGCCGGTTGCCCTTTCCCTATTCCTATCCTTTCCTACTATTTCCTTATTCCCACCCCTCCCTATACCTAAAAAACAAGGTTGGCAACGCATCCGCAACAAAGATGTTGCGAATGTCCATGGGCGACGGTAACCACCTTCCATCAAGTGGGCCTACTGCTCGTTTACCACCTGTCACATAAAAAAATAAATAAAATAAAAGTATTAATACAGTAATCATGTAAGAAGCTAGAAGACATATGAACAAAAATATTTTTAGATATACAGGACTGAAAATAGCATATCCACATTGTACATGTCACACCTTCTATTTATCAAGTTTAATTTCAGTGTATTTATTGATGGTTTTGTAAGTACTATAAAGTGTTTCTAAAGTAATTAAGATTACAATATTATGTAAAATTATTACTTTTAGAAACACGAAAAATCACCATCATACATATATCTATAATTAAATTATTCAAACCTTTGAACATATGTAATTGTTATGTGGATTTATTTTTTATTATCATCTTGTTCTTTCATACTTCACATTGACAGGCTTATTTTCTATTGTTGGACATGTTTTGTTAAAGTTTTATTATTCGTGTTCCATTATGTTTTGCTATGTAACAACGAAATATCAAGCCTTTGTTAGACTTTTTATAAAAATTCAATTAAATAAATAGTTAAAATCTTCTTGAAACATGGGTCTACTCAATTTTAGGCGATTTTTTGACAGCAGATTGTATTTATATGAAAACAATATTCATGAAAGGTACTCTCGTTGTAGAATTACAGCACGAAGTGATAGTAAGTGATGATTACAATTATATTCTATCTGTGAACGTTGAATTGGAGTTCTGGTATGGTTTTTAAACAAAACTCACCTTATTCCGCCATGCAACTTACGATCAATTTATGATAAGTTATAAAATTTTTAAGATCTTCTTCATCATCACGTAAGCATAACTAAAAAAAACACAATATTTAAAGATCCGTTACTTTAAATAAAGAATTAGTTTCATACATTATTTATTTACCGAAGGTGGCTAAGACTTTTATATCACGGCAATCGTCTCCCAAATCATAAAGTGTGCCTAAAGCAATTGAAATGCAAAAAAAATTTCTAGAAATAATATTATTCTTGGTTATAGATCTCACCAATCACAATCCACGAGTAAGTTACGAAAAAAACCCCTTGATGCTGACGTCATAAAACTCAAATTGTACAATGTACAACTTGCTGGTACGTACACAAACATTGACCCCCCATGACTAATTATAGGTAATTATTAAACGGCTTGAGTTTAGTTTCATGGATTTATTACTGAAATTAACGACAGACTATTCTTATTCCTGATAGGTGGAAATAAAAATGAATGAATGGTGGTAAACTCGTTATATTAGAAAGTTATTAGTGAATGAAAATATTTCAATTGTTCCAATCTTTTATGTAAATTATTCCAATATTTTAGTGTAAAAATTAAAGGTAATAATGCAGACTCATTGTTTCTTTGGTAAAAAAAAGGAGACACTTGAATTAAATCTCTGAATTTCTGTACACACTCTTTAAAATGTACCTATCGTATAAACTGAGGGA